CGGGCTTTTGATTTTTGGTATCAAAAATATCTGTTAATAGGCTGAAAAAAAGAGTTATGACCCAAAAACTGGAAGGGTCCTATTGTCACAGGAAATCTATAGCTTTTACAAGACTTCCGTTTACACCATATCAAAGAGTATCTTTTTGTCCCTTGACATGCAAAGTTTCATAATAATCGGATAAACGATAACAAAAATATTTCCAAAAAATCATTTTCCATACCGATTTTTGGAAAGCTGTAATTTTTCTATTTTTTGAGCTAGGTCAGTAAATATTGTGCTCTCTATTCTCATTTGTAGAGGGGTATTCGTGGTTAAAATTATGCCACACATTTTTGAAACACCCGATATATCGCGTGTGTGTAATCCGGCAGGTGGCACTAACGCAAGTTAGGTTTCCAACCAGTGGCGTAACTACCTACCCGCCTGAGCCCGCGGCCGCGGGGGGCCCTTGGGATAAAGGGCCCTTTCCAAATTAAAAATAATAATAATAATAATAGTAATAGTTTACAAATTTTTAAAGAGTGTACAAAAATTATTATAGGCCAATGCAATAAAAAACAAAAAACTGCACAATATTCTCTCGTTCTCTCTCATATTAAAGTTGAACAACAAGTCACTGATCAGTTATCTGTTGCTTCCACATCGTCTGCTTCCATTSACCATCATCAAAATCAGGAACAGGCCATTGAAGTTGAGGAAATATTTAAAGAAGCATATCCAACTGATTTTGCAATTTTTATAAAAACGACATAGTCAAAATCGCCTTTTCYTGTGTCATTGGCATCACTTGGTAAAAATTCGTTCATAAAAGAGAAATTAAAGACAACAAAATCGGTAAAAGAATTTGCAGAATTTTTAATACTGGAAAATGAGTTGTCATCCAGTTTTCCTAATGTCATAACTGCTCTTTTACTCTATTTAACTCTGCCTGTCACCGTCGCATCAGCGAAAAGATCCTTTTCCAAATTAAAATTAATAAAAAATTATTTACGGAACTCTAGATGAACCAGGAAAGGCTTACAAATTTGTTCATTTTGTCAATAGAATACGATGTCGCTAGAAAACTAAACATGGACAATGTTATCCAAAATTTTGCAAATTTAAAAGCAAGGAAAAAACAAATTACCTAAGTAAACGTGAGCTGAAATTTTGTTATTTTGCTATTATTGCCTTTAAAAAGTTTTTATCGTTATTTGTTTTGTTAAATTGTTTTACTTGTTTTACTTTACTTTACTTTTACTTTACTTCTCTTTGAGAAGTATTGTTCTACAAGGATTGCATTTTTTAGTTTCTTGGGGCCCAACAGACGTCTTTTGCGGGGGGGCCCAAAATTTCTAGTTACGCCACTGTTTCCAACACTAAATTATTGTCGTTAGGATGTTTTCCAAATAAGGAAAAGGATAAGGAAAGTCGTGTGATGTTCACACCAGATTTTTTTTTGTGGAGAAAAAAGATTATATTGACCAAAATCTATTGTGTTTATTGCTTCAGAAGAATTTTTCAGGCTCATTATTACTCGTGGTTCAGAACTCGCGTGCCAGGGAAAAATACCAAGTAAGTTAAGATACTAGCAACATGGTACAAATGTTAAAAAATTCTATCTACGTATATAAAAATTTCGAAAACATGGCAATTTCAATTTTGCATTTTGTCTTATTTTATTTCTGTTGGGAAGATAATTCTACATATTTTTGTGCTGCAGGCTATTAGAAGAGGAAACAACTTTACTGTAACTTTACTAAATAATTAAGAAGAAACTGCAAAAACAAGATAAGTCAGTCAATATGCGTTGTTTGCAGTAATCCCTCATTAAATCTGCAGTCGTATTACTTGGTCACATTCAGTAATATGCTTTAAGATAAACATTTTTGTCAACTTTCCGGTTATAGTACAACCTCCTATTCTTATGAGTACAACATTCGTAATCAGAAAGGGAACTCGTTTATGTGCTTATCTCAAATCAGTAGACAATGGATTTATCTAGTTTTTGCAGTAACCCGATGATTTACAAGATCATCGGTAACAATAAATACAACACTGTTTCATAATTGAAGGATGTTTTTTTAGAATCCTGTTCTCTAGGGTTTTAAGGCAAAACTTTTCCCAGACGAATAAATATTTCATATTTCTGATTAACCTTTCGAAAAAGGCTTTTTGCACTCTCTGAAAGCCGATTTTAAGCGAGTTTTTGTGAAATTTATGAATCGTTACATTGATAGATCGCAAATTTAGGCGTGTTTATGGTCCAGTTTATGGACTTGTGCTGCGTTAGAAGTCAACACAGGATATTTTAGAAAAAGTAATTTCATACAAAAAATCGATTTTTGGAAAAGTGTATTTTGCGAATCCGGTGCTTAAAAAATCGCGAGTAGGCCGGAGTGTAGGTTGGCGGCGGCGCGCTGCCACCGTCCCAATAATCGATTCCGGGGGCGGCAGCGGGACACAACACGCACACATACACACTCATTTTGGCCGGTTCGAATGCACAGTTCGAATTTAGCGCCCCATTTCGTAACAACAATTGCGCCAAGCACGTGTGGTAAAGTCGATTATTTCAGTGTTTTGTTTGTGGCGTGTTAGACTGTGAGTGATGCGGGGTGAACGGCCGAAAGTCAAGAAAGACACTAGAACTTTATGAAATCACAGTCAAAGAACAGACTCGGAGTTACTGTTAATAGTTTTCGGCTTTAATGGCGGAAAATCAGATCGCTCAGGTAAAAACGAAAAGAAAAAAAGAAGACCGAGGATGAGTATCGGACCGCAGCTGCTGCTAACAGGGCCGTTATTAGGGTTTAATATGAATTAATGTGCTCCGGGGGAGGATTATGAGCGTCTTTTGTACAATGTATTGTGTGTGTTTTGTTGCTTTATTTTATTTTATGGGTTGTAATTGATGGCGACAGAGGCGCCTCGTCGATATACGCATTCAGAGGGTTGTTTTAATTACCCAAAGTTTGATTTTATGGACGATAAAACTTTGCCGTACTGTTATTAGCGTGTTTTTGTGTCGACTTTTGATAAATGGGATGTTCGTGAAGACACCACTGGGAATAATTACAACAAAATCGAACTGTACACTCAGAATTCGACAAATAGATCAAAACTCAAAGAACTAATCTCTTCCTAAAAGCTAAAAGAGTGGTAGTTTGATTTATCTCAGTGTAGTACAKCATGGTCAACAAATAAGGGATTGTTTTGACTTAATATGAGGGTGCTATGTTGYTTATTATCTGAAGAGGCAATTTCTGCCAGCATTCTCTTGACAGAAGCAAAATTTTACAGCGTATCTTTTATTCGCTTGATCTCGTTTTATTTGTTTACATATTCRCCACTGCCGGCAAARAAACGCAATAAAGTGTSCATTAAGCTCATTTTATGGCCTTAACAAAGCGAGTYTGACGGGAAATCTCGTCGAAATAATTCATGAAAAAGTGTCCGAAATCATATTTTCGTTTAACCCGGATCGTGATTATGCACCTGTAGTGTGAATAGCTCCCTCTATCCACTTAACAAGTTTAATCGACACGGTCCTGTTTACATACCGAGGTTTTCCACGGTAAAGAAACGGGGTCGAAGTATCGTAGGGAAATTTCCATTTTACAAGGCAACATCCCTTGTTTTACATAGACCGGCCCCGGAAAGAATCGCAACGTTTGCATTATTAATCCGGGCGAAGCCGGAATCGGAGAAAAATTGCCCTCTTTTTTTAGTATTAAGCGGAGCGTTACTTGAATTCCGGTTTTTGTAACATTTGCGTATTTAGGGGTTAATACCGGTCGACCCCCCGATCTGTGTGCTACAGGGGGGTTGATTATGGCGCGTCGAGGTACCGCCCCTTATCGATTTTTTTCGTCTGGAAGAAACCGTCAAGTGTGAGTTACTATGGTTACAAGGTAATTTTCAGACGGGATTCAAAAATCAAACAGCTGAAAATTTCTACTTAAGTCACTCTACCGGAATTTTAATTTCGTGACGCGGACAAATCATAGATTTTAATTACTTTCAGATATCTGAAATTATTTCGAGCGTAACCGCAATTGGGGCGCATTTTGCTAATTGCGATCATTCGCAACGTCAACATACCCTACAACCAATATTTATCATTCGACGAAATGTTCGGTCAGAATACACACTCACTGATTAAAATAATTGTTAATTGACGAAGTGAAGGAAATGGAAGTTTTTGGAAGGAAGCCAAATTAATTTTTGACGGGAGATAATTAGAAAAAGTTCAAGAGTTGTATCGAGTCGGGAAGTTTTTTCATAAAAAATACTACACTGAAACAAACGAAAGCAACTTGTGGAAGTTTTAAGAGTTGCTTCTGGTACTTTATTGAGAGACTGGTTAAGTGGCATCACATGTCCTGGCACAACAAAGAACTTCCGGAATGAATGCAAGAAATCGATTTTCGAAACTTTGAGACAAGTTAAATGACATTTAGCGATAAGTAAACATCTCAATTGAACTGCAAACTTACTTTGGTTTTCCTTGGAACTCTGTGCTAACTTAAATTTCTGATCAAAACTGCCTGTGACTTTAAAATTAATTTGGCAATATTGAATAATGCAGATTATCATTTGGCCACAAAATTGAAACAAAAAAAAATGACAAGTCTCATATCTACCTTCTATCTTTACATTATTCAATGTTGTCAACTTAGTTTCAAAGTCACAGGCCATTTTGATCAGAAATTCAATTGATCGTATTGTATGGTGCAAACAGAATAGTTTCATTTAAAATAACTTAAATAAATAATAGAATCGAAACTTACGTAACAAAAACCCCGACCTGGTCAACACTAAACCGCTCGGGGTTGATTTTATTCCGATTTATTTACGCGTTGTGTAAATATTGATTACTGACATGGTGCACACTCGATTACCAAATTGCAKTCGTATTTGTTCAATGTATTKTTATTTCAGTACGTTTCAATTTGTCCTTCCAGTCAAGTTCATGTTTTATCAATATGGCTCCCACTACTTGAAATTAATACTAATTGAAATCGAGTGCAACGGATCATGTTTTATCAACAGGAAATTTTCATTATTCATTACCATTTTTYCCTCCTTACAAGTCGCCCGTTAAAAACACTATTCCGGTTATTAAAATAGTCCAAATTGGCTCCGCCTCTATTTGTTATCACTGACATACCTATCACATTCCTTGCCCATGCCTTAGTCAGTTTCCGTGCGAGACAGGTGAATAATGGGTGAAAAAACGGTAGTTAAATTGGCAGCTGAACACAGCCGATACCGCTTAGTGCGCATCTTTTATGTTTTTCCCTCTAACTTTGTCTTAAATTTWSTCWATTTCTAGGTGATTGCATTCATATGCGGGCTGATAGTGATCATCTTGATGATAATGGGACTCGCGTCCACCGACTGGCTGATGTCCGATGGTTGGAGGCAGGGTCTCTTCATCCATTGCATCGAAGAAAACGCCCCCCAACCGTTGCCCTTCGACATGCAAGAGCCTCCCGGATGTTACCAATCCAGGGATGCAGGTATTCAACAAGTTCAAAACCTAAAGCTGTTTTCGACTAGTCGATCAATCTTCCGTCTTTAGCTTACGTCGGAATGCAAATATCGCGTTTTATTGGCAGGTTGTTGCGACTACAATTAATAATTCAGCGAGGGGTGAGATGACTGTGTTTGAAGGGTCGCAAGGGAAGTTTAACGCTAGAGACGTGCGTTATTAAATGATGTGACAGTTGACATAGATTTGAGAAGATAACTAAACGAATTAATTATTAGATGTAAAGTTCAAAGAATTATTTATCACAATCATGTGATATCACGATATCAAAAATAAAATGCAATCTTATAAAATAAGATTGCGGTAAAATTTTTCTCTACTAAATGTTTCCTTTTTCAATTTAGTAATTTTCAAATGATAAACAAAAAGTATGGAATACGCTTTATTCCTTGTGCGCTTTTTTTTGGGCGCTTATTTCCGGTTCGCTTATTTCCTGTGCGCATATATCCGGTCACCATTTTAACTAATGCAAAATCAACGTTTCAGGACGGAGGACTAAAAAAATAGTTAGTGCAATAGCACTAATTTAGAAAATTAAATTATACCTTACTAAAACATCCTAGCTTGAGCGCTCTCACACATGTGTAAAACATTAATTTAACCATCTTTGTCGTGTGATAACAATTGTTTTTCTCTGGGAATTGTTGGGAAATTTAGTAGCACTACAAGTAGAAAACGGCAAAAGCTTGAGTGAAGGTAAAAAATAAAAATTCAGTTAAAATTATACGCATTACGAAGTCACTTTTCACGTTAATCATCAAATGACGATTAATTCATAGAACATCCTATGATTAAGTTAATCAAGAATAAACATAAACTTTTTTGTTAATCACAGGTTGAAAAACGGTAACATTGTGTTAATTACAAATTAAACCTTAATAAAAAATTAATCAACAATTGAAAAACCGGGCCTTAGAATACGTGCATATGTTTTAAAGCACTTAGGCGACATCTTTCTTAGAAGAATCAAAAAATTTAAGGTGGCAATAAAAAAATCTTTTTTGTTCTTATACTCTTTCTCTTTCTTATGATTTGTTCTCTTATTTGTGTTCTCTTATTTCTGCTCTCTCTCTCTCTCTCTTATTTACTCTAATGCGCCCGCCATCTTTTGACAATTATTCGAATTGTATTTGAATTTGAGAATTAGAGAAAAATTGACTTTATCGAGGTTCGAACCACAGACCTACTTGCCGTTTTCAATTTTTTCGATCCTTGGTAAAATTTTGATCGATTTTCGGCACTTAATTTTTTATCTTAAAAGAAATATTGACCTGTGCGCTTGACAACAAATCATCAATTTCGCGTATTTATTTCAATGTGAGAAGTTAAGGTTTTTCATGTTGTAGAAAAATATGTTTTTTGAAACTCGATCCAAGAACATTTTATCTCTTTTTCGTTCCAAAACTAGTTGTTTTGACTAAAGAGAGAGATTTTTACGCTTATCGTTACATATTCTGTTTCACAATTGAAGAATATTTATTTCAGTTCAGTATGTATGCAACTATTTTATGTAGGTATTTTTCTATTAAGTACTTGTTATAGCGCTGGGTTAAACTTTTTTAAATTCTTAAAAACTGAAAATTAAAATCACGAATAATTTTTTATTCATATCATTATTATGGATTTCGTATCATTGTAAAAACACAAAAATTTACTTTGTCTTTTTTTAAACGTATTTTAATGGACTACTGTAGTGTCTACTCAGAGAAGAACTGTTAAAAAAAGGAAAAGGGTAGTTCCGAAGTTTCAAAATTGTGTTAATTTAATAACCTTTATGTTAAATAGTTGTTTTTTTTTCCAAATTTGTGAATCATTTGTATGGTATGTCTTGGAAAACATGTTTTATAATTTATTTCTTATTAAGATGTTAAAGATTGTTAATTTTTTTATTTCCGAAAGAATTAAGTTTACATTATTTGCGTTGTTATTTAATAAAAAGTGGCATTTGATTCCAATTTAGCACTTGCTATATTTAATTCAACCTAACTTAATTTTTTAAATAAATTTCGTTGTTTATTTTATAACGTACTAGCAGATGTTAAAAGGAAAAGTCACTTAATGTAGTTAATTTACTTTGCTACAATTATTTTCTTCCTTCGAGTCTTTGGTTTGAGCTTTGAGCAAAACCCTTATTACCAAATTAACTTTCTTTTACCTTTGTCATTTATCAATAAGACGAAGTTTTTCTCGTCGAAGAGAAAGGCTTTTTACGTCTTTGTGGAGAGAATAGGTTTGTTTTGACCATTGAGGGAACATTTTTGAAGACATTTTTCTGGTTTCCAGGTTTACTTTTGACGTTTAAAGTCCAAAGAAAGATAGGACTTTTTAAATTAGTTGTACGTCTATTTTTGATGATTGTTTTTTCTTTGTGTTTAAAAGTTTCAAAAATTTTCGTAAGAAGTAAAAAAAAGTAAAGCGAGTTGTAAGAATGTTACAAATGCATTTAATTATTTGAGTGTGTATTTATTCAATTTTTGTGAATAAATTGATTATTCAAAATAAGGAAAAGAATGCTTATGATTGTGTATTCTGTGGTCACACACCATTACTAAGACCTTCATTTCCACTAGCATTTATGAATCACAGAACGTGCCAATTAGGTGGTAATTTGAATATTTTTTCCAGCATACATCCACGCCGCCGCCGCACTGTGCGTCATCACGTTGGTGACGGACGCCGCGGCAACCTTCCTCACCGGAATGGGTCTAAAAACAAAAGACCATCACTCCAAATACAAGTACTACCGATACGCTGTGATAATCATGGGTCTTTCCCGTAAGTTTGAAATGTTCATTGCGAAACAAACCTAAATATTTGAAAATTTCAGTGGTTTCGATACTTGTAGCCCTGATAGTCTACCCGGTATTTTTCGCCGCGGAACTGAATCGGGGCAACAGGACGATATGGGAGTTCGGTTGGGCGTATGGAGTGGGCTGGGGCGCCGCCATTTTCCTGTTCGGCGGCGTCGTTCTTTTAATGTGTGACAAAGAAAGCGAGGAGATTTACTATAAAGAGCGAAAAATCGTGCACGATAACGATTCGAGAGCCTAGTGGCCACATAGTCTGCCCGATGTTGTTCTCTGATCATAAGAGGCGTGCCTCTCTCAGAGAATGTGCTGTGAACGAGAGATTCGTGTGAATGGTCGCTTGCCTGATTCTGGACGTGTTAGCTGATCGGTTTGATGCAAAAATTCATTTTGATTTCGTTGAGGATTCACATTTTGGACGCGCTGTCAAACTGATCGGTCGAGTTACTATTTAGTTGTTTGATTTGCTTGCCTGGTTATATCACCAGTCAGCCAGTTTTGTAGTTGTTACCATTTTAAGGCGCTAATTGACTTTGATCGGTCAGGTCGGTCGAGTTGATTTTGTGAATGAAATGATCGGCTTGATGGATCAGAGGAATTCGTGCAGGATGTGTGTTTAGAGCGACTGAGAGACAACCCGGGCAGGCTAGGTGTATGTTTAATAAATACGAAATAAAGACTTGAACCAACTTAATGAACTGTTTTCATGTACATGATTTTCCGTTGTCCGTTCCATTGCACATGGAAAAACAGTTCGTAGTGATGTCAATATTGTAGTTGTAGATATTATTATACTCGATGGCAGCTAATTATTTTTTATCAAATTTTTCGTTTGGGCATTATTTTATTTTTATAGTATTTATAAAACGAAATTATCGTGCAGCTGCGCTTATATTGACCAATACGTAGTTATCGTTGGGTTCAATCAGTTGTGTGACTTAGGGTACTTTAAAAAAGCATATCGATAAAATGTAACTTTACGTGCGTAACAACGTTATTTATATTTGTATTAAAGTTAGGGTAATTTAATAATACTGGACCAACGTTATTTTGCTTTAAACAATATACTGCCAGATCATTTTGGCCACAAGCATATTTACATTTTTATAATTTCACTGTAATTATAGTCGTAAGTTTTTTTATCAAGTATTTTCTTAATTTATTGTATTGTAAATAATACTATGTCACATAAACAAGCATGGTAAAATGTAGTGTTGTGATATATAGCTTATGTATATATTAGATGTGAGAGCCATATATCTTGGTAGGAAATGCAACTTATAAGTATATCCCAACTTACAATTTATATTTTCTACTATTAATTTCATTCCTTGTGTGAATTTACTGTTACAATTGTATAAAAATAAAATTGAAATTCTCTTAATGTAAGGGTAGTTGATCTCAAAATGGAGTTAAGATCTGAGGTTCATTCCATAAAAGCACTTGTACCTATCTTCTGTCATAAAAATAAATTATTTGTATTACACTTACTTTATTTAAAAAAGTACAAAATATACAAAAATACCATCTTTAAGCTGGAAAGTTGCATCAAAATTAGCAAAACCAAACACAAGAGATACTATTTTACATATTGAAAATTTTTCTGCTCACTAAATGAAACTAAACTTTTTTTAACCAATTTCATTTATACGCAGAAACGAGATCTGAAAACCATAGTCTGCCATCACGTCGCCGTTGTTATTGGTGCTTCCTAGGAAAAAGGGGCAATCCGTCAAGTTTTGTGTCGCTTGAAGGTTGGTTCAATATGTAGTGGGAAAACTATATTTTTTCCTTAAAACCTATACTAATATACAGGGTGTTTCACGTAATTTTACGAAGCCTGCGCCTGTAAGATTCAATCAATAATACGTATTCCGATACAAACTTGATTACAAATTTTGAAAAATTGAATAAATCTTCTGTAGTTTGTTCACCCTTTAAAAAATTACGTTTTTAGTTAGTTAGTGATTAAGATAAATAAACTAGAATCATATTCATGCCGTCTCTTGATAGAACAAATGATAATTGTTTCTGAAAAACTGCAGTTTATGACTATTAATGAAACAGTGATTGGTTTGACAACTACTGTCATGGGTCTCCAAAAATTAAATAGTTAGAAGTGTATTTTTTGTATCCAGTGTTCTGTGACTTTTGCATAATTGGGTGTGTACATTAGGTGCAAGCCTCGTAAAGTTGTGTGAAACACCCTGTATTTGGTCTCAAGTGTAGCGATGGGATTCAAAAAGTCGGTACAGGAGTTTGTTGCAAAAAAGGTCACCGTTCATGTTTTTTGAACGCTACCTTTTGTATTTCACACTCTATTCTGTTTGGCTTCAAACAGTTGCAAAATACGTTCAGATAAGCATTTTTATGTTTGTGGATGCTACATAGCTGCATGGATGCAAAATAACCATTATTAAAGTTTGCAAATCTGCATTATTTTAGCTTTCCCACCGGTAATCAAGTTAAGTACTGGGTTCCAAATGTCTTCTGCAACAGTTGTCGGTTTAATTTAAGTAAATCATTTGGAGCGCAAATATAAATATATTATATAAGTAAATATAAGTATATTTTTTTATAATTATTTAGTAAAGGTACAAAAATTTTGCCAGTAAAAGCCATAAATAATGTTAAACATAATTACAATTCAGGATACAGCTTTCTTGTCTCCTCTTCTAATAGCCTACGGCAAAAAACATGGAAAATTATTTTTCAAATAGAAAAAATTGGCGTCAAAGTGCAAGATTTTTTAGCATTTTTTCTGTGTTTCTGATATCTTGTCTTGCTTAGCATTTTTCTCTGAGACGCGAGTTTTGAAAAACATTGTAGACAGAGTGAATTTGATAGTTGTGGAAAAATTTTAACCGGTGATAATATAAAAGAAAAGATGCAAAAACAGTTCAGTAGTTTCTGAGAAATAGAGGGTTTTAGTCGTCGGAATAAATTTCATTTTAGAGCCATCAGATTTGGAACAAGCTCTACCACGCATATCATGCAGACGTGATGGAAAATTCGGAGGTCAGATCCAAAATCAGCATCACAATATTAGTTAAAAAAAGTGTTCTCATATGATGAATAAAAATAGTGTAAACTAGTGTTATTCACACTGATGACCATAAACTGCCTCTCCTTTGTATGTATTTCGGGTAATTTTAATGAATTTACCAATGGAAAGGTATCGAATTTTGTTAATAACATTATCACCTTGTATAATTCCTGGGAGGCGAATCTAGTATAGAACTCAGCTCTCCTAATCCACTCTCGGTAATCTCACGAATTGGCTGAACCTCYTCTTCAGATTCAAACAATTTAACTTTTTTCCTCKTCGGCCCYTCATCCTCCAAATTTTCTTTTATATTCTTCAAAATCTCTTCATTCACCGCTGCTTCTCTATGCAAAACGTTGGCTTCGACTTTATTCGGTTTGAGAAATTTTAGCAACTCCACTCCCTCTTCGTACGAGGCGTGAGTCGAGTAGCAAACAAAATGTGTATTGTATGTTTTTTCCGAAATTCCCTTTTGTAAACTTTCACTTTTCCATCTAAAAGCCGAGACTTTGATAATTTTAACTCTGTAATGTACTGTGTTGGGACACACAGTTTTGTATGTAGTACCGCAGGCACTGTGTATTCTAGTTTTATCTTTACATCTCGTCACAGCGCAGTCCATTTCCGGGACTCGGCTGTAAAATTCGTATATTTCGTCATTGACATGAATCGGCATTTTCATTTGTTTGTAAATTTCGATAAAAAGGTACTCATAGCCGTACTTTGCCGAGGTGTCAAGCCCCACAACGTGTTTGTCGCTCCGCGAAATCCAATCCCCAATTATGGAGCAAATCTCTTCCAAGCTTTCGGCTCTTGGAGGAAATTTCGCGTACGACTTTAGAAAAAAAGTAGTGTCCAAATAAACCGATTCTATCCGTTTTTTTACGTTCAAAGAATCATACAAAGCTTTAAATTTTGGGATATCTTGCGGGTTAATTCTGTAATCACCGGTATATAAAACATTGACTTGGGCTTCAAAAAGAAACATTATTGAGCCGGGACAGTGTCCTGCCGGAATAGGGGTSACTGATATGGCCCCACTTTTCAAGAAAACACTAGTGGGGAAGCGCAAATCTAATTCAATCAAATTTTCGCCTATCTGTGGAAACATATTTTTAACGATTTCCGCGGAAACGTGCGAAAGGTATAAAAAACGCCGATTTTGGATAAGTTTTTCGTGAAATTCGGGCGCTTCCAGGCCTCTCATGTGGTCGGTGTGACAGTGGGACAAGAAGAAGGCTTCTGAATCTAAGTTGTCCCCATCGAATCTTCCAAAAACATAAATTAGATTAAATAATTAATAATAAAAAAAAAAAAATACCGGTCGATGCTTATCCCGGGAATTTCAACGATCCTGCCGCCGAAAGTGCTCATTTTGAATTTCCCGCGCGGCTTTGACAGGAAGCGCGTCGTTGTTTTGGCGGTTGTTGTGTAGGTTATTTTGTCGTTAACCTAATTTCGTTCCGGGCTTGTTTCTTGTGTTTTCTGCGGCAAATTTCCGGTTCAGTGTTCCAAACAGCGGCAAATTGTCGAAAATCCGTTCGCCAATTGCGCCCCTTTCGAACACGGGGCCTTTGCTGCTGTTCGACCACAACACGAAACGACAAGTCAAGCAGCCATTGCTCATTGTAAAGTGAAGGTCGACGCTGAGTCCGTAAAGCTTGGTTAGGTTGTCGTTTTCCGCTGTTAAAACCCATGTAAGTACCACTTTTGGGGGCTGTAGAGACGTATTTGGGCATCAGTGATCCGGGATCGATTGTAGTTTTGTGTTAGAAGCCGCTGTCGTGCCGTGATGTAATTGTCGTTTTCCTTTCTTTACACCGAGATTGGTATGCAATGGACGTTTATAGCGCGCAGTTGGGACAATTCGGTGGGATTTCGACGGGTTTGGCTCCAGGACGAGTGGAAATGGGTGGAAACCGATTCGTTTTGATGGAAAAAAGGCTTTGTTTACGTTTTTTCAAATTGTAAACTTTGCTAACCTCAATTAAGCATAACCTCACTTGTCAAATTTATTTAACCTCCAAGGTGGGCGCCTTTCGATAGGTTTTTTAGTTTAGAGACGCCGCCATGAGACCGCGCTTGGAGGATGAGGATGCGACGGCCGACAATCGGGATGAGCGATTTCGCGGTTTGGGGGGGCTCGCGGAATTCGATAGGTCGTTGCTTTTGGAGATGATCCAGTTAATATTATGTGAGGTTGATGATAGTAATTGATTTATAATAGCCGTGACATAACGTAATTAAATCGAAACGTGAATGTAATGCGCGAGATGTCGGCTAATATTTGCTTTGCGATTATGAAATATGGTTATTTATATTCCTGTCTTCGACGACCGTTTTCTACTCCTATGAAAACCTTCAGATCTAAGAAAGGATCGGTTATTCAACTTTATTAAATTTTTATCTTCTTATTTATTAGTTGTGGCTTTTTTCGAGGTACGACATATTGTAATTATGCTTCCTAACTTTCAAGATAGTTCATTAGTTTTTGGAGGTTTACAACCAATAAATAATTTTCTTTGCAGTCCACCCATTGTATTGTAGAAAATAATATGAAGGACTTTAAATAAAAATAAGTTGAGAACTAACTAATTATCTTCCGGATGTCCGGAACAACGTTGAAAGATTTCGGGCAGTCGTTCCCTAAGTCAAAACCTAGTTTTTTTCGAAAACAGTGCGTCGTACAAAAATAACGCTATAGATATTTTTGACGACAATTAGCCCATAAATCTGAATTTGACAAAAAAAATTTAAAAAACTTTTTCCAGAGCAATATTTTTTGTCTAGAATAGATTGACCACAGTGCCTTCGTCCCCTAATTAGCTAAAAAATTACTTCAGATGCAAACTTTTGTCAACCGGTTACTGAGAAAAGACCTTTTGCCCGCCATCTTCCGGGGGGGCTCTAACTCTCTTAAGAAGCATTTTTTGACATAGGTCTATGGGAACTTTTTCGGAACCATTCTTTCAACGTTTTTTCCGGTCATCCAGTATACATAAAATTTAAAAACAAAATAATTAAAATCATTACTAATAAACACGTTTTAAACATTATATTTTATAGCTAATAACTTTGCTTGCGTCAATAAAAGTCATTTTAGAAGGAAAAAAATTTTATTTCGTGTAGTAGTTTTTATTATGTTAGAAATTCGTCTTTTTTTGTTTTAGTAAATCTTTGAACAACAGAAATTTATTCAGAAAATTTTCAAAGAAAATCTTTGTAGCTTTATGCTAATGCATAAACTTTTACATACATTAGCATAAAGCTACAAACATTTTTGAAAAATTAGGTAATTTTCTTGTAAGGTTTTTTCATCTTTTTTAATTTACATCGCTGAAAACTAACAATGAAACTTCTTGAATTTCACTATGTTTTATGTAAAAACTAAGAGAATAAGGGCCAATTTTTCAATTTTTATTGAATTGGTATTGGTATGAATAAAAACTTTATATTTTTGTCAATTTAGTAATGAGGTTTTTTTTGTTAAATGGATTGTGAAATAGCAGGTGGTTTATTATAGTTTACTGTAGAAGTAAAAGAAAGTTATAAAATTGATCCATTTCAACATGGGCTGGTGGTTCTATCGAGGAAACAAAATTTCTCAAAGTCTAAATCCAATTTACCTATTGAAGATACCGAAGGTACTAATAATAAATTATGCTTTGAAAATAAAGAAAAATATCCTTCACTGTACAATATTCTATAATTAAATACAATTTTTTCAAACTAAATTAATACAAAGCATTTTTAAATTCGCAGTCGTCCTTTCAGAATTTAAAAGTTATTATGTAATAATATAAAATTTAAAGAATTTATTAATTTATTGATAAATATTTGGCAATGACAAGAATAGGATGTTGCATTATTCTTGAATTAAAAAAAGAAAGATAGTGATATCTTCAAATAGTAATAATAATCAATGAGCGTAAGTTTTATCCAGAGAAAAGAAAAAAATACAACTACAAAAAATATCATTCTAATATGTTACAATAAAAGTATTTTTTTTTTCATTTTTTCCACATGAAACCCGAATTGCTTGGTTCTGGGTCTTTGTATTATAAAAAATAGTTATTTATGTATAAAACCACTTATTTAAGTCTTATTTTTAATTACCAATGTAGATTTTGCTGCCGTTTTAATAAGCGAAATCAGGAATAGTTAGAACACGTGAAATAATGTGGGTTTGCCCTATAAAATCATCACTTGTCAGAGATAAATGGCGCCGTAATGTGAAATTTGTTCTCATCTTTTTTTAATATCTCCTAGAGATTACTAGCTCTAAATTTTGCAAACACACTAAATAAGTGACGTGATGACTATTGTTTTGTTAAAAAAAAAACTTCAAAAATCAGAAAATCAAATCAAAAAATCTGGGAAAACTGTAACCCCCCCAAAAAATATGTCATCCGATAAGAGTTTAGGATTATTAAAAAAAGATGGGAACAAATTTCAAATTTGGCGTCATTTATCTCTGATAAGAAAGCCTTTTTGAACAATTGTTCATAGGACAAACCTACATTATTTTTACGTGTTCTATCTCTTCCTAAATTTTTACCGATTAAAACGGAACCACCTTGTATAAAGAATTTGAATTGAATAGTTTTTGCTTTGTTTCAGATTTTGAAAATATGCTGTTGACGTGCGTTCACCATGGAAGATAATTTCGCTCTAGCTTGGGACGATTCGACGGCCGTCGTTCAAGGCGAGGAGGTAATTTGCAGCATCGAAAATGAAATTCTTCCCGCCGAAACGGAAGAATTTACCGGTATCCAACAGACGGAAGAGGAAGCCACCGAGGTAGAAACAGTCGCCGAACCCGAAGGCAATATCGTTTATATAACGGAAGATAATGTTCTTGTTATGCAACCAACGCAAACAGTCAACTTCGAAGATGATTTCATGGAAGTCAATGAAGACGTTTCCGAAGAAGTTGCTGAAGAAATCAGCGAAGAAGTTGTAACTGAACAATGGGACGAAAGTTGTCCAGAAGAAATTGTTGTCGGATCAGAAGAAGCTGTCGGTGGCGATGATGAACAAGCAAATGAAGATTTCGATATTCCGTTGCCGACCGATCAGGATGAATATACGGCATCCAGGCCATATCCCTGCGACTTTTGTAGTCGGCGATTTAGGAAGAAGGCGAATTTGATGAACCACATGGTGGCACATCAGACTGATAGACCCCATGGGTGTAATCTTTGCGGGGTTAGATATATTAGAAAGTGTGATTTGATGAATCACTTGAAAGTTCACGCGTATATTCCTGAAACGGACGGATTGGAGGAAGAAGATGTTCAACAGTTGGATGATTCTGATGGAGAAAAGAGGCCCAAAAGGAGGGCTTTCTCAAGAAGGAAGAAGAATAAAATTAAGGAAGAATACGATGATGAAGGTGATGATACTGTGGCTTCGAGTTCACGTTCGTACAATTACGTCGATGAAGACATGCGACTTATGGAGGCTATGGAAAACAATGTCAAAGGAGATTATACCGATTATAGCGATTATATGACTGAGAATCAGCCAGTGGAGGTCAGATATCCCATTACTGACCCTCGAAAACCTTTTGTTTGTCAGCATTGTGGTGTCGGATTTGCTCGAGAGAAGGCCTTAGCTTCGCATGCACGAATCCATGGCGGAGATAGTCCTTTCGAGTGCCAGAAGTGCGGAGAGATGTTTTGGGACGTGGCTTTAATGCGCGAACATCTCCGCAGCAAACACGGAGACATTGAAGATTTTGACGATGACGAAGATGAAGACTACTCAGAGGAAGAAACTAAATATGGAACTTTCTATTGCTCGACATGTGGTCTTTCCTTTCACCGACAAGATAATTTGAAGAGACATCAAAGAGTGCATATTAAAGAGGAATTTATAAATGATCACGAGTTTGGCCATATTTGTAACGTATGCGGTGAGTCCTTTCAGGAAGCTTTAGATTTATTGGCACATGCAGAAGTACATGCTCGAGGATCAGAACACCGTTGCATGATCTGTGGAGAGGTGTGCAGTGACGATCAGGCTGTTGCTGTTCACGTTCAAGCAAAACATGGAAAGAATCTCCCGCCAAACACTTGTATGTTGTGTGGACGCACTTGCAAGGATCGACGTACGCTGCTGAAACATTCATGGGAGCATTCGAAAGAAAAAAGTTTTGCTTGCTCCAAGTGTGCTAAAACTTTCCATAATAAAGCACGTCTAAAACGTCACATGTTGTCACACAGGAACAAAATCGTAACGTGTGACGTATGCGGAGAAGAATTCCCCGATGGTCGCTCTTTAATGAATCACAGACACAGTCATAGTAGTCTGTCTGGACGACAATTTCCTTGTTTGGAGTGTGGAAAGACGTTCGGATCGCGGAGCTCGCAACAGATCCATATAAGGATCCATACCGGGGAGCGTCCGTATGGATGTCGATTTTGTTGGAAGGCTTTTGCTGACGGGGGGACTTTAAGAAAACACGAAAGAATTCACACGGGAGAGAAACCTTATGCTTGTGCCGTCTGTCCCAGAGCTTTCAACCAAAGAGTTGTATTAAGGGAGCACATTAGGTCACATCATTCTGGACCCGATCCCAAATACACCCACAGTGTGACTCCTTATTGTTGTTCTGTGTGCTCAGACATGTTTGCCACTTCTCAGGATCTTATTGTGCATTTGATCCATCATTGCGATTTGAATACAGCAATGAAAAGGCAACCACAAGTCGGCCCGAGAAAGTATAAAAGGAGAAGGAAATTAAAACCACACGAACTTGAAATGATTTCAAATAAACCCGATGAAGAAGTTGAGGAGGAAGAAGAACAACATTACACCGACTCAGAAGACGAAAGGGAATTAAGAAAGAAAAATAACAAAAAGAATAAAAAAGGTTCGCCTAAACCGACTTTGAACGAAACGTACACAGATTTGTACAACAGTTGTTCTTCTGCTATTGAGAACATAAATTCTATAGTAAATTCAAAATCAGCTTCGAAATCAAAAAGAAAACTCAAGGCTGAGCCCCCGGTTCCGTCAAGACCTAAAATGATCCATACTCAAAAAACCCGCGTTCCTGTCGAAACAGGTGAAGATGGAAAAATTCGACACAAAACAAAAACTCTAGTGACGCGGACCCAACCGACTGAGTTGAAGTCAGCTACTGGCGAGAGGATAAGGCCTCGAACTAAAAACGTCAGTTATCACATTCTTAATTCGGAGAAACTCCCATTAGCTACGTTCCCTGAGGACGATACAGAGCAAGCGGTCAATAGTTTACTGAAAGAGGATCAGAATTTCGATCAGAGTAATGGAATTGTGTACATGGAACAAGCCGAGACGCCACCGGAAGTGGCTTCTGAACAAATCGTCGAGACAGATAACGGTCCAGTGCCAACAAACATAATAAAGGTATCGTCGACACCACCGCGATTGCAGAGCTTGCGACCGGGACGTACTATTATAGGACCGGGGAGTAAAGTCGTGCGATTGGTTAAAGGAGGGATGATTATAACAAAGAATAAAAAGACAGAGCCGGAGAACATACTTCCCGATCTTGAGAACACAGAAAAGGAGGAAATGAGGGTCAAGCAAGAGGTTGACCCGAGTCCGTTGCACGAATTAGCTGAATTATCGATGCAACATGCGCAAAACATGTTCAAATGTGAAATGTGCAGTGCTGTTTTTGACGATAGAGCCAAACTGTTGGATCATGTGCCGATTCATATATGATTGTAAATACGTTTTGTTTTTGCCCTGTCTCGATGAAGAAGTTTGTATTAAGTTGTATTAAGTGATTCAGGCCCATACATTTTTACGAGGTTTCTTATTTGATAGTTAAGATCGGACGGGAATTGCGAGCTGTACAACTCTTCAATATATTTTTGTATTATTTTCTATGGAGGAAAAGTTTTTGCAGTGACACGTTTTAATATTTCTTTAAGTAATTGCAAACTATTGTAGCAAACTAAGATGTATTTTAATCTCTTTGTAACGATTTTACTAGTTTTTATGTATATAATAGAGATATAATGCACTAGCATGTAGAAACTGTAAGTTGTATGTTATTCATGGAAATAAATCATTGGTTAGGCATAACGGCTAGTGGTGCATACTGAACCAGTAAACACACATTTACTTTTTTACTACTTAATTATTTATAAATTCTGGTTAAGGACTTTAACAGTTTCTTTTAGGTGCCCCCAGTCGGATAGTCCAAGTTAATACTTTTAATCACTTACCTATTGTACTGTGGTTAGGTGTAAAAATAAAAATTATGAGATTAATAAGTGAAATCTCGATTCATAAATTATTTTCCAAAAATTACATTATTTTCTGAATTTGGTTTTCGCTGATTTGTGTTGGCTAGCCTGAGTTTTGACATTTCATTTATTTGGTTATCTCAAGTGTCACTCAATTTTGGGGGGTCATTTTTGGGCTTAAATCCCAACAAATTGTGTTGGAACGATTATCAAATTTGTTTTATAGTACCAGTTTGTGAACGAATGGCAATGGACAGCGGTGAATCGACCAAAACGAAAAAACCGTCAGGTAAATAAACTCACACCAAGGGATGGTTCGACCTTAACACACCCCATTTATCGATCTTATGTCAACATAAAAGCCCCATGAACTCATTCGATGAGAAATTGCCATGTGTTGGTACTTTAAAGGTCATCCACATAGCAATTTTCTCAAGTGGAGAAACTTTTTATGAAGTAATTATAGTCGCAATGATTTATAATTCATAAACTACACGTAATGAGACGAATAGTACACAAAGATTATGTAGTCGTGATGATGGGGTTGCTTTGTAAGCAACACTACCGACAGACTGTATTTTTCTAAAAAATTCTTTCCAGATAGTGCATTTAAGCAGCAACGTTTGCCAGCCTGGCAGCCGATTCTGACCGCGGGGACAGTCCTTCCAACGTTCTTCGTGATCGGAATTGCGTTCATTCCTGTGGGTATCGGCCTGTTGTACTTCTCAGATGAGGTGAAGGAGCTTGTGATTGACTACACAAACTGCAACCAAACAAATGAGAGCAGTTCCATTAACGGAAACTTTACTGATACGGGAAAACGGTGTGCTGATGTTATCTCCGACGACGCCAACGCAGAATGCACCTGCATCATCCCCTTCACGCTCGAATCGGACTTTAAGGGAAAAGTCTACATGTACTATGGCCTCAGCAACTTCTACCAAAACCACCGACGATACGTCAAATCGCGCGACGATAACCAGTTGTTGGGACGGTTGGACGCGGAACCATCGTCGGATTGTAGTCCCTTTGATAAGATCAAGGATAAACCAATAGCCCCATGCGGGGCCATCGCGAATTCCCTTTTCAGCGACGTTTTAACCTTGAAGAAGCTAGAAGAAAACAGTTGGAAAGACGTGGAGTTGATCAAAAAAGGCATCGCGTGGGACTCGGACAAGAACATCAAATTTAGAAACCCCCCCGGGGATTTGAAGGAAGCTTTCAAGGATTTCGCTAAACCCAAAGCTTGGAAAAAGAACGTGTGGGAATTGGATCCTAATGATCCGGAAAATAATGGGTTTCAAAATGAGGATCTTATTGTATGGATGAGAACCGCAGCTTTGCCAACTTTCCGTAAACTATACCGAAAAATTGATCATACTCAGGATGGATACAAGGACGGGTTGCTTAAGGGCAAATACCAGTTGAGAGTTGACTATTGTAATTGTTTTCAAATATTTACTTAATTGTTATTTAATTTTGCTTTTTAGCTTACAATGTGATGCCGTTTGATGGGACAAAACGCATGATTTTAAGTACAACGTCGCTTTTAGGAGGGAAGAACCCGTTTTTGGGAATCGCCTATATCGTAGTAGGTTGTGTTTGTTTATTACTAGGAATTATATTACTCTTTATTCACATAAAGTGTGGTAAAAGGTGGGTTTTACCTGTGAAACTAAAGCTCGATTTAATTTCAACTTTTTTAGCACAAGTGAAATGATTAATGTCAATCCAAGGACAAACTACCAGTAAGTAATACATTCCTAGAAACTAACAAAGTGGCCTTATAAAAGTATTGTTATTTTCTCCACACTACGTATATATTCACTTTCTCGCAAGCCAATATTAATTATTTAATTTAGTAGTAAGTTTTTAATTGTGATAAATGTACAGGAGCTACGTGTTTTGAAGTTATATAAGTGTATTATATTTTGTTATTTAATGAATGTGAAATAAAAATTCTTGTTTTAATTATTTCGCTTTATCTCTCCAAAAAAAAGCAAAGTTGAGTCATCGTTTGTTTTTCCAATGGTTGAGTATCTGCGTTTAGTCTTCGGTCCGCGTCGCATAAAAATAAATAAAAAACTTGCGTTCTTTAAAAATGTTAAACGGTTGACTGATTCAATTATAAAAATAGTCAAGTAGCGTCATTTCTTCTTAATCATCGTAGAAAAAGCAAAAAAATGAGAAAAAGTGCGTCACATCAATTCACCTGTTTACGGTTGGTCATCCTGCTTTTCTTAAAAAAATAATAAACCAACGAAAAAAAATTGTCGTTTCTTAACAAGTGATAAATTCAACAGGAAGTTTAGTGAAATTTGCTACAAAATTACAGCTTTTTCGTCAAAAATTTCAGTTGTGTAGATGTGGCAACGTTGCTTGACAGTTTATCTCCTCATAAACGCCTAACCTAACAACCATATAGTTTGACAGTTTTGCAGTTTTATGGTTCGATGTGTATATAATAGTTTGAAAATGCAGTGTTTTTATTTTAATTTATAACTATAAGTATAGGACTTAGTTGTTTTAACTAAAGTTTCAACGAATAAGAGAACATGGCCGCAACGAGCTGGATGCGATATCCAAACACACGTCGGTTTCAAAGAGGTAGTTTGTTTATTCCGGTCCTGTTTGGTCTTTACTCAACTATTTGCGATTGCAGGTCGATCCGCAAACAAAGAAGACGACATTAATATCGACGTAAAAAGCGGTAATTGATTTTTACGTTTTTGTGGACACAACTCAAGCAAGCTTCATGTTGTAGATTCTCGACAAAATGTCACAAATATACTATCAGCGCTTTGCCAAATGTCGGATATATCAGATGGAAAACGCTTAAATTACTTAAATGCTTTTGTTAAAGTTACCCTGCATATTGAGGGCAACTTTGAAAGCATCGGATTTAGCATGGGGGACGTTTTATGTTGGTAAGTCTGAATAGGAGTTACAAAGCATAACTCACTTTTTTAATTGTAATACGTCATTTCTTTGGATTAAATCCGTTATTTATGAATTGCTTTTATTTATAAAGCGTGTTAATTAGTTATGGTAAATTGAGTTGTTCGCATTTTAAATTGTACAGTGTGTGTCAATTAAAGTAACTGCACCCGTATTGATGGTTGCATAACGTCCGAAACCACTTGCAGCTTGCGCATAGCTCTGCTCCACGAGTCGACTCAAGTCAGATCTGGGGGTCTAAGGGCCATCCGTCACGTCTTACGCAACGAGGACGACATAGCCCAGCTCAACAAACTCTTAATTCCTTTTTTAATAGCCAGATCGTTGGACTTGATGTTAAAAAACGACGTCGAACGAATCGAAGCAATGAAACTCATTCGAAAAATTCTTTTACTCTCACCTTCCAACTTCCATGTGGCTCTAGCCCGAAGTTTAGTGGCTTTAGCCAATGGTGTTGTGGAAGAAAAAGACAGAATGTTGCGAATCTGTCTCGCTACATTGTGCGAATTGGGTAGGTGTAATTACGTTGGCGATGTCACTTGATTATTTTTCTTTTATTAGGGGTAGTTAACACGAGTTTATTTATTGAAACTGGAGGCGTAGCTGCTATTACCAGGAATTTGCTAGAATGTCAGACTCCGAAAATAGCGGAGTCTTTGTGTGGAGTTTTGTTACTGTTGTTGGATAAACCATCGACTAGGAATCAGGCGGCCATTGACCTGCACTCCATAGCAGCTCCTTACTGTGATTTTCACTACAGACACGGCTGGAAAGACAAGGACAAATTTGTGTTAGTATACGCAAAACAGAATTGATCCATATTAAAAGTTTTTGTAGGGATGAGCGGGAATTACGTTTCAATTGCAGTCGACTTGCCCTTTTGTCAATTCTTCGTAGCTGGCCCGGAATTCTGCACTTTTGTGGGCCGTCCAATAAGGCGGGGCTTAGGGCGGTCGTTGAGGTTTTATATTTGAACCAATTGGAAGTCAGGGTAAGTAACAATTAAACGAATCAATTTCAATTAACCAATGAATCAGAAAGCAGTTTTGGACTTATTGTATGAGCTACTGGGCTTGCCTCAACCCGAATGGACTGACGAACTGTCGGTGGCTTTGAGCGCTGTCGATCCATGCGAGCCCCAATCTTCCTGGAGACTCAACGAAGGCTTTGTCGTCGCCGAGGGCCGTTCTATTCTACCTCACTTAGCCAAAACCACTCCCAGTATCAGTGACATGCACTTATCCCTCCTTCTCTACTGTTTCCTCGAATGTGGGCTGTTAGGTGCGATAGTCGAAGTGATTGCAACTAGTGACACTTTTATTAGCGTTCGAGCAACCGTCCTTCTTGGTGAACTTTTACGCTTAATTCAAATTCTTCTTCCTCCCGAATGTTGTAATATTTCTCCCGCACTTCCAACACTATTGGAATACGCAACGTGTGGGAAACCTCAAGCAGTTAAGGCCGTTAATGGTCTTCAACAATTACAAAAGTGAGTTTAAGTTGGCATAAGGTCAAGTTTGATTTGTTAATTTTAGGTTGTTGAGGGCTAGGCCGGCTTCTTATAGTCTTCACCTAGACTTTATACTCAGAAGTGGCGGCAATGTTAAATTTTCGAGTAAAAACAGCAAGAAGAGTCGACACAAACTAAAGACGTTGAAGTTTAAGTTGCAACAAGTAAGGAAAAATGCTCTCTCTTCGCTTTTAGCCAATGTTAAAACTATTAAAAGTATTTAAATCGCCGTTGATATTTTTTTTATTCCGGTAAAAAAGTATTTTTGATTTGTTTTCTTTATTGTATAAATATTTTTTATTATTTAATTTTATTTCAAAGAGATGATCTTCTTTAAGTTACATGTCCCAGAGAGTTCGTAAAGTTTGCATAAATATTACAGTAGAATTATGTTTAAATGAAATACTATGTTTTGTACATTTGGTGGTTGATTTTCATTGGTTTTTAGTAACTTGTTTTTTATACATAGATTTATTATACACAAGCAATAGTTGATTTTCTTGTTTAGTTAGTAATCAATAGTAGATTCTTAAGTGTTTGTGTTTTCAGAAAGATTCTAATTTATAATCTCTTTCATGTTCCATTTTATTTTATTAAGTTATTCATGTTTTTAACTAAAAAAAACTTATCTCAAGTATAGTGAAGAAATTATTTTTTTACTTAGTTTTTGTGTAATGAATATTTTAATAGACTATACAGGGTGTTTCACGTAATTTTACGAGGCCTGCGCCTGTAAGATGCAATCAATAATACATATTCCGATACGAACTCGATTACAAATTTTGAAAAATTGGATAACCTTCTCTAGTTTGTTCACCCTTTCAAAAATTACGTTTTTAGTTAGCTAGTGATTAAGATAGATAAACTAGAATCATAATCATGCCGTCTCTTGATAGAACAAATGATAATTGTTTCTGAAAAACTGTAGTTTATGACTATTAATGAAACAATGATTAGTTTGCCAACTACTGTCATGGGTTTCCAAAAATTAAATAGTTATAAGTGTATTTTTTGTATCTAGTGTTTTGTGACTTTTGTATATTTGGGTGCGTACATTAGGCGCAAGCCTCGTAAAGTTGTATGAAACACCCTGTATTTTCTTATTTTCCTCAGAGAACTCAAATTATTTTAAAAACTAAAAAAAGTTTAAAAACACCAAAATTAAAAGCCACTTCGTTAAAAAACAACAAATTTATGCTGTAACTCATTTCTGACACTTAAAAATACTTAAAAATAATTTCAATTAGACAATATACTCTTTTTCACATTAATATGCATCAAGTAGGTTGGAGTAGTCTAAGTGAATCTATAATTTAAAGGCCGATTCATACAAAAAGTGTCATTAATGTCATTCAGATCAAATGTAATCACATCAATATTGACAAAAATCTTTTATGTTTGCGTTCCTATGTTAATTACGTTGTTAATTTTAATTATTTTTTGCTAACTGGGGTACACATTTATTTGGAAAATAATTTTTAGGCAAGATTGAGTTTATGATTGTTTGAATTTTCGCATGGTTGCCACCTTAAGTAATCCCTTTCAACGTCTACTTTGATGCACATTAATATGAAAACGCGTATAGATTAATTCTAGATTTCAATGTCCGTAATAGACTTTACTAACTCGCTGGGACACCTGTAGGTATTATTTTTTTGAATTATTTATAAAAGCAACTGAATTGTTTGACAGCTGGTGGGAAAAGACGGAGATGATGTGATAAAAGAAACCGGGGTTTTGGTGAATAAAGATCCATACACATGGAACTGGAACCTCATCAAAATTGTATTGAAGGTATATTGATTTTTAATTTTTTATCCTTTTGTTCTATTCTTCTCTTGTTATAGGGTGAATCTTTGAAGATCGACCTGTCGGAAACCTCCCACCGCAACTTCATGAAACGTCTTGTCGATTTCTATACTCCTTCGCGCAATCGCTACTCCCACATGGACTTGAGTACTCCCAAAGTCAGTATTGCGTACACATTGACTGGAATCGACTTGATAAACTGTCTCCTCGAACTGGAAGATGAAGAAAGCACTCGCATGTTGCTTGATTTGTTGACAGACATTTTGGGTAACATTAATGCCATAACAAGTGGCCGGAGTGTCCACGACTGTCTCTTCAGTCCCCAACACATGAACAGTACTCAATGCCAAAGTTACTTTCTTTTCCTCGGTCGTCTGTCTTCTAACGACGTGGGCATGCAACTGTTGAACAGTTTACAAATCTTCAAACAACTTGAACATTTGGCAACAACCACGAACAATGACTGCTACGTGAAGTTGATCGTTTCGTCTTTGGATTATAGTAATCCAGGACCTTGTAGGGACTTGTTGAGTGAGGTTTTGAAGTGTGCTGTTGAAAGTTCGAGACTATACGCGACTCAATTTTTATTAGTGCTGCTAAGAGCAGGAATTAACAATTTTTCTGAATGGGGAGTTAGATGTCTAGTCAAACAATTGAAAGATTCCTCAAGGTCGGTGTATCTCACCGCCTTGAATACATTACATGAGGCTTGTGAAGTCGAAAGTTGTTTAGAAACTTTAGTTAAGTTAAATCCAAATTTAAGTCATTTGGGTGAAAAAGGTTCGTTATTATCGCTCAGGTTATTATCGATAACTTCTGGTTTTCAATTGTTAAACAAAAACGACTTCGTTGTAAACGAAATTAAAAGATGGGACGAATATTTTATTTATAGATATATAAAACTAGTCGAAGGTGAAACTTCCGATGCTTTGACTTTACATCAAAGAGACGAAGATGGGAAATATGATAAGAGGACAAGTACGATAAGGACAACAAACCGCAAAGATTTTTTCCTACCACCGCATCTTTACGGCCAGTTGGCACGACACACTGACGGATTTCTCATACTAGTACAGCACGGATCGTTGGAAATTATGATACAGGTGAAACACTTTTAAAGTTAGACAAGAAATAATTTTAAATTTTAGTTGCTCACAAATGGCGTTTGTGACACCGAAGACGACATTTTGAAACTGAAAGCTTCAATTTGGGCTTTGGGTCATTTCGGTAGTACCAGCGAAGGCCTAAGATACCTCATCTTGCACAATTCTTTGGCAGCTTTAATAACTTTAGCACAAGAGTGCTTAGTTTTATCGATTCGAGCAACTTCGTATTACGCACTCGGTCTAATCGCGACAACCCGACAAGGAGCAGACGAATTATTCAAATTAGGTTGGTTTTGTATACGTCACAACCGACACGTGGCTTGGCCCATCATCGAAGAGGAGGCGTGGGAGGAGGACAACGAGGACAGTTTGCGACTCCCTAGTAGTTTCCCTGATATCACGCCCACCTTGTATTACTTTGATTCGGGAATTAAGGACGCTGAGGGGAGCACTGATGACGATGCTTCCGAATCAATGTTGCCCGATACTACAGTGGCTGGTCCTCAGAAAAGTCTCACTTTGCCGGCCAATCAAAACCAAGCATCGGGCTACCACAAGAGGTCGCTGTCCGAGTCGAAAACCTTCGAGATTATCCGAGCGCCTCAAGACAGTAAAAAAGGCAGCTTCCGGTTGGGCACGGAAATCGTAAGACGTGTCCGGAACAATTCCACGACGGAATCGACGACTTCCGGGGTAAGTTCGTGCGATTCCTTCGGCGGAGGTAAATCTGTGATCTAGTAAGTGATAGTGACAATGTTTAATATTTGTTTAATTGAGCCATTTCAGCGAACGGCCGCAAATTTTGAKTCCTATACCAAGTTCCTGTAGTTTGAGTACTTTAAAACAGTCGGCGAAACTCCGGCGACATTCAGAATCATCACGGCGAGTTTCTGTGCAAAGTAACACGTTTTCGTGTAAGTGAGCGTTGGCTAATAGGCGTGGTTTTAGGCGGATCTAACTCCGATCGCTCGCTCCAATCGCTAGGTGGGGGCGGGTCGAGTAAACTGAGTCATCAAGATCTGGTTGGTTACGCCACACTTAGGTCGTTACGGAAGTCTCCTCGATATTTAGAAGAGCCCGCCTACGATGATTCGGATGATATTCGGAGTGATAGTAGTTGGGATGTCCCGATTTCGTTAATTGAGGATTTCAACCTTCTAAATACCACCGGGTCGAGTATTAAGCGATTTAGTGTTCATGATAGAAACGAAAGCGAGGATAGATGTTACATGGGTGTTACTTTACCTCATCACATTAATCATTTGTTTTTGGATGGGGAAAATGAGGCACGTGATGTCTCCTTGGATAGATTTCCTATAGTCGACGACGAGATTGTTTATGCCATGCACGATTTTAAGGTCCGTGAGGAGACTCTCTGGAGACACGACACTGAAACTTGCTTTGTTTGTTCGTGGAAAGGTTCTAAAGACGAGGTTTTTGTAACGACATCTAGCGGTTGGTATTTAATTATAGTCATTTTTAAGTTAATTGTGTTTTTACAGATCCCTTGGACTGTAAATACAACCCAAACAGCCCTGATAGTAAGTTCTATACAATCTCCCCGATTGAGTTTTATAATTTTCTTGTAGATGTTCTCAAGGGTCAGGTTTTGCATCTGGTCGACTTATTTTCTAACCCCGTTTGGGCCAAACAAGTGAAACAGTCGCTCTTGCAGTACAAGCAAGGCAGTCCTCACGTCTTCCAAGATGCTTGTATTTACTCAGAAGTATGCAAAATGATATCGGAATGTGCGTATCGTTCGTCGCCCCGTCGGATGCTCCACGAACTCTTCCTCGAAGTGAAATTCGACGATCTCTATTTGCAATGTGGGAAATTTCTGAAAAACGCCGCACAGAACAATGTCGATTCCGGTAAGTCATCAGGGGATTCGATCGATAGTGAAGGGGCGCAGTCAAATATAAAGAAATTAGATTCGTTAAAACTCGCATATAAAGAGAATAAATTCCCGATTCGGAATCGAAACGAATCGAAAATCGTGTAATTTTTAGTTCCTCTATTTTTCGAATTGATACAGGGTGTTCTGTTTCTAGGTTTAAGTTTTTTTGCGTTACGTGTAGTCTGTCGCTTTGTTTTTGTTGTATATATGGAACAGTTCATTCCACTCGGGAGAACAACCTGTGTGTATATAATTAATTTATTTGACTTTTCCTAGCCGTTGTTATTTTACCGATTTGTGATCAAAATAGTGAAATTACGTGTCAGAAAAATTCGTTTATTCGCATGTGACACAATTATCGTTACTTTTTTACATACAAAAAATATAAATAAAAAATATACACAAGTAACAAGTATATAATTCCGAAGCACCCTCTTTTCCTGCGACACTTCCTTCAGAATTCTATACAATTACACGTTAAAAATCTTGGAATTAAGTTTTCGAGAAACGTTGGATTTTCCGTAGGAGCATTGCCACGTGCATAAAATTCTAAACCATACATGGTAACCAGAGTAGCCATACCCAAACAGAGTGAATACCAAAACAAGATATTAAAAAGTGGAGTTTTTGGAACCCCTAGAAAATTAAAGATTGATCCAAACACTAAAAATTCGACAAACAACAAGGGAAAAAAGAAGCCAAACATGTAAGTCAAGATCCATTCGTGTACAACGGCCGAAATCGAAAAAACAGCAAATTTAGCAAATAGATGGTTTGTTTTGAAAAGAAATTCGGAAAAATCTCGGTATATGTAAAGATACAACCAATCCTGGACGATTATGTTCCATTTACGGAAATAACCCGAATAGTCAGTACAAGTCCACCAATCTAGATAAAACAACCGATCTCCAAACCGTGTCAACTCGGCAAATAAATTTTGCCAAGAGTGTAAAACTATGAAAAACATGGGGAGCAGGATAAGTGCCCCTGTGATGGTGTTTTCGAAAATACATAAAATTATTTCTTTCACGGTGTAGGATCGCAAGCCGAAGTCTTGAATCGTGGGATTGAGAAATCTGTCGATAACGAAACTCATGAAGAAGATGACGCCCACGCATTCTAACGCTCGGAAACAGACAAAAGTCCAATCGATTTTATCACGACGAGGGTAAGTCTCACGATAAACTAATGTAGGGACAAACAGAAAGTACACAAAATTACTCAAAGTTGGAAGAGTTACAACTTCATCTGTGTGAGGTTTTGTTGGGCAAGTGTTTCGAATAAAAGAGTGAATTTTCATCAAGAGACGCGTCTGGAAATGACAAATTAGTAATTCTGTTTAGAAAATTTATCATACTCACTTGTTCGGCTAACACGATACTTGCAGAAGCCGGTGGTAAAGCAAAATAAGTTACAACATAACCCGCAATTTTGAAAGATGAAACGTAGTAAAGCCCAAGTAGCGTCACCCCAACCCAGTTCCAAATTTTCAAGTGGCTCACTGAAACCGAATTTTCCAAAATTATACTTTCCGGGAAAAAATATCTCACATTTGGGGAAGAAAATTCTCTGCTTGGCCCAGATTTTGTAAAAGTGATAAACCAAACAAGTAAATAAAAAATATCCAAGCCATATTAGGGACACTATGTGTATTTTTCCAAAACCTTGTTGAATTAATCTAAGACCTAAAATTATTCTGAAATAAATAATTTGATGAAGTTGTAATGTATTTTTTCGTTGTCACACTCACTCTTCTTTTTTCAAATAATCGTAAACGGCTGTGTTAACAAATAGACCGATTAAAGTTGCTATAAACATATGATAAACAGTCCGTATGTGTTTGTTTTCGAATAAATCGGTTAAGAGCGAATTTCTGATAGTGAATTCTTTTCCTTTTGTTCTACAAAATGGATCAGTTCGAAATAATATTTACTAGCATGGTAAAAGGGTTTTTACTGGCGGACAGAAGGATATGACTGGCGAGTCGAAGTCGAGTCAGTCACTTTCTGGAGCCGGTACAACCCGTTACCTTGCATGTATTGTTTAATATTTTATTTGTTAATCACTGTAAATTACTATTATAAATATTAAAAATTCTAGAAATTCTGACATTTGAAAAAAATTATGAGCTTTAGATAGATGCCAGTTATTGAACTGGCTAGCCTGTTAAGGGAAATTTTCAAGGTGAATACAGTGACTTATAAATTGTTGTTTACAAGTGAGAAACAAAGAAATTATTTAACGGTGCTTAATGCTTACCCTTACCTTAATGTTTTCCCGTTCTGATTCATTATGGTCCTGCAATATATAAATATACTCAGACACTTCCGTTGTTGACACTCCAGCTACTGATAATTGAATGTTTTTCAATTCATTGCTTAAATTTTATTATTAGTTATAAGAAGATTTGAAATAAGCTGTTACAGCAAAATTAAGTACTAATATTTATTTCGCCGCCCCAATTCATCGTTTCAACAGTAATGATAATGACTAGTTTGTTTATATGTTACTTGGTCGTTAATGATTAATGCATTTTTTTTTTATTTAAGGATATATAGTTATCAAATACAGTGAATTTCAATTATTCATTATATTACATATTGGCAAAAAACACTTTGACAATCAGGTTTTTTTAAATATCTATATTTTGCAATTTAAACGTGTCGTCTTATATATTTATTCCACATTATAAATAGCCACAAACTATTTTCTTGTACTTACTTGATAACAAAGGTCAATGGTGGTTTCCTATTTTTTTTCGTAGAAAAAATACAGTATTTGGCGCTATCTCCGCTATCCCAGCCGGATTCAATGAAGCGTTAAAATAAACAAATTACGTAGCGAACTAAAGTGACAGTGGTAGTTGCAGATTCTGACAAGAACTAAACACATCTAATCATTTATTTGTATTTTTTCTCAAATCCTCGTGTACAGATATCGTTTTATTATCTCCTGGTGTGTTTTTGAATTTGATAAAGTGATAAATAACTACATTAAATTGCTTTATAATCAACAATGAACTATTCTAAAGAATTAAACAATAAGATGCGATACATCACTAGTATACGCTGGTAAATATCTAGGAACTGGTTGTACTCCACCACTATCCTCAATTCTCCTCTGCCTTATATCCGAATCCCCAGGCCACGCTCTTTCCGGCCCTCCAATCCGCTGATACTTATCCACAGCCAATGAAATTGTAGCCGGGTCATTGACCCCATTCGATTTGATCCTTCTTTGAGTGGTTGTAGAAGCCCTCAAAGTCTTCCGCTTCTGAAACGTAGACTCCTTCAAAAATTCAAAGTCAGAGAAAAATACCCCTCACCTCGACACATCCACGCCATTTATCGGCGGCATGTCTGGCCAATTCCATTCGTTTCTGTTTCTTGATTTGGTGTTTCTTGTAAGCCATTTCAATGACAATTAGACCAATACCACCGACGATCCCTGCGGCCACGAGGATGAACACGCCTGCCATGTTCTTCAATCCAAGAGTGTTGGGTGTCTTTTCGAATTGTTCGCATTGTTGGACGTTGCCTTGGAGGATCCATTTGTTGTCCAGACTTTCCATAAAACCACTTTCGTGGAAATCCAGAATGGCGAGAGTGATGTCGTCGGCCCAGGGTGACCCTTTTTGTAACCCTATGCCATAACCGGAACGCCCGAATAGTTCTCCGGCAGTTACCAATTCACAATCTTGAGCTGCTTCGAATTCTAGACGCGAGCTGTCCCATATGAAAGCCATCAGTTTTCTACAAAAAAATTGTGTACCATTCGATTGTACMGAGTTGTAGACTCTTACCCAACTTTAACGTCTTCTATAGCGTTCTCGGCCGTATTATAATTATTTGCTTCCATGGTCCTGTACATATTTGACAGTTCAACTTGTCTGCGGAAGTACATATCAACAGCAGACCCTTTGACAGTAGCACACGTCAGGTTCTCCATAGTGTTCCTCAACCTAGCATCATTAATTCCAGTCAGTTTTGTTTTGGGTCTTTCCAGTACAAGAAACGCGGCTAGATTAGCAGTATACGAGGCTACAATAATCATCGCGAAACCTGCCCAAACCATTCCTAAAACTCTTGCAGAGAAACTTCGAGGTGTCCCTTCACCAATCCCACTGTTAAGTAGGACTCCCCAAGCAAACCAAATCGCACTTGAGAGATTAAGAGCGTCTTCTTCGGTTCCATCAGTGTTTGCCAGTTTGAACCTCCCAAACGGCGAAAACCGGTCTAGGAGGTACAACACTAGAGCCACAACATGGACGGAAACCATCACCAAGATCCACAAAGTGTTACTGAAAGGTTGCAAGAACGATACAAGTGTGGATGATCGGGATGGTTTCTTTTCTAAAATTGTGATTCCTTGGTATTTGAACGGTTTACTAAACTCAATGAATTCAGCCCGTTCTGGGTTGATGGTCAAGGGGGCCACTATCATATCAGCTCTTTCACCCACCAATTCGCCTATCAGACCCGTCCATTCCTTTTTGCCACTCCCAGAACTGTTCCTAATGATGTAATTGCCGAATTGGCCGTCCGGGGACAAAGCCAAACTGTAGGTAAAGTTAATTTTCTTTGACAATTCCTTGAGGAGGTCCATACAATAGCCTTTGCAACAGAAACTCCCGGTCACTGGAAGGCGGAGTTATGAAACAGTGGGAGGAGTTACAACTTACAGTCTTGTGTCGCGTTGAAGTGAGGACAAGGAATTTCATCAGCAGTACACACATCCTGAGGTTCTACCAACTTACGGACGTAAACGAACGGTTTTTCTTCGATTGTCAAAACCTTAAGGTGTGTCGGAATCATGAAACCTTCAGGTTTGACGTGTTGACGGCCCGGCCACAAAATATTGTTCTCATCAACCACCAAACGCATTTTATTGCTTGTCTGTAAGAAGAAAATAATCAGATTTTTGGGTCAATTAGTGGAGGCACCAACCCTATTGAAGAAAAATTTGCCGACAGTCACTTGTTTACGTTTCCTCTGGATGTTGACAATGTTATATTCGGCGTTAATTCGGTCACCTTGGTCGTCAAAAGCCACCTTTCCTGTCTCACCATTGAGTAGCACTTGTTTTTTGATAAAGTCGAAGAGGTCACGACCGGTTTCCCAGATTTGGCCCGAATCGTCGCAATCTTTTGGCGCTTCGGTGATTTCTTTTGTTTGGTTTAGGTCACGTAAAGCCGAAGCTAGGACATAACTTAAAAAAAAAATAAAGTTTGGTATTAGTGTGAGGGGAAACACTCACATGCTATCTTTAATGTGAGCTTTTTCATTGGTCGCATTGACTAGACGTAGACCTAAGATTCCTTCAGGGATGTTATTGGCTACAAGGGCTTGCTCTGTGACGATCCATGCATATCCAGCGTCTGTCATATTAAACTCTGCAGCGTCTCGGAAAATGACTTGAGCATCAGTTTTACTACAAACTCAAATGAAAGTTATGGAAAAAATTGCTAGTGATTACTACCTAGCATACATCAGGTAGACTCTAGATTGAGCGTTTTTCATGTCGCTCAGTTGCTCTTTAAAGTTTTCCAAACCTGGCTCAAATTCTATTATCGACTCAACTTGAACTTTAATCTCAACATCGTCTTCTAGACTTTGAGAAGTGGTTTGGAACCTTCCTAATAGAGCTCGTCCGTCAGTGTCCGAACTGTGGATAAAAATGACTTTCTTGTAGTTGAAGTGTTTGAGCATTTCGACCCAAACATCCGCCTGGTGGGAATACGGAGGAACAGTCCTCAAGAAGGACACATGAATGTTCTGGAATATTTAAGTCAAGTCAAACTATCGGACCGAATTTGACTCACTTTGTCCGAAAAAGCTGAATCCCGACTCGAGATACCAATGACCGGAATGTGGTAAAAACCACTAGTGTACGACACCGCAGCTGGTGACAAGTCTCCAGTCAAAGGATGTGACACCACCACAGCATATACCCGACTTGTAATCAAATATTTGCAAACATTAAGCGCGGTTTTGATTGGATTTGGATCCATGAGAATCGCAGTGTCGTAATAAGTGACTCCTTTTGGGACATACTGGGAGTCGAAGTTCAAATGCTAGAATTCATTTGTTTATCTTTTGATCTTAACTCGGCAACGACTTACCGCAATTGTCTCTTTGAAGTAGTATTCACTTTCATTGCTACTTAACACACCCCCGATATTAAAAACCGTGGGGTTACTAGATGACCATAGGTCACCTCGAACTGTTAGCCAATTTAATGCAAAAATCACGTAAACAAACATTGTTTAAAAGGAGAGCCTCATCTCGTGCGAATATGGACCGCGCCCGTTGCCAAGACGACGCCAGATGATATCGATTTCAAATGACCTGCCTTAACTCACCACACGTACCCCCCTTGAAAGCAAAAGAAATACAAATCGTGATTTAATTGTCATTATACTGGATAATCGTCAAAATTTATTTCAACAAATATTTTTATTGTTTGACTTTGGTAATTGTTGGTCTTATAACATTTTCAAATAAACCTGTATGCAATTTTAAAACAGCTTTTCAAAGATTTTATCTGTTGTTACATACTCCCGTTTCTTGTGGGTTCGACATCTAGTGGATGTTGTAAATAATTGACTGTGCACCTTAAGATGACAACCCGCGGCCCACCTAATTTTTTAATTCTGCCCATGATGGCTTCTTTTACTCAACTTGGGAAATGTTTCTACCTTTTGGTTTTTACCCTTTTCGACATATTTTCTCCTATGTACTGCACTTGAGATGCCACGACCACAGTCACCTTTTTCTCGGAGGAATAGCGGTTCCAATAGAAGAAATATATTAAGGCATGCAACCCATATTAGGTGATTGTAATCAACCATTTATTAATTAATTATAATAACTGATTGTAATTTAAGGATTCCCATGAGAATGTCTCTGAAGAATAAAAGATGACGAAAGGCTTTGCTTCCAGCAAGCTGGAGTATAAAACCCTTGAGGACGCGACTCCAGTTAGCACTCTATCCGTCGAAGTTTGAATCAAGTAAATGTTGCAATATGTATAATGGGTTGCGGCAAAAAATCAGAAGTACCTCACTCATGAATAACCCTGTACATACAGGGTTAGTCACAGGAGAGTTACTTCTGAAATAATTTGGGCAGCAACCCATTATACAATTCACATAGGCGTCTAGCTTCCTCATTTTTAAAAATCATAAAATTGAATCCAAGAATACTTTGCATATTTTTCAATTTGACATTTAAAAAGTAACAGTCAATTTTCGTTAATACAATGTATTATTACACAAATAACGAAAAAGTGGGCATGCTCTTAATCCATAGAGAATGCAAGAAAAATGCTCCTGTGGCAGCAGCTCTGAACTTGGAGAGGTATCCAAATCGAATAACATTTCGAAAACTGGAAGCCAAGTTACTACAAGATTGGTCCCCAAGTCTTTGGAGCAGTAGACAATTACTTGTCATTTTGACGACTTCACTCATTTTCATCCAGCTCACATTGATTACTGAATTAATTTAAATAAAATATTATATCCAGTTACATACGCTAAAGGTATTTTTGGTTGCAAACTAATTAAGTTTCAAAGTAACTCTCCTGTGACTGACCCTGTATTATGTCTTATGTCTGATTTTTTAATACTTTTTTTCTTTTATGTATTTTGTAAAACATCTAAATAAACCTTCTTTTTTAAGTTCAGTTCATCTTTTTTTCGCTTGCCTGTATCGTTACTACAAAAATTGAACAAAAAACCGCTTTTGGTCTATTAAAAATTTGTATCAAGTTTTAGTTGGATTTTTTATTTTTTTAAACATTGCTAGTAATAACAAGCAATGAAACATTGCTGATGATGGTCACATAAAATTTAGAAAAAATCGCCAGCAAGCACAAAAAATAAACAAAAAAACCGCTTGCAGGCTTTGTTAAATGATTATTAAGTCATAGAAGCTTAGGTTAGATGTTTTAAGAATTTATAGATTGCTTATGGTAATAGAAGATCGATCGTAGTTATAAAAATTGCACAAAAAATCGGATGTGGTATTAAAAAACAACAAACTACAAATTTGTGTATAATTGGTTGCATATGCAATTTTAAGAATGAAGTAGCTGGCAGCAGCTTCGGCCGTCCGGTTCTTATAGGGAAATTTTATTGGGGTAGTAATAAAGCGGTCAGTAAATAATTCAAATTTGATCAGTATAAAATGATAAATGATCAGTATTTAATTAATTTTTACACAGTAAAAAAATCCAATTTGCACAGTAAAAATAATAAAACGCTCAGTAACTTTAAACAAAATTAGTAAACAATATAAAATTTAAAGAATGTTCAGTCTTGGTTACATAACAATGTATGGCCCCTGCACAAGAATGTTATTTATTATTGGTACTTATTTTTATATTACTGAATATTTATTATTATTGGAGGTTGGTATATGTATTAGCAAGGGCCCCTGCGCAAGAATGATTTTAGCAAGGTCTGGAAACTGTGCGGAAATGGTAATCAGTCTAATCAGCGTACGCCACTCTTTGCACTGCTGTGCTCCTGATACCACAATTTTGTTTTTGAACGCTTTGCGATATTCCGATTTTGCTCGGAAACATTTTNTTCACTGTAAAAATATTGAAAAAATTTGTTTATTTTTAATTTAATTTTTAATAAAAATCATAGTAATAAGACTTTTTTTCTCTCGAAAGCTCTCTAAGCTCTAAGCACAGTTGCGTAAACAAGCAATAAATAACCCAGACAAATTGCTGTTTTTTTTTCTTAAATGGGATAATCTAAAATGTAATGTGTTTAGATTTTGGGGTTGTTGGGGTATAGCCCTCCCCCTTTCCGCATCAAAATTTTATCTTTCAATACCGCTGCTCAGTGAATCCAAGCCAAATCGTTCTATATTTATCTTTTCTGCCTTTCTCAACCTTTTAAAGTCGATGCCAAAGTTATGTTATTTGAATATGAAAACGGGAAGTGGTCTGTAATATGTTTACCATCGAAGTTGTGCAAGTTTTATCCTCGTTTACTAAAGCCATATTCGTCCAGTTTTGCCTGATTTATGATAATGTATACCGTACAAAAGCTTAATCAAAGCAAAAATGATTAGTCGATGAAATTGCTTTAAAACGCCCTCTCGTCACATTTGAGCTTTTGCCGCTTATAAGTCATTAGCATGCTCTTGTAGTGTCACTTTTATACCTACGCGTCAAGTAAAAAACTCGTCATAAATATGCATGTGAATATTAAATATTAAAACAACTTACTTAGTACGAGTCTGGAACTGAAAAGAGAGCCCCCGAGACTTCAAACGGCGCTAAGTGGTGGAGGGCGGGTGTTTTCGACGCTTCAAATTGGATCCGGAGAAAATTTGCACTTTGTACAAATTAGCGACACCTCGGATAAAAAAGAGGGGAGACTGCTGAGATTAGACTAGACAGAAGAAAATCAAAAAAATAGCTCATAGTTTTTTAATACGTTTTTGATTTTTTTTAATCTTTTTATTCTTAATCTTTTTTTCTTTTTTTTGTATGTTGTATTGCTATTAAAATATAATTTAAGTTAGCTTTAAAACTAAACTTTTTTTATAAAATAAATTTGGGGTCTAAATCGTCTGAGAAATAAAATTCGAGTTTCTACAGTACTGTCACTTTCTGTCAATTGAATGATAATTAAATTTGTAAATTAGAACTTGGATTTTTAAAATTTTTAAATCATTTGGAAATAAATCAGTTTGTAGAACTGCTGCATTAAAAAAAAATCAGTATTGGCAGATTTTTGGGACATTCTATACATTCAAAAAAATTTAAAATAAAAGTTTCATATGAATTTGTATCAAAAAATACTTTGTAAGAGAGCTATAATAGGTGAAAGAGATGCAGTTTTTAATGAGTTTTTTTTTTATATTTTAGATTAGATAAAATTACAAAATTTTATGCAGTTGATAAGTGTTATACAGGATGTATCAGAACTCACGCCCCAGAGAAAAATTTCAAGTAAGATAAGGTACCAGGAACATGCAAAAAATGTTTAAAAAATTCTATCTGTCAAAAAATTTTGACATTTATTTTTTGGCATTTGATACTTTTTTATGTCTATTTAATGATACTGATGGTTTTGTATACCAGGTGAATAAAAAGTATGGAACCGAACGTTTTTTCCTTAAATTATTTATTTTTTGAAAAAACTAATTGATGAGTGATAAAGAACTATAAAAATGTGATGATTTAACAAGAATAAAATTTTTCGAATTTTTTTTTGTTTTTGAGTTCTACAAAAAAAATATTTTTTTTAAATGGCAACCCACTATAAAATCATTTTTCTCATAAAAGCTATACTCTAAGGATTACAACTATCTGCTTTATATTTAATTTTTTCAAAAAATTTTTTTCACATAAATTGCAATTTTGACAAAAAAAATCGCATAACTCAAAAACAAAACAAAATTTCGTTCTCAAAATACGATCACATTTTTTATATTACTTTAATCTATATTAATTATTATTTTCTGGAGGCAAATGATTAAACATAAAACCGCTTGGTTCCATACTTTATATTCACCCTGTATACAAGAACCTATCTACATATTCCTAAATATTTTTAAGTAGGTAGGTATATTTATTAGTATGCCATTAAGGAAGTGCAACTAAGGATTCGTGAATTCGTGGTATGATTACTACAGAGGGTGAGTCACATATAAACTGTTGTAAATTATTAAAAAATAAATTAGTAATTATTTAAAAGTGAGATAAAGGCAGATATCGTTTTTTTTTGCTAGATTCCATAATGCTTAGAAGAATAAAATTTCTTTGTTGTAAAAATAATGCGACTTGCTTAACTTTGTGGAGTAGTTTAATAAAGACCCTAACCCAAGAAGGTTAACCTCCTTGCGACCTTGCTCTAACCGATTTTGTATATAACCCCCTAGAATTTACCAATTGTATCAAAATTTGTCCACGGAATTAGTTTATATCCGACGATTTTTTTACTTTCGTAAAACTATGAAAGAGTACTGAGCGAATCAAGTTTTTTTATTATTAAAAATAAATCTGTAAATATCATATGGAGAAGAAATGATTTTTTATTCGTTAGTACTTTTTGTGCTTCCGGCAAAAACATTTATATTTGGAACAAAGTTTTATAAAAAAAATTATTAGGTATTTATCGAAAACTGATTTATTTGTACTTTGTAGCTTGAAATTTTTACAAAACAGACCACAATTCGTTGTTTATTTTTTGAAGCAGATTTATTGCAAATTCTTTGCATTAATTGCAAATGCGATAAGAAAACATAATACCCGCCAAGCCGTTCAATGCTCTCGAGAATTAAAAGAATGATAATCTCTAAAGAAGGAAAAATTTAATTAAATTCTCTGAAAATTTGAAAGATTTTGGCCACAACACAACCCCGTCTTTTTTTCGTAACATCTCAAAGCTTTCAAGTGCTCGTGACCACCACCGGTGCTTTATCCTTCCTTCTCCCCTTTATCCCGGCCATCCCATTTACAACATGCACCTCCCGGGAGCGAGAAGGAACCACAATGGAAAAAGGACAGCGACAGAGGTGGGGTAAAAGAAAATGGTACTGGTAATGGCCGTCTAACGGTTGTGTAGTATGTTCGTTGCAGTTGCCTGTATATATCCATTTTATCAATGCGAAAAGCACGTGTTTAAAATGCGTGCATGCCAATTCGAATTTTGATAGTGCGACTTGTAGTGACGGAAACACAGTTTGGAAGAATGTAAGTTGGTTGCATTAATATTCTAACCTTGTCGGTGGTTGCCGTCAATAATAAAAGTGGGCGGGATGGATTAGGGTGACGGCAACGGCAATCCAAGACGGTGGGTTGGGGTTGATCACTTCGCGCCAAAACTAAATTCGATTAAATTAAATTTGGGGTATAGATTATTGACCCTTTTATTTATCAACGATTGGCGGTGATAGGACCCGAGGTTTGATTGAGTTAAAATGCGATGACGGTAATTAGACCTCTAGTTGGTCTTAAGTGGCAAAGTCATTAGGTTGGCATCAATTGTAAAGTGGGTAGCTTTGTGAAAATTGCCGGTATCATGTCACTCATTTACAGAAAGAACTTGCAGAAATTATGGCATCATTCATATAAATTAAGTCACATAATTTAAATAGAAAAAAATATATAACGGTTAAATGGTATTGAACGTATGAACACTGAACTTTTATCAAATCAGGTCGAAGGGTCATGAGAGTTTTATTAATATTAACTTATTGTTACAACAATAAATTAGATTCTCATTGATTCTACCTACTTGTTTGTTAGTCTAAAGCACTCTCGTAAATGGATTTATTTATCACAAAAATTCAACAACATAAACTACTCAAAAAAACGTACACATTGCGAATTAATGAAGTTTTATGAAATCTTGGTTGCTCTATTTTAAACTGTATTCAAATTTGAAACAATTTGAGAAACAACTACTGAATTAATACAAAGTAATAAAAAATGTTGGGCATGTTTGAGTTGGCAATTCTTTAAATGGTCCATGATCGATTGTTGACAGTCTGATGGTACACTTCAAATTAAATAGAGACATAACCACTAATTTTGTTATATCAAATATAATTATTTGAATAGTAAATTTGATGAAATTGGGAAATTCTAAGATGTTGCCTTTTTTGACAAGGAGTGTAGTTATTAGTAGTTATTTCTTTTAGAAATTTATATAAAAAGTTTATGGTTATTAAAGCAAAATGGTATACTTTGGGAACAATTGGAGCGATATTTGTTGGTCATAATCATAGAACAAGTAAACTTTGTCTAAAGATAATACATTTTTATGGCTTAATTCTTATTTAACTGGACTAAAACTATAATGTCCAGGGAATTTTCTATAAGATTTTTGTCAAAGAACAATTTGATGCAGAAAAAAAATATGTTAAAATTTAAAAGCTATAACACGGTTTTAACCTTCTAAAAGTCAAAGCCATAAATATCTATTGTTTGTAAACAGATTTTACTGATTTTTGCTACCAGTAATAATACATCGGCGACTCGTCTTATACCACAGTGGCACCAGTTAAATATTAGGTAATAATTTTGTTATTTCAATTTTTTCGAGGCTTTTTTTTAATGGGTATAAATTAATTTTTAAATAATTCGTGTAACTATTCGTGATATTCATGTGTTTTATTTGCTAAACACATATGGAAAATAAGACTTAAATGCCTTGATACGTAAATAACCATTAATGAGTAGGTATTAAAAAATGAAATATTGACAGACGAAAATAATCGAGTATGATTTTGAGTAGAAAGCCAATTTGCAAATTGTTTTGGGTGCGTCTATTACCTACCTACACATACATTGTTACACATATTAAACAGGAATTAAATTATTATCTCTCGTAAATAAAAGATCAAATGCTTTAAACAATTAAACGAACTGTCTGTAAAAAATAATGAAAAAACTATTTACTTTGTTATTGAATTAATATTAAATGAAGAACATTCCTGTGTTCCAGAAAATAAAGACCCACATAAATCCTCTCTTTACTAATGAGTTAAAGCAAGCGGTAGAATTGAACATCAAAGAACCTAATCTATAGAAAGCAAAATTAAATTAGTGCCCAAATCAAAATTAATAGAAATAACCTTTCAGCAGAGCTTTGAAGGTCTTATTTTAAGAACAGGAATTATTTCTTATAATGCAAATTTTAATCGGTCAAAACCCCAGTGAGTTTTAACACTTGTCGCGACATGTACATGTACAGTTATTACACACAAAAAACTGCTTCCAAATCAGATTAAAAAAGGAAAACATCATTATTAATTACAAGTTGAAAGCTAATATTAGGACAGTTTTATCACTCAGAAATGCAATACAAGTTTTGACGTCTAACACAGTGATTGATTGTCAGCAACAGTGATAAAGAGGAATGCTCACGGCAAGCACATGTGATCGCAATCAAGCTTATTTCAGGGAGAAGTTATCTCGTAACTATATTGCATGTGACCTCAGGGACAATAAGTTTGTTCAAATTTTCGATTTTCGCTGAGGGAATTTCCTGAACTTGAGAAAACGTTACAATAAAAAATTATCCTTTTTTTGCTTCTGATGTGAACAGACAATAATAAAATTATCTTAGCCCATTTGCAACTCCAACAATGATCATTGTGCAAGTATAAGAAAAATAGTAATAGATGATTACCAAAGAGTACGGTTTTTAACTACCAATAACAATAATAATAGTGCAAAGACAGTTAATTAATTGCTTAATTGCTAGTTATTTCAAATTTTAATTTCTCATCTATGGTACACACCATAACGTATTTTTAAACTTTTAAGTCGTTTCTTTACATAATTTTTCAGACTGTGTTTTTTTCAACTGCATTGTTTTATGATATTTATCCCAAAAATTTAAAACGTCGCCGTCGGTTTTATTACTTTTATCTAAAAACAAAGAACTTAAATTTTATACAAATTTACCTAAGTAAAATCTGTTTGAAGTAGTTATAATTTGTGAAATGCACTTGATGACACTGCCTCAATGTTTTTTAATTGCTAATTACTTAATAATACTATTGCAATAAAAAAAATCGGACATCATTCTTGTCATAATTGTCATAGGTGTGAAACCGGCCTTACTACATTTGAGTCATTTATTATTAACTTTCAGTTTAGTTATTGTTATTATGAATTTTTATAACCCACCAATGTTTTTGTTTTTCTAGGTGGTATAGTTGGTTGCAATAAAAACGGAAAATAGAATTTTCTTTAGATTGAAACAAGTTTTTCCCTTGTCAATTTGTCATCTGTCTCGTTCAAAATTTTTTTCTGCAATGCCGCACTAAAATGCCGAGAGCATTAAATGCAAATCAAGATAATCAATTAGTTGAGTACTTACATGAAAACCCGATGAGTAGTGAGTACTATAGATTAACTGACAGTTCTAACTTAACCTTTTAGAATTAAGCCATGTTCAAACTATGAATAACTATAAAAATCTGACATTTTTATGCTTTGACATTTTCCGATTTTTTTGCAACCAAGTGTACCTACCTACTTGTTAAACAAAATTTTGGCTCTGGTGACAAATGCAAATAGCATTTTGCTTTTTCAATAATTCGTACAAATATTATTTGTTATTTGTCATAAACTATTGGCACATATCGCGGAATTATGGGTTAGTTCATCGCTATCTAATATTCCATAACAAAAGCTATGTTTCGAAAAGAGGTCTTGGCTGTTGTGTCTTGTTGTAAGTGTAACATGAAAACGTCATCAATGTAATTGCCGAGTCAGCTTCTTGAACCATAAAAAATACGCGGAATATTAGTCTGAATCCCTTGCCTTTGTGTCCTATAGTTTATAAAGTTTAAGTAAACTGCGACATGTGCTTTTTATACTAGAATATGAAAGTCCCACAAAATATTCGGCTGTTTCAGAACTCGCGCCCCAGAGAAAAATACCAGAAACAGAAAAAAAATTCTATCTATAAAAATTTTGAAATTCTGGGGTTTTAAAATTTCCATTTTGACTCTATTTATTTATGTTGGCAAAATAATTTATAATATTTTTTGCTGCAAGCTATTAGAAGAGGAAACAAAGAAGCTGTATCCTGAATTGTAACAATATTTATTTAATTGTGGCTTTTATTGGCAAAGTATTTGTACCTTTACTGAATAATTATGAAAAAACATACAGGATCATCGGTAACATTACCTGACCTGACGATGTTTGATTCATAAGTGCGATATATTTTTTTATAACATTATGATAATCATACAACATTTTGGAGACTTTTTACTGGTATAAACAGTAATTTGAAATAGATACTTTTTTTTTAATGTAACAATATCGACATTTATTTTAATTTACCTACTTGTCAAAATTTAAGTGTATTAGTAAATCCATACTCTTATGGAGTATTAAATCAAGTGATTTAATCATGTGAATTTAGTGAAACATCGGTCGTTGGTCTCTTAAATAGATGAGTACTGACAGTGATAAGCATAATATTTCATATCTTTGACGTGTTTTCATTGTCATAATCAAGACCCGTCAAATATTATTTAAATTGAAGTAAGTAACAATAAAAATCGTTAAGGTGGTAGTACCTATAGATATTTCCGTATTTTCTGCAAACATCACTGTATCAATATTTTGCTTTTTTTTATTTTACGTAATATATTACGCCATGATAAGTAATATCATTTTCATTTATCACACATTTTACAAGTGTTACATAAAAACATCGTTAATTCTTGCTTTAATTACTTACAAAAAACTGGGGTTATTTTATGGCGCTCGTTCTAAGTATACAGGGTGTCAATTTTAAAACTTGCAATCGCCAATATCCCTAGAACTAAAAAAGTTATAAAGAATCACTCAAAACCGTTTCGGTGGTAAGTTATTTTTCCAATTATTCAAAAACGAAGACGTTAAATTTTCATTTTTTTTACTATATTCAAGGGTGGGTGGAGGTGTGTCACCTATCATGTCATTTTAATTCCCCCTAGGAACCACCAAAACGGTTTTGAGTGATTATTAATAACGTTTTCAGTTGAGAGAAATTGCCAACTGCAAGTTTTAAAATTGACACAGTGTATAATAATTTATGCGGAAATCCTGGATCAGATTTTGTCAAGTATTCACCAAAAAAAAATGTGCCTAATTCGAGTACAAATATCGATCTAAATTTAGCCCAAAAACCTTCCAGCATATTTACTCTCTCTATAAACACAGTGCAAAAGTAAACTTATTTACACAGATCTGGGTGATCGTTTGAAAAATAAAATTCTCGTGGGGGAATTTTTCGCCAAGCGCTTCCCTTTATAGGATTAGAGACCTGTTGAAATTTTAATTAAAATTGATACCGGGACCATGCTCAACCGCCTCAATGACTTAATCACCCCCTAAATCTAACCCTAAACTCGAATCAGCAGTATGCAACAGCGACTTCCTCACAAACGCCGTGAAAATCCCATTTTTCCCCCATCACAACCGGAAATTAGCGCTACATCGGATTTTCCTCATAAGCATGCACTCGCCGTTCCAAAATGGATTTATATTCTTTCGGTTTAAGAATAAAAATCCGATATTAGGAGCGACTGAATTTTAATTAGTCGTAATGATAAAGTTTTAGTTCGAATACTTTAAGCTTAAATTAGAAATTGGACGACAGGCAAAACGTCATCTATAATTAAACGACGTTTTTTTTTCTTTGTAAAAGTTATTCTAAACGGAGCTTTGCTCTTGCTCGTGGTTTCGTCATTGTATGGCTTTCTAAAGATAGGAAATCAGAGTATATGTTCCACAGAAGACGAACTTTTAAGGTTAGGTTAAAAGCACGTGTTTAAATCGTTTTTGTAAGTGTTTTGTTTTTTCTTTTAAAAGTTACGTGATTTTTTGGTTTGTTTTCAGGATTTACTGATAAGAGGTGGGACGACTTGTTAAAATTACGGAGGGACAATGAGTTTCAGAAGAGGAGAGTATCCTTACGGAGGCGGCGATAAAAATGGAGTTGTACAGCCTTTGCAACACGGTAAAATTTTTGTAAAATTTGCAAAAAACTAAGATAATCGTTATTTGCAGTATTAAATTTAAATTTTTCAATTCTGCATTGTTTCCTGTTGATTCGGAAATTAAATTGAATTGTACCTATTTTGATTTGGAAATTTCATCAGGACTACGCTATAATAAAAACAGCAAATACATAATTTAAAATATGTACATACGAGGTGAACAGAATATACACAACCAAGCATTCATCTTCAGAAAATAACAATTAATAAAAATTAAAGTGTTCTTGTCTTGAGAATGAGATTTTGTTTTGTTGTTGAGTTACGGCATTTTTTCTTTTTTCAAAATGGGAGTTTATATGAATTTTTTTTTTCTTCAAAAATTGATAAGATATAAATAGCAGTAAAAATAGATAGCTGTAATCCATAGATCATAATAGCATTTCTAAAAAAAGGTTTTATAGTGGATTGCCATTTGAAAAAAAAATAAAATTTTGCAGAACAAAAAATTTTCAAAAAATGTTACTCTTGCGAAACGTCACATTTTTATGGTACTTTTATCAATCAATTAGTTTTTTATAATAAATAGTTTAAGCAAAAAACGTTTGGTTCCGTATTTTCTGTTCACCTGGTGTATGGTTAACATTAGTGTAAGAAAGATATATTAATTAAATCAAAATTAATTAGAAGTATTTTACTAAGATTTATAATGATTATTTTACTTCTCTCAAGAGCTAAATATCTTTTTTCCGAAATTGTCACTAAAGTTACATAAAATCGTCACTAAATCGGCACTAAAATAGTTCATTATACTACGATTTTGTGTATCGTGGATTACGAACATGCCATAACAGTGTTGTCAAATCATTGTCCTAATCTAAACATAACATAAAGACATAATAATTCTATTGCTAACGTGTATCCGTTTATTCATTTATAAGTGTTGGTTTTTTATTCTACAAATATTTTTTTCCTGTTTCGCGTTTTTGTATGGTGGCTACTTATTTTGCGGTTTCTGGTCGAGATGGTACTATTGAAATGAGAAATGAACAAGTAAACTGCCGGTTGTGAACTGTCATGGTAAAAAAAAAACAACCTCCAAAAGTAGTTATGCAATTTACGATTTCGGAAAAAATTAACATACACCTCGGTACTAAAGTTCATTACTTTTTTTACTTCATTACCTTCATTACTTAAACACACCTTCGTAATGAAAAATAAGACTTCAGTGTTTTGATACATAAATAGCTATTAAAATTCATTATTTAATGATTCCATTTAGATACAGTGCGATCAAAAAGTCTTTCTATCAAGTAGGTGTCCTTGTTGAGGACGTATGTTGCATGGCAGTTCGTATGTTATCTAGATGTCAAAAAATTATTTTATAAAAATTAAAACATTGAGCTAATTAAATTGAATTATTCTATGAAATATCCTAAAATGAGATTTTGTTGGTGTTTATTCATAAAAATCGTTCACCACGGTTTCCTGTTTTACATAAAAATTATTTTGACATTTCTCATTCGTCATTGTGACATTTTACTTCTACAGACATATACGTTTTAAATTTCTACGCTTGCTTGATAGACAGACTTTTTGATCTCACTGTATAATAAACGAAATAGTTAAAAACAAATGCCATCTAAATTAAATTAAAAGTAAGTCAAGTTTGCTAGGGCACAATTATTGACAACATATACAGCTAAATTCAAAAAAAAAACGGGAAGGGTCAAAAAAATAATTAAAAAATAGTTTTTTTTTTCAACTTTTCCATGGTGTGAACGTGTTTTATTAAATGCGGCATTACACAAGTTGGTATAAAATCAACGACATTGGTAGAAATATTTTTGATAGGTTTTGATAGGATTTGAAAAAAATTTAATTTCCCATTTTTTTTATGTAGCTGTACTTCGTGGCTTGAACTATTTTACAGATTTGCCGCTTATTCAAACTTTTCCTCTGTAAAATTCGTTTCAATTTCTAATTTGAGCTCAAAAAAGATGGTATTTGTATTTATAAACGCTAATAACTTCCGGGATGTGAGTCAACAAAACTCAGGTACTCAGGTTTGAATGAAATATTTAATTGATTTCTAAATACAATTAATTACACTAGCCAACAAGCATTTTGTGACTGAGAAGAAAACAGTTATTTTTTATTCAATTCTATGTTCTAAATTCAAAATCGCCGAAAAACGAAACACTTAAAATTCATTTTCTCCATTCTCATTAAAAAAAAATTCCCCCAAATTTGGGTGCCGTTAGTGACGAGCAAGGGGAAAGGTTCCACCAGGATATATTGACGATGGAAAAGAGGTACCAAGGGAGATGGGATCCAGCTATGATGGATTACTGCAGGTTCCTCATAAGGGAAGTTAAAACACCCTACAAAAGAAAATCAGCTTTTGCAAAAAACTCATCTACAACAGATTTATGTTAGAATCTTATACATCTTTCAACATTGTTCTTGTTTAGTGAATAAATTAATTTCTTTCGTCGTCTATTTAATTAATTTCTATTTGAAATGAACAATTTTTACGATAAAATTTGAGAAAACAATTTTCCTGTAACTTAAAATCTGTACGTAATGGAGAATTTTTCTTATCAAATTCGTAATTAGGGATGTTAATGTACCCTGATACACGTGTCAATAGATCAATCACATTAAAAAAAAATAAAATTTGTTGGGTAGTGTTATTTATCGAAAAAAGTAGAGCATTATTCGCTCTGAAAAAGAAAAATCAGACGAATTTAGTAGGGTTTAAATTATGATATGCTTGGACTGAAATGCAAGAATATTGTGTTACTGTTGTTTATAAAAAATAAATAAATTCTTCATTATTGCAATTCTCTTAAAGTCCAATTTTCTGCAGCAAATTAAAATGAATGTGTGCATCCATTTGCACCTTCCTACACAGATTATAATCCACCATCGTAACAAAATTATAAATTATGCCATCCCCTCGGCCATAAACTAAATGCTTTAAAAGATGAGCGTCACCTGATCCTTGCCGCGAGCCTTTCTGTTAGAATAAAACAGGAAAATTTTGATTGATCGCCTCTAGCGTTTAATAAATGACCCACAAATGAAATTTTTGCTGTTGTACGAACCCAAAACATGTTTCATGAGAAGTAAACAATTCTATTTGTGAGCATGTTTATGCGTGAGCTTAATACAAAATGTTAAATTATACTTGAAGTGTTTTATTTATTTGTAGGGGAAGAGAGTAGCGAACGAGCGAAAACCCAACAACCCGTTAAACTGCAACCATCCTGGGAGGAGAATAATCTACCCGAAGACGAACTGAATTTTAAGAATCAGACCATGGATGATGCCAGTTTGGCATTAAATCAACCTCCCGACAAATATAATTTAGTGTATTTGACTTTTTTGATCCATGGAATTGGAGTTTTAACGCCTTGGAACATGTTCATCACTGCCGATAAGGTTCCCTGCCACAGTCATAATTAACTCTAATTCATTGTTGTTTTGCAGTATTTTTCAGAACACAAATTGTCAGAGGAATACACTGGCGAAATTTCACCATACGTGACGAATTTTATGCAATATCTCACTTTTGCTTCCCAAGTTCCTAATGTGTTTTTCAATTGGCTTAATATTTTTATACAAATCGGGTAAGTCACCACCAAGTGCGTCAAATCATTTTTGACACAAGATTTTTAGTGGTAATTTAACCACGCGTATAGTTTGGAGCATTAGTATCGAAGTAGTCGTTTTTATAGTCACTATTATACTTGCAATGATAGATACAAGCACTTGGCCAGTTCCATTTTTTTGGATAACGATGGTGTGCGTAGTTATTTTGAATAGTAAGTAATTTTAGGCTAGAGCCGAGTTGCATACGCAATTTTTTTTGTTGCAGTGGCCAATGGCATTTATCAGAACACCGTTTTCGGAATGGCCGCTAAACTGCCGGGGAAATACACTGGAGCTGTGGTTTTAGGCTCTAATATTAGCGGGACTTTTACAGCTGTAGTCTCGCTGTTATCGACCATAATGGCCTCGAATAAAAAAATGGCCGCTATTTATTACTTCATCACGGCGCTTTTTGTACTGCTTGTCTGCTTTGACACCTACTTTGCCTTACCGCTAAATGTAAGTGCTAATCAGAGGAAAAACTAGAAAAAAGTTTCTATATTGTTTCGAGATAATAATTATGACTATTAAAGCACTCATTTCAATACTAATTCAAAAAAGTAGAAGGCGGAAGAAATATATTTTGAATCTTCTTTGCAGTAGTATATAAAACGTTTCTTAATTCATTTTATTACCATAAATTTGTATCCCATGTTGGCTTTGACAAATTTAATATGTCATCTGTAATTCTAACTAGACCTGCCTATTTTTCAAATTCTACTAAATGAAATATAAAATAAGAAAAAAATTTTTTGACACAATACCATACAAATTCGTAACCAAAATTGGTTTTGAAAATACGTTATGTGGGACAGGCATGCAATATTTGATTTTCAGTAGAAAAATATTGAAAATAGTTTTTATCAAGGGAAATTTATTAAAGGATTTATAATACGATACATTGAAATGAAAAGAAAGTTAAAATGATCGTACAACATAGTTTTCTAATTTAATTTGTTTCAAAAAAAAATAATATTTCATTAAGAAAAAAAAAACTTAATTAGTTTCAGAACTCTTGTTGTTAGACGAAGAGATTTTTTTCCAAATTTGGATTTAGAATTTAATAGAGTGAAACGTTTTTATCTTTATATTTCCAGCGATTCTACCGCCACCATGAGCTCCGCGAAAAGAAAAACGCGGAACTGCGAAAACAAATGAACCAAGGGCGGTCCCAAAGAATCCCCTACTTGCACATCCTCAAAAAATCCCTCCCTCAACTTTACAACGTTTTCTTCATATTTTTCGTGACCCTATCAATTTTTCCAGCAATACAAACAAGTAACTTTTCTCCCGAGTTGCATAAAATGTTTTGACCAATTTTGCATTTCAGACATTAGGCGTGGTGACGAAAATTTTTTTATTGGAGATAATTATTACACAGGAATTACGTGTTTTTTGACTTTTAATGTTTGCGCGATGGTGGGCAGTTATCTAACTAATTTACTGTGTTGGGTAAATAAAATCAAACAAAGAAAAAAAAATTTTATGAACTTATTCTAGCCCGGCCCTAAATATTTATGGATTTTTGTCACTCTTCGAGTGTTGTATATCCCGTTTTTCTTCTTTTGTAATTACCAGATAAACGGGATTGAGAGACATATTCCGGTGTATATCACAAGTGACTGGGTTTATTGGATAGTTGCTATTACAATGGGGTTGACTAGTGGGTATTTTAGCTCTCTGGCAATGATGTACACCCCAAGGTGAGTCATTTTTTTTTCTTATTTTGGTGATAAAATTGCTCTGTGTAGGTGCGTTGAAGAGAGATATTCCTCAACTGCGGGCATGTTCGCTGCCGCTTCTTTGATAACTGGTATCTTTACTGGAATTTTATCAACATTTTTATGGCCTTGGATAATCAAGCATGTTAAATACTAGCAAAAGTGTTTGGTATATGATACGGAAACGGAATTATCTATACAATTTTAGATAGTAGTTTCTGTCATATGCCATAGAGAAGCAAATTTTATTTCAATGGGTCCCGAATCATAGTTCTTCCAAGTAACGAAGAATATTGTTTTTTGTATCAGTTTTGTAAATAGTTGACAGAATAGTTTTATTTCCATTGGCTTTCCAAAAACGTTTTCTGAGAAAACCGCTAGATTTGCATTTTGATAAGACGTTGCAAGACTGACTGTAAATTATAATCAATTAGTTCTAGTTTACTACTTGTGTTTTCAATAAAGTTAATTTTGTGTTTTTTTGCTTTTGTTCTTTACACATCTAATACAATCATAATCATCTAAATACAAATAAGAGATAAATATTTATTCGGACTATTTATTATCGCCTTATCAAGTGACGTAGCTGATGTCCATTTAGAATCCAATCATATCTAACCACAGTAGCGCTTCTGTTGACTCACTATTAAACAAACAGGAGCGTTGCAAAACGATTAACGGACTGTTGTACCACGAAAAATAAAACTGCCAAAAATTAGATAAATTGTAATTCAATGGTGTCAAAACGGTTTGGTTGTCGTTTATTGCACCACTATTAGGTCGTCCATTGTACATACCTTGAGCAAAAAAGTGACATTTTCGTAGTACAAATTTGGTTTAAAAATGTCACTTTTCCACTCTGTTTCTAGTAGTTTAAGATATATTGACACTGTTACACTCTTCTTCACCTCGACTCTCTTAGATAATATAAGATACAGGGTCTGTCTGACCAATGTTATGTCTTTGTTAACATTGATTTAATTAGAATAGTTAGGAAACTTCAAATTGTTGAGCAGTTTCATTATATTTTTATAAATATTTTGTACAAAAGTCTGACGAGTACCAAATAGAGAAACTCCTTTCTATTTGGTTCAAATTTGATGCACGATAATTACAAATCATAACGCTTTAGAAAGTTGGAACATTCATAAATCATAATCATAAAACGGCATTTTAAACTGTAAGTTTTAGTGTAGTGGAATGGATTATAGGTACTGACATAATAAAAACTATCAGGAATTAAATTATATTTTTATTTCGAGAAGCATACTTAATGTAATTTCACAAAAAACTGAAACCCTATGAGTACTTAACATAACTCAACTTATCAACTAAAAAAAAAACGATAGAGAGGTATAATCAATACTATATAAAAAAAAGAAAAATATCACATTTACATAACGTAAACTTTTTCGACTTTCTTAAATGGAAATATTTCTTTCGTTTTGGGACAAATTATTTGACCATTATTTTCCTTCGCCATTTGTTCTAGCGCCTAAAAGTCGTATATTAGTAACTAAGCAATTATAAAATCATCTTACTTGTTCTCCATAAATATATCCATTGGGCAACATCATAGGTAAATTATTTTCATTTAATGGTAATCCGCTAATATGGCAATAAAGACGTGATTGTGAGCAATGGGCGAAAGGCAAAGACTCTGCTAACTGATTGAGACAAGGTTGGCAAACTGGACAGGAGGGATTCCTATTTTCCCCATTATCGGAATAACATTGAGTATGTATTATTAAGGAAAAATATGCGTAATAAACTAATAAACATGATAAAAAGATAAAATGCATCAAAGGATATGGTGTTTTAAGTGCTGAAAGTCCAGCTTGAAGAGCCACTGTAAAAACAGACTGTGAAGCTAATTGGAACAGTCGGTAGTTTTCTTGTCTAAACTCTTCGATGAGGGTGTCCCACCTGGTCTCGTCAAACAGGGCTTTGTATGGTTTTATTTCTGAAATTGGTTTCACAGGACACGCCATTAACCACCACAAAATAAAAAAAATGTATTTTGAAAACAAGATCTGGATTATTTAATTGATTATTCTTAGCGCATTTTTTCGTTAAAATAAAGCTTTTTTGTCCATTTCTGAATATTTATGTTAAAAACTGTTATATTTATATTTTTTCAGTATCTTCAAAACTAGTACCTACTACGACACTTGCTATACTCGTGAAAAATCCCGCATAAATAGTTAACACATATTATTTAAAATATCACTTTGTAAGTTACTAAATTTATTAAAATCCCTTTTTGCCATAAGAATATCTTATCAATTCTTGAGTTGTTACACGTCTTTACATTAATTTTTGTGTCAAAAAATCAAATTAATTATTAATAAGACGTTTTTTTACTTTTTGACAAATTACAACTTTTGTACATTATGGTCCTTTATACTTTATAAATATTTTATGGCAATGATTTAACAAGAAAAAAAATTACCGAGCATTTAAATAAAAAAAAGCTTTTTGTTTCAGACGTAATATTTTGTAGTTTTGTATCAACAATGCATAATGAGAAATACTGACCTGTATCGACCGGAAACGCTAAAAGCGCCATAACCCTTTGAATCGAGTCTAAATGCTCGTCTTCGAAACTCGGAAAATGCTTCCTTGCGTGCTTAATCGCGTCCATTCTGCGCTCAGACCTGATCAGTTCAACAAACTCTTGGATCCTCAAATTAAACTCCATATTTGACTTAAGCTTACGAAGTTTCGACTTATTGTCATGGCACCAAATCAAACACTTGGACGTCTCATGGTTTGCAAGACTTTTCTCAACTTCGCGAGACGTTAAAAAAATCTCAATATTAGTCAAATCCTTTATATCACTCTTTTCTGCTAGAGTTATCGCTGCATTGTAATACCCGTTCCTGAGGAAATACTCCACCATCATCCTATCCAATCGCTTCCTCTTCCACTGGTTGACAGCCCCCTGCGAGATCGTCCCTGCCGATGTGAGCGTCTCGCGCTCCTTCAAGTGCTCCAACCTCCTCTTACACACATTGGAAGCGGCCAACTCCTCGGAGATGCTCTCCTCGGCCTTGCGTTTCAGCACTTGGAGTTTCTCCACCATGCCTCCAAGAAGTGAGGTGATGTCGCGGGCTCTTACATTACCCCCAGAGATGGTGGTCTCAAGCTCGCGGGCGGCCTGCTGCACGTGGGAGGCTTCTCTGTCGAGGGACTTTTGCGCAGTTCGAAATTTCTTATTGAGGATCTCGTATGGCACCTAAAATTCGATACCAACAACGCCCTGAGACCTTGACTGCGAAATGTCGCTCTTATCGACGCGATAATGCAAATTTTGAGAAAAAAAAATGACACAAAAACGGAGGGGGTGGGGACCCCAAAGCGGGGCTGGATTTCCGAAAAGAAAAAGGAAATAAAGGCATGATGTTGGAGTTTAGTTTACCTTCAACGTGGGATGCTCCAGAGATTTCAGGTCTGCCATTTTGGTGCACAAATAAAAACATAAATAAAACGTCAAATTGACTCAGCTGACCTCGGAAACAGCTGATTTTGTCAATAGAAATGGCAGGGAAGTACAGAAATCGCGAAATTTGGAGAAACACAACAGTTGCACAAACAATTAGCAAATGTTAACAGTCTGGAAATTTAGGAGTTTTCAAAGAAACAATTTACTCAAAGCCACTCCCCCTGACCTTGGAAATATGTTGCTTATCTATATAACACGAAAACAAAATTATTTGTTTTAATTGGTCACTTTCAATATTGAGAAATAAAAAACAAAATTTTGATACACTTAAATACACGATGGTTTAATTTTTATCAAAATAAACTCGTCTTTATAGGCAATTAATTGTTAAACCAAATAATACCTTTAACAAACACCAAATTATTAAATTTGATAAATTTTTACACTAATTAACAAGTTAGGCAACCAATTATCCACTGATTACACTGGACCATATTAGGTATTACGCAAGATGATCCCATGAATAATAATAATTATTAAAATTTATACTTTTCATCAATTACTCACCTTAAAACATGCCGAGATAACAAGCTGTAACAAAAACAACAATCATTGATAAACTCGCAGACAGTTATTACATCATATATGACAGGTGTCAGTTTATAGGTTAGCTTTAGGACTCAAACAAATTTTGAATAATCTCAATTTATTTATTAAATAATCGCACATTTAAGGTTTAATAGCACTAATGTACATTTATATAACTACTAAACGATCGTTTTCAGATGAAATCATTCATTTTCTTAACGTTTATCGTTTATTTATCCATCACGAAAGCAGAATGGGTTGACCCCCATAGTATGGACACTAAATCGAAACATAAGATTCCAACTCGCTCCGAAAGTCTAGATCTCGAAACCCGAAAACGTTACAATTCTGGGAAAACACACTGCGAAGCTGATTTACATTTAAAAAGAATTGTGCGTTTAATTTTGAGTAATGCCTATCTGGACGATTTGGTGGGTTACCACGAGGGTTACTTGAATATTAAATTGACGACACATGAGCTTCAATTTTTGATGAATTTTTCCCAAAGTAGTGACATTGGTGATAACACAATTAGTGAAATAAGTTCGATTTTTGAGAATGCATTACAAAAAACGACCTATGATAGATATGAAGGGATTGTTTTATCAACACAGGAGAAATTGTATTATTTGATTTTTAACCCAACTTCGGGGGCCCTTGGCGCCACCTGCATTTTTTTATTTATAATTTATAAGTTGCTTAGGGCACAATTTACGTGGAAGTCTATAGTGAAGTATTTTGTTTTTTTGATGTACATAATGGATTTTACAGTCACATATTTAAGTATTTTACACGTGAGTTTATTATAGTTATAACACAACGGCGAAAGTAATGATTTTTTTGCAGGAAGAAGAAATTGATAATTTCGTAGCACTGAAAAAGATGGGGACGGTTCCGCCTGAATGTGATCCTAAAAACATGTCATGGGGTAATTACTTCCAAACACAATTGCGTAAGTAATTTATTTACAAAAAATAGTACAATTATTTTTTACTCAATAGTGATTCAAAGTCAGGAAACATGATAAAATTATTTAAAACATTGCCTAATATTGCTATACAATTTTCACCATTGGGGCCTTCTGTTATCGTAGCTAACTCTTCTTTAGACTCAAATGTGCTTTCAGGACTCAACTCATACTTTATCCTACCTATATGTACTTCCATTTTGCCTGACTTTCTTATAACTAGTTTGCCAATTTGGCCTTCAAGCATGTCTTTGAGGGTATAATCGAACAATTTTTTAACATTAGGATCGTCACTTAGGCCTTTGCCAGCAAAAGAATCTGGCAATTTAACTAAAGCTAAAGCTGGGCTTTCCTCACTATAATCACTGTTAAAGGGTTCAGGTACAAACTCCAAATCCTCCTCTTTCTTTACATTCACCTCTTTTTTAACCTTTCTGACAGAATCCAGCGACAATGTCAAAGGCTTAAAAGACATTTTCTCCTCATCACTATCAATATCACAGTTTGCCAACTCATCTAAAACCGCCTCTTCGGCTTTTTTATTCACAGTCCACGAATTCCTATTAATTGTTGGTAAAACCAAATTCGAGACCGTACTACTATTCCTAAAACTGACCCTCGGCTCAGAATTATGGGGGGTCAGCCTTTTAATTTCACCCGTTCCTTGTGAAAAAACCCCAGTAGACTGCACAAATTTAGGCTTGTGGTCCTGCTTATCGTGCCGCACTTTATGCCCGGTCCGATCCTTGCGTTTTTGGTCCATTTTCTTGAGAAATTCCTTCGTTTTGTCCTTATTTCTGACAACATTGAGGTTAGGTGTGTATTGTTTCTTCGGTTTGGCGATTCCTAAACTCAAGTCGCGGGGAAGTTTAAGGGACTGGAGACGCCCCCCGGGGACCTCTTTATCGGACACATTTTTCAGAAATTTCTTCTCGTCCATTTTTGAGAAATGTAAACAAAACGGAGAGTTTGGTTAATCTTGAATGTCAAAAGTGACGTTTTTTGGCTTTTAGGATTTTTATGTCGTACGGTTGCATATTTATGGCGCGTAATTTGAATTAAATTTGTTCCAGAATCAATTTTCTGGGAGAATCCGTGCAAAGCGTACTATAAGATCACGTATCAAAATTTAAAATACTTTGTGGCCCCTTCTAAGGTGCTCACAAAACAATTTCGGACACTTATCGTCGAGCCCGGGGGCGACATTGGTGAAGCGTTTGGAAAGTTTGGTCGTGGCATGTTCAGTAAGTCGTTTTTCTAAATTTTATGAAAATAAATAAAATAATTATCATTACAGCAAAACTTCCCTGGGGTCTCAATGTAGTTCTCTTCCCCATAATGTTGATAACATCATGCGTTTTCATTTTCATAATTTTTCTCTTCATAACTAAACCTCATTTTAAATTAAGTTTATTTCATTTATTTTCAATCGAATTGGGGCAACCCGTGAGACACGAGGTACCAACATTAAGAGGAAACGACACCAACACAAGACAAATTGCTGGAGCGAGGCGGAGGCGAGTTAGAAATCAGGGGAGAGAGGTAGGACATAGAGCCTTAGTGGAAGACGTTTCAAATGATAAAAGTTCAAGTTCTGGTAAAATAAGCCCAAAGGAGAGCCCCCAAAAAATCCAAAGTGCCTCAGAAAGCAAGTCGCCCATCAAGGACTAAAATTTCGCAATTACCATCATTGATTACCTACTGCTTAACTTTTTTATTAATCCTTGACTGTCGAATATGGTTGTGTTAATATTTTCTCTCTTTTTTATAAAAATAAATGTATCAAAAATAATACTGATTTTTGCGAAAATGTATTTTGAAACTTGGAATAAATTTTTTACTCTGAATTTCAATTATTTTCAATTATTTCTCCCTAATTTATTCAGTTTTTACGTTCACAGTACAGACTGCATAATAGCGAACTCGGCTTTCGCCTCGTCACATTTTTTCCGGGTTTTGTTCCGGTTGCGCAACACAGATCTCTGCAGTCTAGTTCCCGGAGTTTGTGTTAGATGTCCTAGGGCTAGATCGTGGCCAATCAATACAAATTTTTAGTTTTAAGAATGACGTCATAATTTTAGCCAAATTTATTGCAAAAAATACCGAAAACACAAGTTCATTTTTGAAAAAATCATCAAACAACGCATTTCAAGTCAAATAATCAACGAAATGGAGCAACTTCAACTGAAAACAAGCTGTAATCAATTCATATAACCTCTTTTTTCAAGCCTCCAAATCCGCTGAAAATGCCTGAACAAAGCAATGACTACCGTGTGGTGGTTTTTGGGGCCGGGGGTGTGGGCAAAAGCTCCCTGGTTTTGAGGTTCGTCAAAGGGACCTTTCGGGAGAGTTACATCCCGACCATCGAAGACACTTATCGCCAAGTGAGCTCTAGGAATTATTAAATTGTTTTTTTTTTTTTTTTAGTTTTTGTTGCTTGATGTATTAACAATAATTTGCGCGTTTGTTAGTTTTTTTCGGTAAGTCGTTGTTTTGCTCGACTGTTTCTCTTAGAGTTGTGGAGTCAAAAATATTTTTTTTAGGTAATAAGTTGCAACAAAAACATATGTACTCTTCAAATAACGGATACGACGGGGTCACATCAATTCCCTGCGATGCAAAGATTGTCGATAAGCAAAGGTCATGCGTTTATTTTGGTCTATTCCGTGTGTAGTAGACAGAGTTTGGAGGAGTTGCGGCCCATTTGGGAGGTCATTCGGGAACTAAAAGGACCAGATCTTAGCCAAATTCCCATCATGTTAGTTGGGAATAAATGCGACGAAAGTGCAGAACTCAGAGAGGTGGGTTTGATTTTAAAAACTGAGACTCGTTATTCTGTAAAAAGTATATGGGGCGCAAAATAATTTGACGAAATTGGATGTTTCAATGCTTTGAAACAGGTTAGTGATACGATAAAACTGACCTGTTCATGTCTAAAAAACTAAATTCTCCAAATGTTTTTCCTCGTTAATTGAAGTTTAATTTTTATTATAGTAAAAAAACAATTATCTTGATTTTTATGACATACCAATTAAGTAATAAAATAAATATTAATTTATAAATGAAAACAAAGATTTCGATATTTGATGTATCACAAATGAACATTAATTTTTGGAATAATAATTAAAATCAGCTAATTGCAGGGTATTTATATCATTAGGGCAGATTTCATAATGAAATCTAAAAAGGATGTGATGATTTCTATGGTCCTGCTATCAAAATATTTGAGTCTGTAAATCAGTTTGTATAAAAATAATATATTTTGCAATCAGCATTACGCAAACATGCACACTTATTGTTGCATTCAATTTTAAAATGAGATAAAACCAAAGGAAATTGTGCACTGGTTTTACCTAAAACACACTGAAAGTAAATTAAGTAAACAAAAAAATTCCTCTATCAGTGAAAAAAACATTTTGAAACTTTGAGTTTCTAGTTTTGAGATCTTTTGATAAAATTTTTTTCTGAGCGCAAGCAAAGTTTTTTATAATTTTTTGTTTTTGATACAATCCATGGGCCGGTTAGCTTTTTTATTCAGCTTAAATTTGCTTTTATTATATTCTCTTTACGTCAATTTGTCGCTCAAATATCTGACAACGAAACAAATTTCACTTATCTTTAAATCAATGTTGAGAGTGAAAAAAAATTTTTTTTTCAAAAAATCGTAATAAGATTTGTAAGAAATTTATTTTTGAAACTACCCTTACATTCTCTGTGCGGTCATTGGTTGCTGAGATATCGATAATGAAAAACAAAATGATCCTTTTTCATTAAAAGTCAGATATCTCAAAAACAAAATGATCCTTTTTCATTTAAAAGTCAGATATCTCAACGACAAATTGACGTAAAAAGAATATAAAAAAGCAGATTAAAGCTAAATAAACAAGCTAGCCGGCTCCTGTATTACTTTAACTAAAAATATTTCCACAACAACAAAAAATACATTTTTATGGTGCTATTTCTTAGGATTGCGTGATAACCGTAGCTCAGAATTTTTTTGTCCAAAGATCTCAAAACTTGAAGTTTCATAGTTATTTATTATACAAGACGATAAAGAAATTGTTTATCTACGAGTGAAAAAGTTAAGTTCGCGAGTAACGAAGTCACGAGTGGACTTTTTTCACGAGTAGATAAACAATCTTTATCGTCGTTAATATTTCGTTTTATTTTGTGATACTCGCCCACCAGAATTTCTTGGTCAAAGTGGTATATAAACAGTAGATAAAAATTTCTTTATTTCACTAGACGATAAAAGACTACTTTATCTACTGAAATTAGTTGATAAAATATAAACAGTAGATAAAAATTACTTTATTCCACTAGACGATAAAAGACTACTTTATCTACTGAAATTAGTTGATAAAAGCACTCTTTAACATTGAGTACAAAATAAAAATGTTTTTTTTTTAATTTCGATACGACGATTTTTCACTGAAATACAAACTTTCAAAAATCACCAAAAAATTTAGGAAATTGTTTTGTTCCCTTGATTTTTTGGAATAGTGTATTTTTGGTTGTGGGCTTAAACAATGACATATGAGTCATTCGCTTCACGGTAGTTTTGATAATACAAAATTTCATTAAATAAATAAAAAAACTAAATAGTAGACGAGTTCAAAGTAATGTGTCTTATAGAATCAAAATAGTAACTTAAACACCAAAAATGTGCAACTTTTCGAAAAAATCTTTCAGGTGAGTACCTCCGAGGGCCAGGCCCAGGCGCAAGAATGGGGTGTGAGTTTCATGGAAACGTCTGCGAAGACCAACCACAATGTGAAGCAGCTATTCCAAGAGCTCCTCAACCTGGAGAAATCTCGCAATGTGAGTCTCCAAATAGGAGGCAAGGCAAACAGTCGCGTCGCCAAAGATAAGTGTGACCTAATGTAAAAAAAATCAGTCATATGTATCGAATCCGCGGATACTTTCCGATATTTGCAACCTTGTAAATATCAGTCTTGTTAACCTGACCAAGCTTTAATGGCCGGGCAAGTGGGAAGAGGCAGTTCCGTTGCGTGTAACCCTTGTTGACTGTTAACCGATTAAGTGCCCATCTCTGTGGACAATATTAGCTACTCTACATGTTTTTGTCCTGTAAATAACCGCACATTTTCACTTGCTCGGCCCGAATTTGTTAAGGGCCGACTGCTGGCACTTTTGTGTTCCATATTGATCGTTTGGTGTATGCAAAAAGCACCGTTTTTCATCCTGATTTAGTGATAAAATACAACGCAGTCGGGTCCATCCATCATTGTTGAATACGAAAAGTTAGGTGTATTCACACATCACACATGTCACAATAGCATATCAGTATAAGTAGTATCGTAGGATGCTATAACCGGCGTAGAGTATGCCGAATTTTGAAGTAGGGTTAAAAATGCTGTGAGTTAGTGAGTTAGAAAGTGCATACTCCATATGCCACCCCATCAAAGCATTTCATATATTTAATTGTGATCCCATTAATTTCAATAGTTGCACGTTGGAATGCTTTGATGGATCCACTTTTAAAATTTTTAGACTGGGTGCTAAAGCAACATTGTTCGTGTTATTAATATTTGTTATTCACGCTTTATAGTGTTCACTATATGAACTGCAATTGTGATCGATTTATAAACGTATTTATGCAACGAATATATAAAGAAATAAATAAAAATAGTGTAGCAAAAAATGTACTCAAAATACTTTTGACTTTGCTCGGTAGAAGCCATTTTACTACATTTATTGCGTAAAATTGGAAAAATCGCTTTTATTAGCAGTACTAAAATAAAGTCATTTTATTCTAAAAATTTACTTATTTTACTAGAATAAAATTGTTATTAATATAGTGAACTTAAGGAACAAATTTGTATACTTGTAGATAATTTCAAGTCGTTTTACTCAAACATTATTTCAGCTCAAATTATGTTTCGTTTGTGTTTCGTGTACCAATAAGACAAAGACTGACATCACTTGGTAGAATAAATGCTAGAAATTCCTATGGAATATTCAGTACGATAGTTTTTAGTATCAATTTTAAGCAGTAATCGCATTTTGTAAGTAAAATCATTCAACCCTAACATTAATTCCATCATGTCGGGTCAGTCTGCAAGACATTATGGGCCATTCCAACTCAAATTCATTTCCATCGACTAAATTTCAACAACGAATAATTTCTTCGTTGAAATCTTGTAGGTGGACACTATTTAGATTTTGATCAACTTCTAGATAATTATTGTTTGTCTTTCAATGTTCTTCTTCTCTCTACGTGTTTCCCCTATCGAATAAGTTTCACTGTTAATAATAGAATTGATTATTTTGTCAGCGACTCTCAAACTTTCCAAAATTTTACATTCCTCATTTTGTGATGTTAAATTCCTTTGTAAACACAGTTTTATTAAATAATAAATCCATTACGAAATAAGTGTATTTTTTCCCGATTTTCGAAAAGACCCTAAACAAAAAGAAGTTCTGCACTGACGCTAATTCATTAAAAAAGACTTTTAAAGTTCTTTTATACTACTAATACATTTATACCAAATATCATTGAAATAACAGTGTAGTTTCGTTGAATGACTTGAGTTCAGTTTGCACAACAGCATAAAACAAATATTTACTTAGTATTTAAAGACCGATCACATTCATAAGTTTGACAGAAAATTATTTTCAAGTGTAGCATTTTTGGATCTCATTAGAACAAAATAAGGAAAAGAATATTTTTTGCCTCCTTAAAAGTTTTTGTTAGTGGCTCTGAAATAACCAAAATTTTTGTCAAATTGTTTGTAAATATAATTTTATCAAACAATAAATCCATTTCGAGATAAATATTTTTCTCAATTTGCGTGCGTCAAACGAACGGGAAGTCTAGACAAAATGGTTAAAATGACCTCTGGACTTTGTCTTTGTGATAAACTCAGTTCCGTTATAATCAGTTCTTTCACGAAGTGAGCCCAAGCCATTACCAAAAAATTACAATGGTCGCAAATAACACTTCTGTTTTTTTACAAACTCTTATCTTTGTTATGAATCAAAGCAACTTTCAACAAGACACCTCCTACAACTACTACTTTTTAGAAATTGGGAAAAGTTGGTAAAACACCCCTCTAGACCAAACCCCAAACCAATACAGATTTTTCAGCCAACAATGCGTCCAAATGTTACGGAATATACGGCTGCTTTCAACTATCACCTCCATGGACTTCGGAAAATCGCCCCGTGTCCCTCTTCCCGGAAGACCTCAATAAGGTACCACCTCGTTCAAATTTACCCAAATGACCACAAATTTTTCAAGATTGAACCACGATACCCCCTCTACACGCGGAAAAACCCCTCGAAACCCACCTATATCGACTTGAATGAGTTCGACGTGATCGCCTCGACAGGAATCAACCCTCGGAATCCCGTCTACGTCATCTCCCACGGATACATGGAGGGTGGAGGAATCTATTGGGTACGACTTCGGCGCACATGCCCCAACCTCCTCAAAATTTCACATAGATTGTAGACATGGCCCAGGAATTGTTAAAAATTCACGACTGTTCTGTCATCGTCGTGGACTGGCAAGGGGGCTCCAGTCCCCCCTACACGCAAGCAGTGGCGAATATTCGGCTAGTGGGGGCAATGACCGCACATCTTTTACACGACTTGTGGAAACACATCCCTGACATGAATCTAGATCACGTGCACTGCATCGGACACTCTCTGGGGGCCCACTTGTGCGGATACGTGGGCTATACGTTGCAAAGGGTATGTCAAGAAATAAAAAAACATTAAACGTCAGCTTATAAACAATATTTTGGATTTTGTAGGACTTCAAATTGACTTTGGGGCGCATAACCGGCCTCGACCCGGCCGAACCACACTTCGCCAAAGCCAAACCGCCGGTTCGGTTAGACCGAACCGCGGCCAAATATGTCGATGTGGTCCACACCGACGCCAGTCAATTTATTCGAGGAGGATTAGGTATGACCGAAAAGATCGGTCATGTCGACTACTACCCAAATGGGGGCACAAATCAGCCCGGTTGTGGCAAAAGTATAGCCAAATACATAAATGAGGCCAATGGGAGCTTCTTCTTGGGTAATTTATCCAAATTTAGTTGTGCTCAATTAAAAAAAAATATTGCAGGTGTGAGGAAATACATGGGCTGCAACCATATGCGAAGTTACGAATTTTTCATTGAAAGTATTAACCCGAATAGGGGATGTTCGTTTCTGACAGTTGGGTGCAATAATTACGAGGTATTTATTTGGTGTAAATCAAGCTTTGCTAAAAACAATGTTGCCAATTCATTTTAGGATTTTTTGACGGGAAAATGTTTCGACTGTGGCCGAAGGAACCAAAAATGTATACAATTCGGTTATCATAGCCACAAAGAATATAAAGAATTGATAAAACGACGATTAATTGCACCAGAGTCAAATATGGTTCAATTTTTGATAACTGGGGAAACAAAACCGTACTGCCGTAAGTAAAATTTGTATCCCTCGTTTGCTTTGATAATTAAACACAACTCTGAGGGAATACTTTTATTTACACATTTATTACAGGTGGCCATTACAGAATAACAGTAAAAATATCAAATTCTGGCGAAAGTATCCAACATGGCGGTGAAGTGGGCCAACTATTCTTCACAATGCATGAAACAACCGATGGTAAAGGTCCAAAATCGCACACGGTACCACTAAACAAAGGTGGGTACCACGAACCCGGTAAAATCTACACAGCTGTGGTACCAACCTCCGAAATCAAGAAAATCAAAGCTGTTGAAGTCGAATGGCGGTACCAAAGTAGCTATCTCAATCCCCTGACATGGCGACTTTTGGCCGTCCCAAAAATATATATCGAAAAAATAACAATTGACGCTCTGGAAATCAGACAGAGGTACTTCACAACGTTGACTTGATTTGTGTTATATATTTTTTTGTAGCTTGACTGTGTGTCCGAAAGATGGCCAACCGCTACACACCTCGCAGTCGCATTTCATGATTCCGTCTTATTGTTAATCGTACCTGCGACTGTATTTTTATTACATAAATCATTAAAAAACAGCTAAAGATATGTCTCAAGTGCCGTCCGACAATCATATGTAAATAGTTAAATTATTTATTAAAGATTTTATTCATTAACTGTGATTGAGAGTTGTTTGGTCTTGTAATTATCAAATTTATCCATCGTTTTGATGTCGTTTATCGCCGTCAGGGCGATAATAAGCCCGATTCCTAGGAGTCCTGTGACGAATAATCCTGACCAAATTGGGACCGTTGTGAAATCAATACAGTCATAAGCGTCACTAAACAAGCCATTTTTCGAATCAATCTGCACTTGTAAATCGTAGATTCGCAATTCTGTCTTTGAGTTATCTTTGAAAGTTGTTAAACCATTACAATGGTACGAAAAACCGGCAGGAACTAGGAAAGGCTCGGTTATGTTCAAAGTGGTCGAAAAATTTCCGTTAGTTGTCGACACTTTAACCGAAGTCAAGGACCAGTAGGTTTTAAACCAATAGAAAAAAAACTGCAAGATAACGAAATTGTTATCTTGGACCGGGACTTTGACGTAAAGCTTGGTGTAGGAGTCTTTGCCAGGAGAGTCGACTGTTACCATCCGACTCTCCCCAAGGGTAAAACTCACAGGCTCTTCTGCTCCGTCATCTTGGTGCAATACTAAGGGATGAGAAGAGTACAAAAGCGTGAATATGTTCTTCTTCAAGGTGCCTTTGTAGAGGACCGGCTCTTTAGAAGTATCGGGATTCTCAGTGGTAGTGGGAACAGACCTTTTATAACGTTCACTTGGAAGATACAACACTGATAGAGTGTTATTTCCGGCCATCAAATCCAATCGTTGTTTGGCTTCAATAAGTGCAAAGTCTTCGTCTGTTGAAATTTCTAAACCCACAAAATCAAAACAAAAACAATTTATATTTCTTTCACCAAACCTGTAGCATTTTCCGTCGTGATGTCCCCATTAGGATTGTAAGCTCTGCGGTATTCCTTCACTAAAGTTTCGAATTTTGGCAACAATTCGTGACTGCTCCTGTAGACTGTGACATCGGGAAATCCCAATTTTTGGACCAAATCTTGCAAATTTTCGTCATTGAAGTCATTGAAAGGCGAAATTTCCAATTTATTGGTACTCCACAATAAAACTGCACTTTGGCAAGTGGAAAATGTTAAAATTGCAACGAGCAATATAACCTTCATTTTTGTATCCACTATTTGAAAATCGATACGTGCGCGCGCGATATGTGTAAAGGATGTCACAAATTATTAAAGTTTCTAATTTTTAATAAAAGTTTTGTATTAAAACACTACAATAATCCACTAAAAAACTTTTTACGATAACGTTTGACAGAAAAAGGTGGTGCTGTTACCATGGAAACGCCTATTTGTGGAATTTAAGGCACAATATCAAATGATTATTCCTCATAGAGGGCGCCAATTTATTACAGTTACCTGTATCTTTTCAAATAAGTAATAATGCTAATAGCATAATAAAATGCTAATTATGGAATTAAATTAAATTTTACAAGTAAGTAAGTAACGTTGTTTTTTAAAAAATTACAATGTATAATTGTTAACATTTGATAAACTGATAAACACCACTGCTTATCATTAAAATTTTGCATTTTCGCCTAAAAATAAAGCTCACCAACCACAAGATTACTAAACTCAAACAAATTTATTTATTTAAACATTTCCTACAACCTTGAACAACAAAACAATAGGAGGTTTAGATTTTTATAAGGAAAAGTCGTCCCCAATTTTATTTATTTCCAAGATGGCACCTGTAAGCCCAGTGCAGAAAAAAGTTTTCGATCAACAAGCTGTTGAAAACTTTCGCGAATATTTACGAATACCATCAGTACACCCAAACATAGATTACGGTACCCTAAATTCCGATTCATGGTGAGTGTAGTAACAAAAAAATTACAGAGCCCTGCGTCAAATTCCTTGAAAATCAAGCCCGAAGTTTGGGGCTTCCCATCAAAGTGTACCATGTGGTACCCAAAAAACCCATCGTGATTATATCATGGGTTGGAACTGAACCTTCCTGGCCGTCAATTATGCTGAACAGTCACATGGACGTAGTCCCAGTTTTTGAAGATAAGTGGACTCACAAACCATTTGGGGCCGAAATAGACGAACAAAATCGCATCTATGGCAGAGGTGCCCAAGATATGAAATCTATAGGCATACAATATTTGGAAGCTGTAAGAAGGTTAAAACACCAAGGAGTAACTTTGAAACGGACCCTCCACATTTCTTTTGTCCCAGATGAAGAGACTGGAGGGATTGATGGGCTAAAGAAATTTGTTCACACTAAAGATTTTCAAAAATTAAACATTGGGGTGACTCTAGATGAAAGCGTGGCAAATCCAAATGAGGAATGTATCGTGTTTTATGTCGAGAGGTGCATTTGGCGTAAGTTTTAACCACTTGAAAATTAAAGTGTTAAAAACAATCCTTGCTAGAATTCCAAATTCATTGTACTGGAAATCCGGGCCACGGATCTCTACTTTTGGACAACACAGCCGGAGAAAAAGTTTCATACATTTTGAACAAATTGTTCGAATTTAGAACAGGTGAAATGGAAAAAATGAAAAATAATCCAAACATGATGCTTGGACAAGTGACTACAGTGAATTTGACTCAAATCAAAGTAAAAATATTGATTTGAGTTAAATACAATATTTTTCCATGGTTTTTAGGGGGGCGTTCAGACCAATGTGGTACCTCCAGAATTTATCCTAATTTTTGACTGTCGTGTCACACCATATGCGGATTTTGATCAATTTGAAGCGACTCTTCGTCAATGGTGTAAAGAAGCGGGTCCTGGAGTATCGATAGAATTTGAACTTAAACAATCAAAAATTCCTCCAACAAAATTGGACGATTCCAACCCATATTGGGTTGCTTTTAAGAAAGCGACAGATAAATTGTACTAAACTCTTTTGTAAGAGATGTTAAATTAAAAAATATTTTTAGGGGGCTTAAACTCAAAGTGGAAATATGTCCAGGGGCTACTGACGCYCGATATGTACGAGGTGTTGGACTACCAGGAATAGGTTTCTGTCCAATGAATAATACCACAGTTTTACTTCATGGCAATGATGAGTATTTAAGTGTCGAAACTTTCTTAAAAGGGATAGAAATTTATTCAGAAATTATGACTTCTCTCGGAAATATCGAAAACGAAACCAAATAAAATTTGTGCCTTTTTAGTGTAACAAACAATACAAATAAAATACTTTGCATTTTCCTACGAATTTTCTTCCTTTTCCTTATCCCAAAAATGACAAACAGGAAGTTGTTTGCTAGAATCGCTGATAAACTATCTTATTTTTACCAAAAATTACGAAAACATAAGACCACATAGTGTCACGTGATTATAAGAAGAAAACATAAAGTAGGAAAAACAGAACAGAATCAAAACTTTTTAATCACAATACAAATAGTTCAGTTAGATCAAAATGCCTTCAACTGATCAAAAGAACTCATTGGATACGCAAGCTGTTGAGAATTTTCGCCAATATTTGCAAATACCCTCCGTACACCCAAATGTAAATTATGGTAAGTTATAATTACAGTATTTTGTGATGTAAAAAATCATTCTAACACCAAACACTCCTAGATTCGTGCGTCAAATTTCTCGAGAACCAGGCCAAAAGCCTGGACCTCCCTATCAAAACCTACTTCATGGTCCCCGAAAAGCCCATTGTGGTTCTCACGTGGGTGGGTACCCAACCCAGCTTACCATCAATTTTGCTCAACAGCCACATGGACGTGGTGCCAGTTTTCGAGGATAAATGGACTCACAAACCCTTCAGTGCCCATGTGGACGAACAAAACAACATTTACGCCAGAGGCACTCAAGACATGAAATGTGTGGGAATCCAATATTTGGAAGCTGTAAGAAGGTTAAAACAGCAAGGGGTGACTTTGAAAAGAACGCTACATCTATCGTTCGCTCCTGGTAGGTGTTTGGAAAAGTGGTTCGAAATAATTAAGAATTTTAGATGAGGAAATCGGGGGTGGAGATGGGTGGAAAAAATTCGTTTATAGTAAAGAATTTCAAAATTTGAAAGTTGGAGTGACTCTAGATGAAGGAATTACGTGTGAAARTGACGAGTTTGTTGTATTTTATGCAGAGCGTTGCCCTTGGCGTAAGTTACAAAAAATAAAATTCTTGTCAATGTTAAAAATCACTTTTGAAGAGTTTTACATCCATTGTCCCGGCAAGCCCGGACATGGATCAYTCCTTCTGGRAGACACGGCAGGAGAAAAAGTTTCATACATTTTGAAAAAATTGTACGAATTCAGAACAGGAGAGAAACAAAAATTGGAAAATAACCCAACGTGGACCATTGGTAATGTCACTGCATTGAATTTAACCCAAATCAAAGTACTTAAAATAATTAAATATTATTAATTTTGTTAATTTTGATCCAAATTCTAGGGTGGTGTACAAACAAACGTGGTACCCCCCGAATTCATCATAACAATCGACTGTCGAATCCCTCCAGGTATTAACTTAGAGAAATTCGAAGCAACTCTCAATCAATGGTGTAAGGATGCAGGTTCTGACATTTGGATAGAATTCATAGATAAAGCGTCACATGTAACACCAACTAAACTGGACGATTCGAATCCTTATTGGCTCGCATTTAAAAAAGCAACTGACAAACTGTAAGTGGTCCAAAAATAGACGACCAAATAAAGTTAGGAAAACTTTAGGGGTTTAAAACTGAAACCACAAATTTCTCCAGCTGTTAGTGACACTAGTCACATAAGAAGGGTTGGATTGCCAGGAATAGGTTTCTCACCAATCAATCACACGTCAGTGGCTTTGCACAAACATGATGAGTATTTGCCAATTCAAATTTTCTTGAAAGGCATTGAAATTTACTGCGAAATTTTGAAAAATATTGGAAATGTTGAAGATGCAACGGGAGAAGTAAATCACAAATGAATTATAAAGTGTTAATAGCTGGTTTTTGACTACTTAAATAAAGAATTCAATCAGTACCGTTTTTATTTTTCACCTGAAAATTATTACTCAACGCAGAATCAATGTCTACGTTTCATTACTACTTTTAAAACGACAAAACAGGCGACTGAAAACATAAAGCTGCTCCTATATTTAGAATTCTGGGGTCTATAAAAAAGTTGTTAATTACACAAAAGTGCATTTTATAGCTTATCATAGTGATAATAAGGTTTACGACACGTACCTAAATTAATGTCAACTGTAGTCAAAAACAAATGATAGATAAGTACTCTAAACTCTACTATTTCATATAGAATAGGTACTTATAATGTTATATTAGGAGTAAAAGTGATAGTTTATGTGACGAAGCTGAACGTTTATTTTGGCGAACGTAGTGAGGCAAATAATTCAGCTGAGGTCTGTAAATGTTCACCATTTTTTTTATTAATAATACTTACACCAAATCCCCTTACATTATTAAAAAATGACTAATAAATTACAAACACAGAGGCTTAGAACAATAAAATACGGACAACAATATAAAAAATCTAGTTTAGGGGCTCATAGCCCATAGCCAAAAAAGACTTCAAATAAATTAAAAGAAAATAATCGTAAAAAATAATCCACATTTTATTTTTATCAATTTCACTTTTGATTTTAGAAACTTTTGAAATATGTGGATTTTTTCCAAATACGTTTGTTTTCATAATTTACTATCATTTTAATATTTACTCTACCTACTTGAAGCACAATCTARGAATTTTCCCCAAAATATTCAATATAAAAAATTTGGTGATATTTTGTAAACAACATACCTAAAAAACGCCCGTGTGAWATTCAGTAAATTTCCATGCGCATTTCACCGATTTTCCACCTTTTTCCATAATTTCACACTGTTTGAAACTTTCAATTTATAGAGAAATGTCAATTGTCAAATTGCAGTAACCGCATTGGCCGTTACTACCACGCAAACGTCTGACAGTCAGCTGTTAATTTTTTTAAAAACGAGGCGGGAAACACTAATTTAAATCATGTAGTGCGAAAAATAAACCGTAATTATTGTTTACGCAAAATGTTATCATTCTGACATGATCACCTGTCTATCCAAATGGCGATTTTATCACCAAAGCCGCAAAAACTTCCAGTAAACAACCTCAATTGTACACCGCATTTTATCATCTCCCAGATTAATAAAACCAAACAAATTATGTCTGATTAAACATTTCCAGCAGCCTTGGTTTTAAAAAGGCACCGAGTCGGTTTGGGTTTATTTAAAGACGACGTCGCGACGATTTCACTTTAGAATTTTAGTCGTAAGATGTCTTCATTGTCAGCTGTTCAGAAAGACGCGTTGGACACACAAGCTGTCAACAATTTTCGTGAATATTTGCGAATACCCTCTGTGCATCCGGATATTAATTACGGTAAGTGATTATTTAAGGTTTGGGTTTTGTGGGTGCATGTTTTCATCAAAATCCTCTCAATGGACGTTTGGAGAAAAATCCACGGATTTTAACAGGTCATAGTATGATGGAAAGCTACATGGCTTGGCTTCGGTTTTTGGGTGTGGAATGTCGAAGTGTTTCGTATTTTAATGTTTTTTGGCTAGTTTATTGTTTTCAAAGTGATTATCAAACACGCCCGAAGGAAAAAAACAAGCAGGGTCTTGTTTTAATTTATTTTTATCACTTAATGCACAAAGAGGAATATTGGTTGTTAAAATATATTTTGATTTTGCATTGACATCATATTACTGATAAGAACACGAATTGTAAATTTTGGGTTTACTATTTTTAGTTATACCTACGGGGTAATGTGTAGTTAAGTACTTAAAATTATCAATAATTTTAGGTTTAAAAATAATATTTATCATTATGGGCAGTACTTTATTTTTTGGTGTTTTCCCTTTATATACTAGGTACTTATTTCACTTCTGTGTTATTACATTCAAAGCAAATGTTTTGTTTTTATTTAAAACTGAAAATGAATTAATTATTCATTTCATAATTGGCCTTGATTCTAACATGTTGTATTACACACCCTGTACCTACTCTGTAAATAAAGTTTTCTTTATTTAACGGAAATATCAAACAGTTGACACCAGTAGCAAATTCATTCAAGGTAATTTTAAAGGAAGTTGGAAGTTCGGGTTTTTGAATTAATTTGACAAACATGAGAAAAGTATCGTTGTAAGAAAATTTGGAGACGAAAACACAAAAATGGGCATGAATTCGGTACCGCTAACAGTTAAAACACCGTTAAAATTTACACTCAATGTGTAATGCAGATTTGCAAATTTTTCACAAGAAATTCACGAAAACACAAAATAAACAAGACTGAGATTAACGTACATTAAATTAGTTTTTAGGAACAAGTTGGAAAAGTAACAATTTTGAGACTAATGTCGAAGAACAATTTCTTCGACCTATTGCAATAAATTATGTACACAAAATTTATAGCCAGTCTTCAGTGTTTTTTCTGTATACAGGATGATTCTTAAATAAACCGCCAAAACTTTATTACAGCTTCTCAAGGATAAATGAAAACAAATTGTACCCTTTTTACGTTTATATCTTTTAGGGACAAAACCCCCTTGATACGTGCCACTTACGGCGTTTATGAATTGTTGCAATGATCAAGTACATTTTGATCAAATTAATACCATGGTTTCCACTACCTGTTCTAATAGTATTTACGAACACATCAGTGGCGTACGCTTTACCTTAAAAATAACTTTCATAAATTTTATTTGGAGAACGGTTAAACAAAGAATTTTTTCAATATTTTTTCCAGCATGTTCTTATTTGATACTACCAAGGATAAAATTTTRTCGGTCTGTTTAAGAATCASCCTGTATAGACACCCTTTTTGTAGTTTTTGTAGCAAAAAGCTYATTTTTGAACACAACATTGTACTTACCTACTTGCAGGGTGTTTCWATTAATATTATTAGCTCTGAATTATATCAAAAAATAGGGTGTTCATTTAAACTTTTTAAGTTATTATTTAACTTTTAACAAACTTCTACATTTTTTTTTTAAATACTTTAACAATACATACAGGCTTCGCCAGAACTTGCGCCCCAGAGAAAAACGTAAGGTTAGATACAGTTGGTTGCAATAAAAACGGAAAATAGAATTTTCTTTAGATTGAAACAGGTTTTGCCCTTGTCAATTTAGTTGTCAATTTGACATCTGTCGCATTCAAATAATTTTTTCTGCAATGCTGCACTTAAATGCCGAGAGCATTAAATGCAAATCAAGATAATCAATTAGTTGAAAACCCAATGAGTAGTGATGAGTACTACAGATTAACTGTCAGTTGTAACTTGAATTAAGTCGTGTTCAAACTATGGATAAATATAAAAATCTGACATTTTTCTGCTTTGACATTTTCCGATTTTTTTGCAAGCAAGTGTACCAGGAACATGGAAAAAAATGTTAAAAAAGAATTAAGATCTATAAAAATTTCGAAGTTAGGAGACAGAGTTTAAATTTTGCACTTTCACTCATCATCATCATCATCAGTACCATTAAATAGATATAAAAACATGTCAAATGTCAAAAAATAAATGTTAAATTTTTTTGACAGTTAGAATTTTTTAAACATTTTTTCCATGTTCCTGGCATCTTACTTGTACTTGTACTTGTATACTTGTATCTTACTTGAAATTTTTCACTGGGGCCCGAATTCTGACACACCTGCATTAAATAACTGTCATACCCTTCTTTCTAGTTGTAGAATTTTTTTTTTTTGCTTATTATTTCAAAAACTAAGCAAAATCGACCAATAAAAGTTTAAAAACATTGTAATAAAAAGTTACATCCAGAAATGACAAGAAACAAACGGTTTTTTATTAAAAGAAAAAAACAAGTTTGTATTGTAACTTTTTTTTGGAACACGCTGTATCTTTAAAATAATTTTAGGCGATCCACTAGATTAGTATCCTCAATTTCTTATGTGTTTTTTTTAATTTAACATATTAAAAGGTCAGTAATGGACTTTACCAACTCGCTAGCACAGTCTGCATAAAATTACATTTCTGCCATTATTACAAATAATTCCTTTAACTGTGCATAATTAAAAGGATTATTTGATACAATATACACTCTGTTTCTCATTGAAATTAAATTAAATATTAGATTTAGACTTAAACGGAAATAAGCAATTATCTTTCACACTTGAATTTTTCAAGAGCCCCCAATCAAACAATAAACAAAAGGGGTCAGTCACTTCCCAATTAATTTTAATTAGAATTATTTCCTTTCAGATGCCTGCGTCAAATTCCTTGAAAACCAAGCCAAAAGCTTGGGCCTTCCTGTCAAAATCTACCACGTAGTTCCCAAGAAACCCATCGTGGTGCTAACATGGGCTGGGACCCAACCCAACTTACCGTCGATCCTCCTCAACAGTCACATGGACGTGGTCCCCGTTTTCGAAGACAAGTGGACCCATAAACCCTTCAGTGCCGACATAGACGAGCAAAATAACATCTACGCAAGGGGCACMCAGGACATGAAATGTGTGGGAATCCAATATCTTGAAGCTGTGAGAAGGCTAAAACAGCAAGGGGTGACTCTGAAAAGAACACTCCATATTTCTTTCGTCCCTGGTGAGTTTCTGCTAAATTTGGTGGGTCTTTAACATGTGGGTCTTTAGATGAGGAAACTGGGGGTGTTGATGGGATGAGGAAATTTGTTCATACGAAAGAATTCAAGGATTTGAATGTTGGGTTTGCTTTAGACGAAGGGATGGCGAGTCCCAATGAAGAGTTTGCAGTGTTTAACGGGGAGAGGTGCATTTGGCGTAAGTTTCACATACGTGGAATATAATACAGGGTTTTTAACAAAATTGTAGATTTACACATTCATTGTCCTGGACAACCGGGTCATGGCTCCTTACTATTGGATAACACAGCGGGAGAAAAAGTTACCTATCTTTTAAACAAATTTTACGAGTTTAGAAAACAGGAAAAGAAGAAATTGAAGGACAATCCCAGTTGGACCATAGGTGACGTCACGACAGTCAATTTAACTCAAATGAAAGTGAGTAAACAATAATTTTTGAGTTAGAAAACTTAATCTTATTTGAATTTGACGCTCTCAGATGTAAATTCAGGTAAAATTTTGGTTCTAATTATTGTGAATAATTTTCAAAGTGTTGCAACAAGAAAAAAATGTATATTGTAGGGTGGTATACAAACTAATGTAGTGCCCCCTGAGTTCATCATCGCGATTGACTGCCGTATTCCCCCCGAAACCGTTGATATAAAAAAATGGGAGGAAACCATCAACCAATGGTGCAAAGAAGCCGGTCCTGGAATCTGGATTGAGTATGAGCAAAAACAGGCCCAAATTACTCCAACTAAACTAGATTCTACGAATCCGTTTTGGATTGCTTTTAAAGAGGGAACAGACAAATTGTAAGCCGTACTAGGGTGGCTAAATGGAAGAATTTACTTTTTTTTATAGAGGCCTAAAGCTGAAAACTCAAATATTTCCAGGAGGTACCGATAGTCGCTATGTGAGAGGTATTGGAATACCAGCGGTTGGCTTTTCTCCCATTAATAACACCCCAGTGTTATTACATGACCATGATGAGTATTTAGGAGTCAGCACTTTCCTAAAAGGTATAGAAATCTATTGCAAAATATTGATTTCTGTTGCAAATGTTGAGGACCGATCAGGGTAAAAGTTGGGTTTTTGATGTTATTGAGTTGAGAGTTTAATAAAATATCTACTGGTGCAATAAATACATGATTTTTTCAACTACACCTTCCATACTAGTGCATGATTTGTGTAAAAATTGGGTCAGTTTGCTAATTTTGTGCCTGAATTGATTAAAATTTGCGGATATATATGTGGGGAAGGGTAAATGTTGATGTGCGAGATTATAAAAATTCCTCATTCTTGTAATGTTTGATTTATTAATTTTAACGTGACTTCCCCTGCGACTTGGACTCGTCCGCTTGTAATCGATTTTCTCATGCCGGTATCTAATTACGTTTATTAGATAATTTCAAAAATTGAAAAATTTAATTTAGGTGAATCAAATCAAAATTTTGCTAATTTTATGTCGTCCTCGGCAAAATTACGCAGTATTTAATTTTGCTGGAATTTTTTGAAATTCCCAGGCTGCCATGACAGTCCCTTTAAACAGCATTCCCGGCAAAATGCTGAATTAGTCCGATGAAAAACCACGCGAAATCTCGTTAATTACAGTTCAAACCCCCATGAGACGCATATCAAAATAATCTACGAAAAACGGGCGAAAATTTGGTGTGCGCCATTTCCCGCTTTTCTTTCCCCCTAGTGAAAAAACTTAGGTTAAATTAAATGTCAAGACCCCAATAGCACGCGTATCGTTATTCGATTGTAAAGTCGGCGTTCCGGCGATTCTCTGCGACCAATCAGAATCGCGCGGGAAACACTCGTGACTTGCGCCGGCCAATCCTAAGCGCGCGATTTGAATTCCCTCTTCGTTCTTTGTGGATGACGACAAGTTTTGTATACATTCGTTGGGTGTAAAGTGCTGTCAGTGTAAAATATCTTTTTATCCATGATTTAAACAAAAATACAACCAGACACAACGAACTGCCGTCAAATAACGCATCAGTAAGTATTTTTCACATTTTACATGTATTTTTTCGGTGGTTTTCTGTTACAAAATGTGATTAAAGACGATTTTTCGTACGGTAGGCGCGTAATGGACTCGTCCAACGTTCGGATCCCGCTCTTTTGTGTAAACGTGTGTTATCTAATACAAAACAATAATAATTAATTCATTGTTGATAATTGACAATACGACTAGTAATTTGACAATAAACCACCACACCTGTAGAAAAAGTACCCGATTTGGCGGGTAAACACGGCAGAGGGTACACCCACACGTTCTAGAATTATCGACGGGAATTTCACATGAATTCCTGATATCTCACGATTAAATTCCGGGAGAATTGGCGAAAATAAACCACTTTGCTGTATTAAAATTATATCATTTATTTTTATATCAACAAGGCGGGAAGACGATCTTAACACTTCAAGGTCGAGGAAGGTAGTTTTGATAGCCTAAAGGAGAAAGCAATGTACTGAGTGAATAAAAGAAACTATTATTTTATTTTTAACTTATTCTTTATCGCTTTTTCTAGGTTTTTAAAATTTTATTAACGCCTGGGGATGAGATTTTTACCTAAGGGAGAACAGGTGATTTATGACAGGTCGTTTCTCTTTATTGAAAGCAACTTTACCTGTATTTTTTCAATTATTTAAGTCACCCCATTGTAAGGAATAACCGTATGGGGTAATAAGGTAAAGAAAAGAATTTGTAACTTGTCTGGGGTGAGACAGACATTTATTAAAAACCGGTATTTTCAAACACAAATCATCATTTACGTTTTGAAAAAGAACCTATAAGTTTTTAATAAAAAAGTGGGAATTGTTTTCGATTCTTTTAATAGAAATTTCTACAAAATAATTATTAGTAAAATTCAGGAGTGATTAGGCGATTCTCACCCTCCTCTTTTTCTCCCCTCTTGAATGATGGCCATCTGTCTGAATTAAGTACAGTTTTGCCAATAAAAACGATGATATTCTATTTTGAATTTAATGACTAATCTTCCCCTTTTTCGTATTGATTTTTTCGCTTGATTTTATTTAATTTTTCTCTTCCACGTTCCAAGTCATCAAATATTGACGCAAGAGATTGTCTGACTTGTACCTATATTTTTGTACATTATTTATTTTATCTGAAATCCGATTACGACGTAACAGTTTTAATTCTTTTTCCAATTATTTATTGCTTGTTAAAGTAATTAATTGCGTACTTACCATCTTACCAACATAAACTAATAAAAATTATGCCGCATACGATTCCTTCTCTTTGTATTGCAATACTCCTGTAAAAAATTTATTATTTTAAAATTCTTAATTTTTTTGAATGATTTATTCTTTTTGAATTATTTGAAATGAAAGCCATTTGAGAGGGTATTTATAATCGAATTTCTTGAGAGGAATAATTAAAAATTTTTAGTAATTAATTGGTATTTAATTATGAATCAGAACGAAACTTCGTTATAATAGAATTTTAATTGAATAATTGATTTTTTTTACAAACCTGAGCGACAAATTGGGTATAAATTTGTATATCTCAAAATTTGTGTTACAGGAACAATAAGCCCAAAAAAATCTGGTTTTAAAAATAGCGCAAGAAGGAGTTTTATATTTCTTTGTTGGTAGCCTCTAAAAAATAGTTTTCGTAATGTCCGAATTTTTTTAAAAACGTAACAATTAATTTAACGATTCTTCGGACTGATACCAATTGCTTAAATAATTTTTTATCTCATAGGTCATTCAGTTTAGTTTAAATCTTTGACAACAAACGTAATTTTGGAAATGTACGTAACGAATTTTTCTTATCAACATGCAAAAATGTTGCAGTTTTTTTATTTATTTCTGCAGCAAAGTGGTTTATCGAAATTTGCACAACAAATAAATCTTCGACCTCGAAGCCGTGTTATTGAGTGTAGAAACTTAAAAATCGTCACGAAACCTAATTAAGAAGGGCTTTTTGTGCTTGCAGAAGCTAATCGTCATGTCTGCCGTCATGGACATGTATTTGAGCGCATCCGATTCAATGTCATTTCAAGACTTTTTGGACATCGACATTAAATCCGAAATAGAATCGTTGGTCGGCGGTCATAACGACTTTTCCGGCTTGAATTTCTCAGAATTGCCTCCATTAGAATTGGAAGACGTTTCTGATATAAAATGGTTTTCGTCAAACTCGAACCATTCAAATTCCAGCTTAAATTTAGATTTTAACGGCGAAGAACGGACTACAATGGTCAATCCGAACGCCGTAATGCCTGCTATTTCCTTAGCCCAAAATATACGTTCGCCATCACCTACGTTAAAAGAAAGTCATTTAACATTCTCTCCATCCACTATTAAAATAACAACAATGAAACAAGAAGCAAATCAAGTGAAAAAAGATCTATTAAAACGATTGAGTGACGAAGACAGGGAAGATAAACCCCCTGTATTGAAAACAATAAGTAAAGTCACTCCAATCATTTCGAGACCTCCAGCTAGGACTATAACAAAGCCGACTTTGTTAACTTTTAGAAATACAATTAATAAACAAGTTAATTCTTCAATTACGGTAGCTCAAGTTAGTCACGTAACTACGGTTAAAACTGTAACTTCCACTAATCGAAAACTAAACAATAACCGATTCAGTGAAGATGGCGAGAGGATTTACCCAAAGCCGGCGTACAGTTACAGCTGTCTGATCGCAATGGCGTTGAAAAATAGCAGATCGGGTAGTTTACCCGTCTCAGAAATTTACAATTTCATGTGCAAACATTTTCCTTACTTTATAACGGCACCTAACGGCTGGAAAAATTCAGTCCGACATAATCTGTCGTTGAATAAATGTTTCGAAAAAATAGAAAAGCCTGCAATTAATGGAGCTCAAAGGAAAGGCTGTCTGTGGGCCATGAACCCCGCTAAGATCAGTAAAATGGACGAAGAAGTCCAGAAATGGTCCAGGAAGGATCCTTCAGCTATAAGGAAGGCTATGATCAATCCTGAAAATTTGGAACCATTGGAAAGGGGCGAGTTGAAGTTTTCGTGCAGTTACGATGAAGGAGATACATTCGGGGATTCCTGTGGGAGTGCAGAGAGTGAAGAAGGATCGGATTATGAAGAAGGACCGAAGAGGGATTTCGAGTTTGTGATCAAGGCGGAGAATGAGGATGGGAGCGATTTCGATATTGAAGTTAGTAGTGATCTTGATGTTGAGGTGTGTATTACTCACCTTCGTTTTGATTTTTTTTATTAAATTTTTTGTTTGGTTTAGGCCTCCGATGAGGTGTACGAAGACATAGAAGAGGATCAAGAGATGTTGCGAGTGGAAATGGCGCTCGCTCAGAAGGAACTAATGGAGTACGAAAAGCCCGTCAATAGTAAGAGGCGGAGGACGTACATAGTTCAGAATTAAGTTGGTATTTGTATAAACAAATTATGTCGGTGTCCATCTGGTCACACATCTCCATAAGTTAAAGTGAAGCTGTGTAAGATTGGTGATAATTGTAAATAATTGTAACTTTCCTGCCCGTGTATTTCTTAAGATTAGTTGATTCATTGTTTTATACTTGAAGACTGCCCTTTAGATTTTTTTCATTAAAATCAACTAGTTTTATGTTTTATGAAACAATGAATTGAAAGAAGGATTTTTGTTATATTTTCTTTGTACGCCTTGTGCTATTTCCATTGTCAGTCACACTGGCAACGTCGCAACTGCGATTTTGAGCTGAAATAGGTTACAACCGGACCCTTTAGAGGCAAAAGTCCACTATTTCATACAGCAGTGAGAGAATGGCGATGGAAACCGCACGAAGTGTATTTTGTAAAATTTCGTCATTTTGCCAAGACAGTATTTGGAAGTAGATGTGGACTGATGGCAAGAGCAAAATTAATCGATCCAAATGTGAATGCCTGACATTCACATTTGGACCGTTTTTGTGTTTGTTTACATACGTGCCTTTGCTCCAAACTCAATTTTTAGGTCTGTATTTCCTCTTGGTGGGACCAGTTCACAGATTTTTTATTTTGCTCTTATTTTATTCGCCACTTTTTAATCTCACTTAATGTATCATGTGATAGTTTTCTCATCCAATTTGTGCTAATTTCTTTGGCGTATTATGTTTTTTTCAGATAGTATTAAAAAAACACGTTTTTCAATGCAGTCTGGACAATTGAAATTTACTAATCATCTGTAGTCTCGATCGTCAATGTAGGTAGGATTTTTTTAATTTTTTAAGAGCAAAAGAGAACAGACTTTATTTTATTAAAAAATTCCTAGCTTTGAGTTGAAGCTTTTGTCAAAAATTTTGTACTATATAATTGATTTTGTATTTTTTTTATTTTAACTTTAAGTAATTTGTTATAAGATGATGTACAAATTTTGTTAGTTTTAATAAATCCTTGTAAAAATAAAATCGTCACTTTTTAATAATAATTGTTTTGATTTCCTACCATTAGTGAAACAACAAACGGTTTGAAGCTATTCAGCTTATTTTTACAAGAGATTAAGTCATAATTCATAGAGTAGTAACTTGTAGGTCCCTAATTTCCAAATAAAAATTAATTTGTATAAATTCTTTTATTCAACAATATAAAAAATACAAAAATATGGCAGCTATAATATACATGACTAAAAATACTTACAATGCAACGTCCCCATTGCATAAGCTTTGCCGACTTTTCGGTGCTTTTCTCAAACTTCCTAAAATATTCAAAAGTTCGGACACGGCTTTACTACCCTCACGTTCTTTTTTGTTATCATTTTTGACTTTTTTTAAGGTAAATTTCCCCGATTTTATCGTATTAATAATGTCTTCGTTAACCCCAGTTGTGACTTTTTTGCAATCAGGGACTGCCGGTTCTTTGACCCCAATCACATCCGCGAGTTCGGCAATATTGGCCCTTGACCTCCGCTTCACCCTTAACGGGACCGTTGGAGGTTCGCTGAAAAGAGCCGGGGGTGGTGGCGGCGGCGGCGCTGGGGGCCTTTTGAGCGCTTCTTCGGCCTTTTCCGCCCTTTCTAGGGCTTCCTGCAGTTCGGATTCCGCGAGTTGCAGCCGCTCTTCAAGCACTTCAACTTGCGAATTCTTCTCAGCCATTTCTAATTTCTCTTGTAATGAATTTAACTCCTCTTCGTAGCGGTTCCTCTCCTCCTCGAGAGTCCGTTTCAACTGCTCCACATCTTGGAGCAAAACCATGAAATTGTCCTGATTTTCACTACCGAGCCCTTCAAGCAGGAGTGTACTTTGGTGTGCCAAAACGTTTCGTTCTTTTTTATAATCATCAGCTTCTCTTCTGTGAAAAAATCACTTTCAAATGCACGACTTTCCCCAATAACCTTGATAGACTTACCTTAAAATCACAACACTATTTCTCTGCTTCTCTTCCACCTCTTTCAAGTGAGTCAGTTCGTTTTTCATCATTTCCGAAACTCGAATTATTTGCTCGTACTGTTTTTTCAGCTCATGGAAATCGTGCTCGAGTTTCTTATTTTTTTCTTTCTCAAATTCTAATTCTTCGGACAATTTTACATTTTGTTCGGACGTTGTGAACTCAATGTGTTTTAAAGTATCGACTTCGGTTTGCAATTCCGCAACTTCGGAACTCAATTGTTTGATAGTTTTATTCAAATTTTCGATATCTGAATCTCCGGTGGATTCACCAGCATCCACACCTTCATCAACAGTGTCTGTATCCAACAGATGCATTGTCTGTCTTTTCAACTTTTTATTTTCCTTGTACCAATGTGACGCATCTTGAAGTGCACTGAAATTTTTAATAAACCACAAAAAACACAAAAATTATTAACAAGAAACCTCGACATCGCTGTTGTTTCAGTTTCATATCGATTTTTCAGCTTTTCGTACTCCGTGTAGACTTTTTTCGAAACTTCCGATAATTTTGTGTAGTGTTCGTTTTTTTCAAACAGTTCGGTTTCCAACTGTTCATTTTTCAGTTGAAGGTCCAGATTTTTTCTTTGCAACTCATTGTACTGTCTTGCAACTGCAAACAAAAATATACCTTATTGATTATTTTTCAGGAAAATTAAATTGAAGTAAACGAGAAAAAATTACTCGTAGTGTCGATACTTGACTATTTTTCAGTTGTGTTAAGTTTGTTAATTATTATTCTTCCGGAATTTTTATAGTGCCATTCGTCTCGCTAATTAATTTCGTGCGGAAATTGTTCAAGTGTTTTACCGTTTTATTTAACTAAGTTAAGCCGAAGCAAACGACCTGAGAATTCGCTTCAAACCCGTTTAAAATCAATATTGCATTTGAATAGTGCCGAATTCAAATCATTACGGTACTCTGGCAATTTCCATCGCCAGGTGCGCTTTCAATTGATTCCTTATATGGATTAGTAGGATTGTGTCAAGGTATGCGCTTACTTTTTTCCTTCTCGCTGAGGATACTTTTACGTTTTTGCTCCGTCTCTTCGTATTTCAATTTCCATTTTTGARCCTCCGGATTATTCACCGGAATTCGGGAAGGCGACGGCGGCGGTGTCGTCGAATTCGACCGATTCATGGAGGTYCTCCGCAACGGAATGTTTGAATTACCATTAGTCAGCTTATTTGAACATCGATTGCCGTTTGTTATATTCATATTGTAACGGTTTTTCTGAAAGAAATAAAAATATAAATATTGATACGACCGCAAAAATTTTGATCATTTGCATACATATGCGACCCATGGATGCCCGGGCTTTWATTACACGTCATGGTAATAAATTTGACTCTGAAATATCAGATTACATGTAAAAATGTGAGTACGACGAAGAGTTTGCTTAACACGTGTCAGGATAGGATGAAGGGTTATTTTTAACACCTCTGTTAGACAAGGATGCATTAATACCACATTGCTTTAGAGAAACAAAGAAAGGAAATAACAGATTTTGATACGTCAATTACAGCAATAWTATTGCACAAATCGATAAAATAATTGTTTTGCCGGTTCGCGATTCATAAATATTAATCACCGAGGAATAATAAACAAAGACATTGAKTGGGTGTGTATTTAGAGAGCTCTTCTATTCTGTTTGGGTCTATAAATCACGATATTTTTAGGCTAATGAAAGTGAATTTGAGCCTGAATTTCCCATCGCTGTTTCAGAGATTATAAAAAAAATTTGATAAGATAATACGCGGAAAAATGCCTTTCTCATTTCAAACAAAGCAAGTGATTATCGCAATTAAATTAATAATGCATAATACGCAAATCAAGGCCTCACTCAAAAATTTGGTTCCTGGATTGGCGATGGAAACATTTGTCGACTTACCCCAAAATCGCTTCGAACAGATCGGATCTTGCACTTGACATGTATTTGTTGTAAACAAAAGGCAAAAAGGTGTATGGTGAAAGTAGCAATACCGTGTCCTTTTACCGGCTTGAACGTATTATAATAGCCTCGAGCTTTGCTACACCGTTCACAGTTACAATCTGACAACAGAATAAAATCTAAAGTGCTAAAGATATCTTTTCCGTTTTGTATGGAAGTATGCTATATTAGAGGAGGGAGTGACTCATAATATATCAAAAGTTAAGTTAATACGCATGTCTTGCTTATTTTTTAAGTATACATAAGGCGTACGTGCGCTTGAGATTTTTTTTTGAATCGGCTCTTAAATTCATTGTGATGAATATTTGGTAATTGTACTTACATAAAAAAGAGACAAGTTTGATGTTTTACTTTTTGTGTAATTTAGCACAGGCGTGGGCTACGATTATCGTAATTGTGTGGGATGGTATAAACGCTTGAATTATGATAAATTAATTTGAATGACATAACTTGGACAAATTTGGGTGATTAAGTTTTTATCATTGACAAAGTAAATATTTACAGGCCCTTATCTGTGAAGAATAAATATTTGTATTAGGTTTTTAGGAAATTTATTCCACAAAATGAAATTTTTATAAGATATAAATTAGCATAAACATGTGAACAATATAATTAATAAACTGTAACCAGTGAGTGAGTCTGGGACTGAAGACGGGTCTTATTTTTTGAGGCGTGGTTCACCTCACTCATAATTTGGTCGGTGGTTTATGCAACCAACAAAGCTCAGTTTTGTGTAGCTTTCTGCATAATCGTCAAGATTATGACGTCATTATACATACCTGGTTGACCCATTTGAAAAAACATTTTTTTTTATTTTCAGCCCAAAATTTCAAGTGATAAATTTTGAATCCCGATTTTATTATACAGACTGGACAAAAGCACAGACCCTAGGGTTTGTTGATAAAACTATTTCTACATTGCAGAAAAAAATATTTACAGTCACAAATAAAGTGCTATAAAACATGAGCTTGTTATTGAAGAATAAAAATTTTTGAAAATTTTGGAGTTCAACAATGTTTTAAGAACAATCTATAAATTTTTTGACAAAATCTGTATTCTTCATTATCATTAAGTATATATAAACTTAATCTTTGTCGAAAAAAAAAATAATTTCTAAGTATATAAATGTTGCACAACCAAAGGACAATAACATCCATAAATTTTATTCTTGAAAAATGATCAAGATTTTTATATTATATCAATTATGCAGATTTCTAAGAAAGGCAAAAAATGCTTCATGGTTCCGTATTTTTGTATTTTGTACATTCTGCATTTATATAAAAAAATTGGAAAAGTCAAACGTTTGAATATCTACCTAAGAAATTGCAGATATAACAATTTAGAACTTTACAATCAAAATTTTGAGTCCATGATTTATTTTTAAAATGATAACCTTTACAGAATCGAATTCCTGCTCAAATAGTGAAAATGCCAGTGTTGTAAATCTTCATCTGAGTTAAAAGATCAGAATTTGATTTTATAACGAATTTTGAGTCTTTATCAAAATTCTGAGAACTTGAACCTAGATATTTTGTTGGAATACTAGATTAATGGAAAAATCAGAAATAGAATTATATTCCCAACAGATCCGTACCAGGTTCCGTTTTCCACTGTTAGAATTTTTTAATGAGAATTTTGTAACAAAAAAGTTTGAATATTGTTCAGAAGAAGCCTATTTAGAAATTGCAGCTCAAAAGGCAATCTTTTTTCTCCATAAGCACATTTATACAGGGTGATGTATCAAATTTCTAAAGACAATCAAGAAAGAAGAAAATAAAAACATGAAAATATTGACATTGTTCTCAAAAAATTGTAACAAAAAAGTTTGAATATTGTTCAGAAGAAGCCTATTTAGAAATTGCAGCTCAAAAGGCAATCTTTTTTCTCCATAAGCACATTTATATAGGGTGATGTATCAAATTTCTAAAGACAATCAAGAAAGAAGAAAATAAAAACATGAAAATATTGACATTGTTCTCATACAACAAAAATTACCAATTTTCAGCCCGAAATTACTTACTTACTACTGATAATGTGAAAAAAAATTGAAGTAACATCTTTTTATTTACAGTGATTGAAGCATTAATGTCGCAATAAATTACGTATAGACAGCCCATTACCCACATAAGTAATACTTGAACAATATAATTTCAGCAGACATATTATTTAAATTGTGTCAATTTAACCGCGCAACATTTTTATTTCATAAGACTCGCTATCTCGGTACCCGCTTCTAGCAAGTATTCGGCTTTGTTTCGTAACAAAAAACCCTATCTTCGAATTGTCCCTCATTATTTTTCGAAACACAGGAATAACTTTCAGTTACACAAAAATCTCGATGGTACACCTGCAAGTTGCGTGTCAGAATGCACGCATGGAAATTAGTTTTAATCTCCAGAAAATCAACTTCCGCGTTTATTTTTATGCAGAAATACGCAAACATCTATTATGTTTTAAACTCTCAATTGCACTTAGTGTTTATACAATGGTCAAATTAGATGCGCATGAGTGCGTAATACGAATTGACTTGGATATAATTAAGTGGGAAATTGTATGAGAACTTGTCCCAAATTTGAAATTTCGTAAAAATCTTCTCGTACATGAAAAATTATGTTCTTTTGTGCGACTCGCCTTGGGAAGACCTCGCATTTTACGTTGTAGATACCTTATCACTGAAGCAATGTAGAAACATAACTTTCGACCTCAGAAAAAGTGGTGTCTTCTTTTCTTACGTCACTAGTTGCAAAAACTGTTTCCAAATCGATGTAATGACAGGGGAGTAAGTGAAGAGGAAAGCTGTCCGCATTGTTACTTACAAATTGAAAAATAAAACTTTTGTTAATTACTTGGATGGCATTGAATTATCTGCAAAAATGTAATAAACTGCAGTTGCATATAGGGCATGACAATATAGTCCAAGGTTAATTACGTAATAGTCATACATATGAATGTGTAGGGAATCACTTTTGATAGTACCCCGGCAGGTATTAGGTAGTAGGTACTCAACGATAAACGATGGTCAATTTGCATTCGACAGTTTCGGGTGATCGTTCATGTAATTACGTGCGGTTTACTTGCACCTCTTGTACTTTATTTACCTATGTGTAAAGTTCAGTTTTTGTTATGACGTTACGGATTATTTGGTTTTTTATTTTAATTGATGTGATTATCGGTGAGTTTCAAGGTACGTTTTCTTATGGTTCAAATGCACCTGGTGGTGAATATTAAAGAGTGGAAAATTAAAGGATTAATTATTGTACTTAATTAAATAATTAGATATTGGTTTTAATCATTTATAATGCATTTTCATTAGGTACGTGTCCTGTTTTTTCAAAGCAGAAAATAGTTTATTTTCTCTAACGAGCGTTTTGATAGTTTTAAATAATATAAAAACCTTCATTTAATTTACTTTGTAGTTTACCTTAATTTTGTTTTTAAAGCTTCCAAAGTCAATTTTATTTTTTTTATTAGGCTGTAAGATTCTTACTTTTCAGATTCAGTAGATGGCTTCTTAATAACGCCACTTTATAAAATGAGTTCACATAATTTGGTTACTCAAAATTATACAGTGTTAGTCATTTTTTTTTTAATTGCAAAGGAATAAACAAAGTAGAAATATCAAGTAATAATAGAGTGAAAATTTTGTTTTCTTATTTTTAGTCTTTTCTGCTTTGTTCATTGTACATATGAGCACATATTTGACAGTCGTCAAAACATTTATTTAATAATAACAAGCAAAATTAACGTTTTCAAATTTAATAAATACTTAAAAAAGGATTGATTCTGTTCTCTTTAAAAAAATGACAAAAGTGTCTTGTAGTTGTAAAAAATGAATTTTCTATTATTTTGTTAAGACCTATTTCACCTATCTACAGAAAATCAATCTGATAATAATGGAATGACCTTTTTGTCTGTTGTAAAATTTTTCGATAATGATACATCCAGTGGCGCATCGAACAAAATCAGGCAAAATTATTTTCTAGTGGTAATAAAACTAAACTAATCATTCAAATTTTGTATACAATTATTTTCGATGTTGTCATAACTTCAGAAGATTCAAAAATTTTGACTTTTTTTATTTTGTAAATTGCGAAAAAACTATACCTCAAACGTTATATTTGTATGTAAAATGTGCATATAAAATGTGTATGTAAAATGTATGGAGAAATCTATTGGCGTCGAGAAAACTGGAAAATACTTAATCGTTTAGAAGTTATAGTCGAATTAATATTTTGAATGTTTTTGACATTATCAGCAATTTTCTCTATTAAATTTGCTTTCCAACGCTACCAAACAAAAACGACCAGCGTCAATAATTCCAAAGTTATTAGCCGCTCCGGGTACCGAAAATCACTCAAAATTTAGACAGAAATCGAGAAAATTAAAAACTTCAAAATTGTACCTTTTGCTCTCTTGGGGGTTCAAGAGACTTAAAAAAGTACCTAGATAAACTTTGTAAAAATGTAAGAAAAAAATTTTTGAGAAATTTTGTGTAAGTCTGTATGAATATATTGAATTAAAACAATGAAACTATTGGCGGCGTGGTGGTGTAGCGGCAAAGGTCCCGCTTTTCGACAGGTAGGTCCGAGGTTCAACCCCGCTCAAGTCCGCAATTTTTCATTAATTCAAATTCTAATTCAAATTAGCAATAAAATATGGCGAATTTTTTTACATAGGTAAACCGCCCCTAAACTCTATCTCTGGATGCGCCACTGGATGTCATCAGTTTTACGTATCGATTTATGTTAATTTTACAGTTTCCTTGAAGATGAGTAACTGTAACACCTCAACTTACAATGTAATTTCAGTTATTTTAATGTTAAATCCTTCGATAGTTAAGAAAAAATGTCACGATTTCCATTTTTAAAAGAAGAATAGATAATTACGATTACATAGAATGAAAACAAAGTAGTAAAAATAAAAAAATTGCACTTTTGTGGCAACAAATAAGGAATTCATTATTATTAAATCTGAAATTTATTATTAAAAAATATAAAGATTTATACTATACCTTCAAATAAATCACCATGTTTCAAAAAATGGTTAAAAATTATTTTGAATTTCGGAAAATCCAGTGTAATCAATAACTAATCAAATTTTCAAATGAGTAAACAACAGTTTGTTTTTATGAAATGAAAAATATTAAGTATCAGTAAAATTGAACGTCATATAAATGGTGAATAATACTTTTAACTCGCTTATCAGCAACATAAATACGGTCATACTATTTATTGTCATACATAATAATAGAAACAAACAATTTTGGTGAGCTAATATTTAGAGATTAGAGATATAGAAAAATGAAGTCATACATTTTTTATATAAATTGTTTATCAAGACTTAAAATTTTTGCTAATTTTGAAATGTTGGAACTCATTATTTTTGTGTCATTGCCAACGAAAAGTATATTCTTGACCATGAATTTTTTTACGAATGCGCACTTAAAATAATCCATTGATAAGAAACCACAAAAATTTAGAGAGTTTTATTAACCAATAAAAATAATAACAAATTAAAACCATAAAGCAAAATCAGGGGAAATTTCGTTCACAACCACACTATTGTCCAGACAATGTCCAAAGTAATGAACTCATTATTAAACATACCATGTCCTTAAATCACAATCAAGCGTCTCTCATTTTCACAGAATTATTCATGATTCCCATTTTGAGCTTGACCTTTAAATCACGTGAATTAATTAATTAATTGTAGATGCCCGAAAAAACTGCGGAAAAAACGACATCCACTTCGAAAAAGTCCTCGGCTTGAAACCCTCCGACCGCAACGTCCCTCTCCTCCTCTACAAACCCGACACAAACGCCACCACCCCCATAACAACCCAATGCCTCGAAAAATGCCAAAGTAATAAAGAATGCCAAAGTTTCGTCATTTACTTCAACATAAGCATCTGCTATTGGTTCAGAAATGCCATAACCGGGACCGAAGAGCTCGAACTAGACTCCGATACAGCGTGGTTCATCAAAATCTGCCTCAAAGCACCCAACTGTGAAAAACTGTGGATTTTTGAACGGGTTCCCGGTGCCACTCTAGTCGGAAGCGAGACCAAAGCACTGCCATCTCTCACTCGCCTCGAATGCCAACAAAGCTGCCTTAACGAGAGACAATTCGACTGCAAATCCGCCAAATTCAAAATTAATTCCAATTACGGCCCCAGTGACGACATCAAAGGAACGTGCATTTTGAGCAATATTGATAGGCATGTCATGCCAGCGGCGTACAGAGCATCGACTTACGACGATGAATACTTCGAAAATCAGTGCTCGAAGGCCGAGAATGAAGACGAAGACGAGTTTTGCACGTATGAGGAGTATGATAATGCCACGTTGGGTCACAGCGATCTATTTTTTCAAAATCAGACTAAAGATAGTTGCAAGAGTTTGTGTGAGAAGACGCAGATTTTTAATTGTAGGGGTTATAGTGTGGTAGAGCGCAAACGTTCCTTTGATTGTTATTTACACAGCGAGGATAGTAAAGTGCACGGGCCGAGGCTTGTGCAGAATAATTTCCAGGGAAGGTATTTTGAGAAAGCTCCGTGTCTCAACAGTAAGTTTATATTTTTCTTTCATTTCTGTAATTCCCTCGAGCTAAAATCAACATTTGAATTTAGCCAACGTAGCGAGTGAATCACATTTTAACCATACACGACTCTACTTTGTAGTGTCATTACTACGGATATACCTAAAGACTAGGATACGACACGATGTAAAACGAAACGTCCCCGTTCTCGATAGTTCTGTTAAAAATCTGGTGTGAACATCACACGACTTTCCTTATCCTACTTATTTGGAAAACATCCTAATGACGACAATAATTTAGTGCAACCTTTGCGTTAGTACCACCTGCCGGATTACACGCAAAATAGATCATAGTTGTCGCGGGTTCGAGTCTGGGATGCAGTTTTTTTTTTAGTTCGGTATTATTATTATTATTTTATTACATTTTACTATTTAATAAGGTATATCTATTTCATGATTCTACACACACACACACGACCCAATGGCTCAAACCAAGTTTTTTGGAGTCTTGAATCTATAATTCGTCCAGAAATGTCAAAATCTGGGTACATCAAATTTCAGCCGATTACAATACTTTGCTTATAGGATAAGGAAAGTAAAAATGGCTGTATTTACATAACGGTGAACCAAACGCAAACAAAAAAAAGCATAGGCAGATAGAGCATTAAGTTCTCAATAAGAAGAGATAAAGGTAATGCAAAGATTTTATTGAAAACTATATTTAAAAAAAATTAAACATTTACCAATTTACGCCCCATCTCAAATCTTTCAAAATGCTGCGAATAAGGTTAAAGATACAAGAAAAACTTAAGAAAGAAAGTTGTAGAAAATGAAATTTCCAAGAAAAAAGTCTGCAAGATGATACCTCTATCTTCAACGGTTTAGGCCCTAAAGACATTTAAAGACGACCAAGCGACGAAAAGGTGTCATTTTTACCGGTGGTCCAGAGCCAGAAAATTAATTTAAACCTAAACGGTTGAAGATAGAGATATGGGCTCGCGGACTTTTTACAGGAAATTTAATTTTCTACAACTTTGTTCCCTACACTTTTTTTATACCTTCAACTGCATTCGCAGCGTTTTCAAAAAATATCGAAAAGTGTTAAAAATAAATTATAAACATTCATCAATTTGCGTTTCGCCCAATATTTTTGAGAACGCTGCAAATATGGTTAAAGATACAAAAAAAGTATAAGAAACAAAATTGTAGAGAATAAAAGTTGCTACAAAAAAGTCCCCGACACCATATTTCTATCTTCAACGGTTTAGGTTTAAATTGTGGTCTCCCAGCACTTAATCACCAGTAAAAATAAAACGGATCCGTCGCTTGATCGGCTTTGAACGTTTTTGAGGCCCAAACCATTAAAGATATGGTCTCGCAGACTTTTTATTAGGAAATTTTATTCTCTACAACTTTCTTTCTTACATTTTTCTTGTATCTTTAACCGTATTCGCACCATTTTGAAAAACATGAAACGGAGCACAGATTTTAAATTTTAAATATTTTTTTGCTCATATTTCTCGTTAAAAATTTAGTCGTTCGTTTGTGACAGCTTATTATTAAGAATGTAAATCTTTAATAATATAATGTAAATAATAATAATGTAAATTTTTGCATTTTTTCCAAGCAATTAGAAAACTGGTTGAATTTAAATTAATTTAAAACGATTTGAAACTGAGACGGTAAAACGCTCTAAGCGCCCTCATTTTTGTATTTCGTTTCGTCTCCTAGTATACTATAGTTCTTCGTAGTCATTACAAAAATTGGTCCAATTTGGCCTACCTTCCCCTAGTACGAAAATCGTAGTTTTCCTAATTCCAACCCAAAATACTTTTAGTATCAATTACCTGTTCCGAAACCTACATGACAGTCGAATACACCCCTGACATGAATTTCTTGGGGCGCATGTACATGGAGGGCTACTCCGAAAACCTCGAATGTTTCGCAAAAGGACACGGCACCGAAACCGTCGCCCTAAAATTACCGATAATCTCCGAACAGTGTGGAATTATCAAAGCTATAGCCCCCGATAATCGCACTTTACTTGCTGGGACTATGATTCTGCAATTCAACCCATTGGTGCAGACCCAAGGCGACCGGATTATCCGAGTTGGGTGTATTTATGGGAATGATAGTAAGGTGTTGTTGGGGACAGGAATTACAATTACCACGTAAGTAGACACGAGTAAGTGAAAAATGAAAAAAGTAATTAATAAAATAATAGGGCTCCTAGTCATGTCAGTCCTTTAATTAATTCAACGGCGTTAGCGGCGTCTCCAGTCATCGAAATGCTAGTTCTGGACGCGGAGACCCAGAAGGAAGTCAGCAGTACTCAAATAGGGCAAGAGTTGGAACTCATCATCGAGTTTAAGCAAGCCGATGGTAAAAATATAACAATTTATCCTGAGAAAAAGCTCATTGAAAGCGATTTAGGTTCGCTGGATATTTGGGCAGGCCATTTAGTCGCAATGACTGAACATAATGACGAATCAATTATATTGTTAGACGATCGAGGATGTCCGACTAACATCAATATTTTCCCAGCGTTGACAAAAATCGCCACAAACGATTCGATTAAATTAGTTGCGAAATTTCAAGCTTTTAAATTTTCCTCCTCTCCGATAGTCAGGTTCAGCGTCATTGTACAGTTCTGCCCCGAAAATTGTCCACCGGTAATATTTTTGCACTTTTGTCAGTTTTTGTAATTTTTTTCGTAGGTTGATTGTGGCAATAATGTTCAATCTTTCGGCCGAAAACAACGAGAAGTCCAGACGAGAGCTGTGCACACAATTGATGGTACAAAAGTCACAAATGTGAACCGCTCAGAATTTGAGAAAGACAGAACGGTTATGAAAATGCCCCTCGAGTTTATTATGATCGTGCGGAACCCTGGAGTGAATTCCGAACGATTGGTTTTGGGCGATGGGAAAATTTTAGTCGCCGGTTATGGTAAAACAAAAATTTTAATTAACAATTTTATGTTATTTACTTGCAGATTTTATTTCCAACGAGGTTTGCCTAGACTACTCCCTTTTCATTGGCCTCATAATAACGTGGGTTTTGATTCAAATCATTTTCATAACGTGTTGTATCATCCTAGTTCGGCGATACAAAAAATATTACGAGCATGAAAGCCTAACCCAGTCACTAGAACAGTTAAACAAAAACTTCGGAATCGGATTTAGTAATCTGGATGGTCGACGAGTACATTGGGCGGATAATGGAGACTACACGTGATTTTTTATGTTTTTATTTTGTTACTAAATTATTTACAATAAAAAATTAAGTGATATCAGACGTGTTTTCACTTTTCCTAATTTCTTTGGCCAGATCGATTTGTTTCTGGAGGATGTAGAGATTTTCCTGTTTGCGTCTTTGGCGCCTTTCCATGTCTGTCAGCACTCCTTGGTGCAACTGTTGCCTGAAATTGGATCACTTGTCCACTATTTTTGAGCAACGACTGTACACACATTTCAATTTCCAATTTATTTCAATTACAAAAACATTAGAAATGGACGAAACACTACCAAATGTTAATTAAGAAGAAAAAAGAATTAATTAATCTTGATTACAAATTTAAAGAACTTGAAACAATGAGGTTAGGAGACCTACCTGTCAAGATATTGTTTATAATGGACGTATCCTATAATTCCCAATGAAAAAACGCACGCACCTCCAAGAACTAATTTTGCCTGTAACGACATAATTACTTAACAATATGATCACACTAATCAACTATTTTTATAAACAATTTGTTGTTGCCCTTTAAAACTACTAGTAGATCTGATGTACCAAAACAATAGAGCTACTTCTTAGAATTTGTAAATCAAATTTAATAAAAGTTTGGTATAATTACCAAACTGACATAATAATTATACAAACACACTTAGAAGACATATAAAAAAATTAATTAAAAATTAAATTAATTATTATTTTTTATTAAGTCGATTGAACAGAAAATTGATTAGAACTACAACACCCACAAACAAAAAAACTACAGTTTGACAGAAGTTTGTTTATCAGTTAACCACTCGGATAATTGTTTGTTTATTGTCGTAAAAAGCACAAAATGGCATGGATACCGATGTAGTCCCCTTGTGTTGTTGCGAATACTTCGATAACAACAACGAGCGCAACCACATTTTGGCATGTTGTTGTAGTTGCGTCGACTTTGATGAAGGAGTTGAAAGGTGAGGGAAGGTAATTAATTGCAACAGTTTTTTAGTATCATTTTTAGCCTGATAACAGGTCATGGTTTTCCCGAGCACAACAAAAGTCGCCTAATGGCCACAATCCAAGACAGATTGCGTATCCCCTGGCGTGGGGGCGCCAAGCAAGTCTCTTTTGATGCCATTCTGCCAGTATTTATCTTGCCTTTAATGTTTTTACTAGCTTCAATTAGTCTGTGGTGGACGATTTTTTCGTTTACTGCTGTTTTGGTGATCCTAGCGTCGGTTTTTAGATTTTTTATTAAAACTATTCCACAAACGAAATTTTTTATTGTGTGGACCACGATGTCTATCATTATTTTATATATCATCTTCGAATTTGTCGTAATTCCGCTATTAGAAATTTTGTTTGAGGAGAATGTTCTAGTGAGCGTTTTATTCGCTACTTTTCTTCTGTGCTTCTACTTGATGAAACAGAGAAATAATGCTTTAGGGAAAATTGGAGAGAATGAGGCTGAAAGTGGGTTTGTAGGGACTGGGACCAGATGTTACATTTGTCAGGTTGTAGTGCCTGATAAAGACCATCACTGCGTATGGTAAGTAATTTTAATTTAAAAATCTCTCATGTCATAAAAAATTTCAGGTTTAATTGTTGTGTAGGCCGACATAATCAATGTTTATTTATCTTAGCACTTATTTTTGCAATTGCTTCATTAGTGTACAGCTCTAATCTAACACTAACATCAGTGTGCCATCCTTTTATATTCTACAAAACAATTTTACTACCAGACGACTGCTCAGATGTGTATGAGCAATTTGAGTGAGTTTTATTACTATTTTTCTCCAAAGTACTAATTTTTTTTGTTTCAGATTAGGACTTTCTTTTGTCTCAGCGTTATACAGCTTAGGTTTAGCAATTGTACTTTTCATTCTGCTTTTGCATCAAATATTACTAGTCTCACTTGGACTAACGAGCAAGGAATGGATAAATTTATCATTTTGTGCTAAATGTTTTCTGGGATTGTGCTCAAAAAGGCCACATAACCTTGGATTTTTCAGAAATTGGGGAAGAATAATGTGTTGGAAACGGTGTAACACCTACTTTCGTTAAAAACATATCAATTTGTTATACAGTTATATGCAATAATAAAATTTACAAGTTTGACCTTTAAATTCGATGTGCTAAGTGAACAAATTTTATGAACTGGTTTTGCAAACCAAAAGATCTTTTCTAAATATTACAGGAATCTGTAAAGAGGCCAATTTTTGCTATTAATCATTTTGGATTTATTGCTTTTATTAATATATTTTTTTTAATTTCCACCATTGCAGAATTTTAATAAAAATAATAAATAATTAAACAAAAAATCTGCTGAATTAGTAAGTTACGTGACGAGCCACTGTCAAAAAAAGGCTCCTCCAAAAAGTGAGGTTATCTCGTGAAACAGTTTTAATTGTTATGAAAACTTAATTTTATTTAGTTTAGGACACTCACACGCATCATGGCGCTATGGAACCGTTTATCCAAGTGGTTATTAACCGACGTCGGCAAGAAAGCCTGCTATTATGCAGCCGGTACCACCACGTCCGTGATCCTCTTAGCCCATACTTTACCCCAGACAATTTTCTTAAACCAATACGAAGAGATTTTCCACCTTTACAAGCACGGCTTTTCGGTTCCATTGACGGAAAAGATACAAAAACGTTTTGAGAAAGCTTTGGATTTGGTTGAGATTGAACCCTGTGACCGGCATTTATTTAAGCCTTTTGCTGCCTATGGTTTCGATATTTTTAGTGCTGGGACTTCTTACAGCAAATTTGGAGTGAGAGTGGGCATCCCAGCGCATTTTTTCTATGATGACGAGTCATCAGTCGACAAGAGTTCCATTAGAATCAGGGATGAATCAGTTGTTTGGGAATCAGATGAAGGAAAGTTGTTGTTGAAATCGTTGGTATTATCTGAAAACGCCCAAATTTATGCCATGGCCAGAGAAATTAAATTCAGAGACACTTTAAAGGGGCTATTCGACACAGTTGTGGCTGTGGTTTCCTGGTCCGGCATGTATGGAATAGCTAACACTTTAAACAACAAGTGGGATTTATATTCAAAACCTAGACCAGTGAGAATTATTATGTATTGTCTTGTTGGGGCTTTTTCTTTTGGGAGTTACGCTTTTTGTAAAGACTTTAGTCAAGTTTACTATGAAACTAAAATTGATAAGGAATTAAAAGAAAAATGTCCGGTTTTTGCTGAAGGTGGGAAAGAATTTTATAACAAAATTGTGGCCAGAAACATTGCCTTGAGAAAAATACTAGGAAAAGAAGGAGAAAGGACATATACTGTTCTAGGAAACGACAATTATTTATTTAGGTATAAACATGTACCCGTAGTTCAGAGAAAGATGTTTTTTGAGGAAGAAAAAGCTTAACTTGTAATTTATTTTGTACATATTTGAATAAACCGCTCGATTTTAGTTTTTTTGTGTTTTTCTTGGTGATGCATTGGCTGTCATTACAGCGCGCGCAAATGTAGGTTAAGAAGAGCAAAATATTTACCTCCTGTATTCCGTTTTTTTTGTGTTCAAAGAAGTGTACAAATTGACTTGTAGCAACAAAAAGTGCTAGTTTTAAGAACAATCAACACAATGACGACTAGACCGCGACTTTCAATGAACACATCGCTAAAAAACGCTCGTATTTTTGATGATGTGAGTCAACAACCTTTTCCTTTTGATTTTTACCAATTACTCTATTAATTAGGACTCTTTGGATGATTTAATCATCGATGAGGATATCAAAGAAGACCTCGAAGAGCTTGCTTTTAACCCATTTCAAGACAAAGAGTCGACCAAAGTTACAACCGAAGAAGTCAAGATTAAAACCGAAATTAAACAACAATTTTTTGACGAAGATACGAACTTTCCAGTTACGACTGAAGCCTTTGAAAATTTTCACATCAAAAAAGAAGTTTTAGATGACTTGAGTTCACCAATCAAGACTGAGCCATTCGAGAATTCTGATTCCAATTCTCGAAAGAGTTTTAAAAGTGCTAAAATAACTTTACTTAAAAAACGTGATTCGCCCTACAAATCAGCACGTGAACGTCTTGAAGCTTGCTCTAGCAGAGTCAGTAGTTTGAATTTGGGTCAATCTGAGAAAAGTCCACCAAAGTAAAAGTTCAGTTTTGCCTCTCCAGTTTGTATAATGTTGTTTTTAGGAAAAAATTCAGAAGGAATGAAATTGAAACTGACCCTGAGGTTTTAAAGAGGAGACAAAAACAAATTGACTATGGGAAAAATACGATAGGTTATGATGAATACATTAAGCAGGTTCCGAGGTATTTGTCTCAATTTCTTCGTGTTTGTTTTACTTAAATATTCGTTTTTAGGCATCAGCGAAAATCAGACGATCCTCAAACACCAAATAAATTTATAAAGTATTCGAGACGCGGCTGGGATGGCTTGATTAAGCAATGGCGACTTAAATTACACAAATATGACCCCAATGAAACTGAATAAGTTAAAGAAATTGTATTTTATTAGTCTGTAAGCTCAAAAACTACATTTTAAGTTTTAATTATAAAATCAATAAACGAGAAATTTTAATTTTACAAAAATGTGGACATATTTAATATTTTGGGGCCTTGTTTTTTGAAACATATTAAAAAATCACCAAGGTTTTTGAAGTTACGGAAAATTAAATTTTTAAAGTTGTAAACATTAAAAAGTTTTCAGAAACCGGGACCACAAGTAGAGATATCACTTCCGCCTAAATTTAAACTACTGTCAGCCTAAAAAAGTATGAAAGTTTTATTTTTTTCTTTTAGTTTGTTTTTATTATTTATAATATTGATATAAATAAAAAAAAATGTTCTAAAGGAAATTGTATTTAATTTTTATGGATTGGCAACAATGACCTGACAATTCAACAGGAGACTTGATTTTTGAAATTTGTTAAAACAATTACAAAATGGTTATTTCTGACGAAAGTGATTTAATTTTCACAATTCGCAATAATGCGACAAATATTGTCACCCCAGACGACTCCGACAGTGTCCAAAATGACGATAATAGCGACGAGGAAACGAAAATTTTGTCTCTAGTGTGGAAAACCGGCAAGCTTGGGGCCGCCTATTTCAACTTCAACGGGAAGCTTGTAAGTCTTTTATCCCTGTCACAAATTGTAGTAATCCCTTTCATAGTTACACGTCTATGAAGAAGTGTTGGATTTAGCCCCCCAGTATTACATGACGTGTTCCATATATCGTGAAGTAGCCCCAAAATATGTAATAACAATCGGTAAGATGAGCGATGAGTACGTCAAACATGTGATAGATGTTGTGGCATCGGTCAACGAAGCGACCACCACGACTGATTCGCTTAGGACTCTGCCCCCCAACATGTTTCTACTACGACTCAAAGAATACTGTAGGCGAAATTTAGTGTAACATTTTTAATTTTCACAAAAATGATTTCAGCGTCCGAAATTTGCAGATCTCTACTTTGCGATTTAAGTCTCATAGGCGCGTCGGAAATGTCTGAAGCGGAAAGAGAAATACACATAAATTCCTTGCTCAATTTCGATTATAGATGTTCAGTGCATGCAGCAGGGGCTTTGGTTAAATATCTTGATAAAAACTGGGCGCACTTTTTGTCCACTAGGGATGAATTACAGTTCATACAAGTGTCCCAAGTTTCACTGTTTGTAATTCAGGTTATGTTAATTATTTTCAACTAAGAGTGGCCTTGTAGTCGAGGGCATGTCTTGATAGATTGGACCACACTAAACGCACTACAAATTTTTCAACAATGTTCACACGACGCGAGTTTTAAAAGGGGCTTACAGGCGAGTAATCGAGAAGGTCTTAGCGTTTATCGGCTTTTTTCGTCTAGTTGCAAGTCGAAACTTGGTCAAATATGTCTTAAGTATTGCATGAAAACCATGTAATATTTTAGTGTGTGCTCACTCACTTTTTTATAGAAATATTTTACAAAAGCCGCTAAATAATATTCACGAAATTACGAAACGATTGGATTTTGTTACGTTCGTTTTGCACCCAAGTAATCAAGATTTTGTCGAAAGTTTGCAAGATAATATCAGAAATTTATCAGACGTTTCCGTAAGTTTGCGTACTCTTTTTGTAACTCACAAATTTATTTTGAAAATCAGATTATTTTCTTGAAAATTAAAAATTCAAGAGCAACTTGCAGGGACTGGCGCATATTATACAAGGTGAGTTTTTTTATATCATAAAAAATAATAAAGAACATGTTAATAATTACATTTTCTAAATGATTAAATTCTTATAGTCATTTTGTCATTTAATTACTTGAGGTACAGGGTATTGTTTAATTATCTAATTAAAAACAATTATTGCGACATTTTCAGTCAATCTACCACACAGTTTTTTTAAGAGAATTAACAGCTCCTTATCAAGATGCGTGCGAACTTCTGTCCGAGTTTTACAATTCGGTCACAATGGAATTACTTGGTTTGGAAGACTCAATAAGCAAGGCGATAGACTTTAGCGATAATAAAAATTTAGGACGGCCTGTAATTAAAACTGGACTTGATGAAAGTTTAGATGCCAGTAATTCATTGTAAATTTTGGCTTTCTTGTAATTAAAAAAATACTTTAGAGAAATTGCGTCGACAAGACATTGCTCAACATGTTCGTGCAGCGGCCGAAGTGGCAGCAGAACAGTTACCAGATTATTTACACGAATGTGCAATTGTGTATTTACCAGAAATGGGACATTTGATTGCTATTAAGGAGTGGGAATTGAATTGTAATCCCGAGGAGTTGAAAGATTTAGGATTCCAGTTCATGGTATAAAAAAATAAATAAAAACACAATTTAGTATTTATTGAAGCGTTTTAGTTTACGTTGCGTGGAACAATACATTACAAGAATCCAATGTGTTTAGGTATGTTTTTTTTTGTTATTTATTTATTTTTTAAAAATCTTGATTTAGAGTTGGACGAAAGCCTTGGCGACATTAACGCTGAAATAATCGCCCACGAAAATCGCATTTTACGACGCCTCTCGTCATTTATCCTTAAATACAACAAGGATATCAGAGAGCCTCTCAGAATTTTATCACTAATCGATGCGTATTTTTCCCATAAGTAATTTTATTTACTGAATTTATAAAAAAATTTTTTAGGTTGATAGCAATAGCGAAAGTCTCGGCCCAAAATAATTACGTGCGACCTAGTTTAAATAATAGGAACAAGCACGAAATCCGAGACTGCCGTCACCCTCTTCTGGAATTAGTCTCAAATTTTGAACCAAACGACTTTTGCTCAGGAAACAACCACAGTCACATTAAAATAATCACCGGGCCTAATGGTAGTGGCAAAAGTGTGTATTTGAAACAAGTAGCGCTAGTTATTTATTTTGCCCACATTGGCTCATACGTGCCTGCCAGGAGTGCCAACATTGGGATGTTGCATAGCATACATTCCAGAATGCACGCGACGGAATCGGCTGCTGTGCGACTTTCTGCGTTTATGATTGACACAATTCAGGTTTTTATCACAAATTCTGGGAGTAAATTAATTAACAATAAGTAATTAAATAGGCCACACAAGCCATTCATAACGCGCGAAATAATTCTCTAATATTATTGGATGAGTTTGGGCGGGGAACTACAGTGGAAGAAGGTTTTGCTTTACTTTGCGGTTTTTTGACAGATTTTTATAAGCAGGGCAAGAGTTGCCCTCATATTCTTGTTTCGACACACCATCAAAGCCTTTCTGATTTTTTACCAGAAGATGATATTGTTGAATATTTAAAAATGACACATTCGGAGGAAAATGGGGCACTTTTGTTTCTTTATAAAGTGACTAAAGGTATTTCGATGAGTTTCGCTATGAAAATTGCAGCTGAAGTCGGCTTGGATCTAAGTATCATCAAACGGGCAGATGAATTGTTTGAAAAAAACGAAACGGTAACACCGTTGATGCGTTATGAGAATTATCCTACTTTCGTCAGTGATAATGCGTTGATTGAATATCTAAAAGATGTTAATATTCCTGAACTAGATGACGAAAAATAATTGTGTTTAAATTTTCCGCTCTCTATTTAGTTATGTAGGTTTTTGAAGTTGGAACTTGTTAGGTTGGCAATTGTACTGTTTTTTTTTGACATAAATGGTACTGATCTTTCGTTAATAAAAACATTTGTGTTTTTACTTTTATTCCATTTAATAAACACCAAACAACTCCACAATGGCTTTGGCTATGCAAAGAAAAGCAAACGTAAGTACATTTATCTATAGTTTGATGCTCTGAACAAATAATTCTATTATAGGTTAGGTTGCCTCCAGAAATCAACCGAATTCTTTATATCCGTAATCTTCCGTATAAAATAACAGCGGAAGAAATGTATGATATTTTTGGTAAATATGGGGCTATCAGACAAATCCGGGTTGGTAATACACCGGAAACAAGAGGAACAGCTTTTGTCGTTTATGAGGACATTTTTGATGCTAAAAATGCTTGTGACCATTTATCTGGTTTCAATGTTTGTAATCGGTATTTAGTGGTTTTGTATTATCAGGCGAGTAAAGCGTTCAAAAAGACTGATATTGAGAAGAAACAGGAAGAGATTGATAAGATGAAATCAAAATACGGAATTAATACATAAAAAAATGTTTGCATTGTACATAATTTTAAGTATTTAATATAAATAAAATCTATGAAAACAATTTTTTTATTCGTTTGCTTTTTTTATAAATCCTGAAACCTGCAAAAATGCACCAAACTTTTTTTCATGAGCCGTTCCTGTAATGGATGTGTTATAGTACAGTTGCGGAAACAACTTTTTCATTATTTACTCTTGTCATGTTTATGTCATTTTGACTTATTTACTTTAAAAAATAGTGATTTGTGGCATAATAACGCGTAGGCAGCAGATCAAAGCGATGATTTAATTACACTTAGTTCAATTAATATTGATAACAATTCGTAAAGACAGACAAATTGTTTAATTAACAATTTTAACAACAAAAGAAATAAGTTTAATTGTTAAATATCAGTCATGATGACAGTAAAAGATAGTTTGTCACAGTGAACTTTTTAAAGTTACAGAAAAATACTGCCCGAAATTTTAATTCCGCAACTGTACATTTTTAATTTAACAATTTTGCGGCTTGAAAATACATTTTTATTGATCTACTCCGCTAGTCATTTTATTTTTCACAGGATTGTTAAATTAAGGGGTGCATGAAATTTTTTTACTGGATTCTGAGACGCCACCATTTGTATGCTTACTCGTTCAGTAAAGCATCAATTTCAAATCGAGCAAATAAAAATTTAAATACATTCATAAAGAGAAAGCAAAAATTTGTAGCGTTGTTACTTGTTTAGTTATTATTAACACTGCCCTACTACATATAAAACATCAGCGTATATAAAAATTCTTGTTTATTAGGGCACTTAGTTCTGCTTAGTAAATTTGCAGTACAACACACATAAAAAAAACTGTATTTAACTGTTATCATTTTTTTAATTTGGCGGAAAAAGCTCGGCAAAAGCCTTTGTTTACCTCACAGTTAGGCAACCCCAAATACAGCATGTCGAGCTTCGATCGGTTGGTGAACCCCCCTTCGTGCAAGTCCGCGGAAGGCGTTGCGTTAGTTTTGTTGATTGCTCGTTCTAGTGCGCGAGGATGTGTCATCTCTGTGTGTAATAACAAAAAAGTTCTAATAATCAGTGTTTTAAAATAAGTGTATTCGGTGTAATTTCCGGTTACCCCAACTTAGGATTAAGTCCGTAAGTCTTCCTTTTGTAAAAAAAAACACCCACCCTTTAAAAAATCACCCACGCCGGTGTTTGTCTCCCTCGAAGCTCCTAGACCGAAATTCGCAAAATTCTTAAAACTAATGACTAATCAAGGATGACCGGTTTTGCAAAAATTAATGAATTTTTTGAGACGCTTGAGATTATTATCTCGGGACAAAGACAGAGGGGTTATTAATATCTCTGGATTTAATATATGCAAGGAAATGTACGAATTACCATTAGATTAAGGAGCTCGGATTGTTCCAAACAGGAAGTGAATAAAGAGGATAYTCCATGCGTGCATGTGTTATCCTTGTCGACGACGAATCAAAAATTTCGATTGGTACAGCAGCTGGTCGCTTTGACCACCTGCTTTTAGAAAAAAATCTTCGAAAGGTTACCCACATGGTACAGCTGTCAGAGATCTATAGAAAGCAGTTTACCTGCTCTGGAGGAAATTTTAAATACCATTTCAAATTAAAACCACAAAACTGGTTTGCGATGATGTACTTAAATGTTTATTTTATCAAGAAATTAAATGCATCTCAATAATACGTTTTTTCTATTTTTGTGCACGTTTTCTTTGTTTTTTTTTTTCGTTATCAGTCATGTATGTAAATACGTATATTATCGTAAGGTGTAAAAGTGCTTTTATGCGCTAAATGTAATGTTATATCGATTCCTATAAATAATTAATGAGTAATGATTGTTCCTAAAGATAAAAGTGTCACTAATCAACAAGCATTTAAGACGACAATAATTTCGCCAGTTTGAAAAAATCATTTTTGTTTTCGTTTATTTATCAAAGTGATGTGTATTTGTGATATTTTTAATCTTGTTTATTCATTCATTAAATCGTAATTGGAACAACTAATTTTATATCTAAAACAGCTGTTATCGATTTGTAATTAAAAATTGAGAAAATTGTAAAATTATAATAGTTATTTGGAAGTATACAGGGTGAACCAAATATTCCTTCATATTTGTTACACCATGTGTAGCTCGAAATGGCGGCTGAATCTTATGTCTAAAATTTTTTATTCTTGATCAATCAGAAAAAAATTATCTATCAATAAACACTGCGCAAGTTGAAACAACTTTTTTACTTACAATCAAATCAATTAATTGACTAATTAAGTTTAAATTAATGCAATTGTAGAAAAAAACGTTCATATTATAATGCACTAACCAAAAATCCATTATTTTTTTGTTTGCTAATGAAATTTACCTTGTAGTAAAATATTGCCGGCCGTAAAACTGCACTTACCTTAAGTATATGAAAAATGTCGTTACAGTTTAATTTAATTAATTGAATTTTAATTATCTGTAGCTTCTGTTGTTAACATTCCGTTTCCACTAACCGCCCATTTTCTAAAAATACTTTTACGTTTTCCTTGTGGTCGATGCACTCATTCACTTTCCTTCATAAATTGGCAAATCATCACAAAATGGCCGTCATAAAAGGGTCAATTAGTTTTTTTCACGGTTAGTTTGCATTTTCATAGTCATCCCTTAGGTATTGTTGGTCGCCTGGACGTTTTTTTATTGTGTGTCTGAGTTGAAAATATCGATCGCAACTTGGAGCCAATTTTAGACAAATAAAATCTAACAAAATGATAGGGTGAATGCACGTTTTTCACGTTGTTTGATTACTTGTTGACCCACATGCGTGCACAAGTTACTTCCCCTCGTGTTACTATTCTTATTCCCGAAGGAAATTCTACACACCTTTTGTTTTAATTCCGATGCTTGTATTGTTGTATGAAATGTATGGATGATTAAAATATGGGTTAGGTGTGATCGCTATGGGCAGAAAATAGCGAGAAAATGGAAAATCGGATGAAGGATGAAATTGTAAATTTTTTATTTCACTGATATAAGGGAAGAGTTTCAATTCAAAAGTATTATGGTAGAAAATTGGCTGTAATTGTGAAAAATTAAAAGTACCAAATTAGTAGTTTGATTTATTTCTTATGTTTAAAAACATATTTTTTACATTTCGTTCTAGTAAAAGCTCTCCAAATTATGCTGCTCTGGTTTATTTTTACCACTTAGAAAATTTAGACTCGAGAAGTTCAAAAGAAAATTATTAAGTATAATTTATACAAGGACTGACTTAGAGATGCTTGATTAAATCTTCAGTAGTTTAAAGGATTAATAAAGGATTCAATGAGTTGCATAAAACGGAAAAATTGGTAATGCTAAAGATTCTTTTGCAGAGACTATTGACATTTCATTCCATTTATAATGATGAGTTTAAGTGGTATCGACCCCAATCAAAACTTAACAGATTTGAAACAAATCCTACATTGATAAATGTTAATAATCGCATTATTTTATTTCAGTGTTGGTTATTTTGGTTTCTTTCTTTTAATTTTTAATTGTTTAATTGTTTTTGAATGTTTTTAATTGAATTAAAGTTAACTATTTCAAATTGTATGTTTTTTAAATAAAAACCAGAAATGTTATCGCAAATTCTGAAAAAATTTTACTTCAAAAGCTGTTTGTCTTCCATCTCATCTTTACGGTTTATGGAGTTGGAAAAATGAAATATTATTAAACACATTATTATGTTTCTAAATTCGGTGATATGGAAGACAAACACAATAATAGTTATTTCTTATTTTTATATTTTATTATTTTTTAGTAAATTGTTATTTTTAACATTGGATGATTGCGAATAAAATAGTATGCAAACCTCGAAGGAAGTATATTAGTATGTATATGTATTACCTTATTCAGTATGTAATATACTACAAAGTGATTCACAATGACTAAATCTGTTGGCAATCCTGACTCTTATTTTTAAAGCTTACCATTGGAGTACGCTTTTGATCAAGAACAATTCAACAATCAACAATCTTGTAGGGTTGTTCGTCAAGTATTTGTCAAGCAAAGTCTTTCTGGATCACTTCGTGTTATGTCAGTATACATGTAACCACTTATTAAAAAAAACTACTACTCCAAAGAAGTAAATTTTCTTTTTAAAACAGAAAGGTTGAAAATTTTATTTGACTTTAAAAACAGTTTGTCTCGCATCTCATCTTTACGGTTTTGTAGAGTTGGAATTTTTTCACTTTATTTAGCATAGATAAAGCGTTTTGTAGGAAGTAGTACAATTGCGGATACGGAATTTTGGACGCTTTGTCATTCGACTAATATAAAAATGTAAAACGGGCCTTATGTGCAACTAACCTCACTTTCGGTGTTTGTAATTTTTATCCTGACAGCTAAAGAAAAAATGACAACAAATCWAAATAATTTATTGAATTATATAAAAACACATTCTGCTGGCATTTTTGTTTAAGAAAATCGACGCCTAAAATAAATTTCAACTAAAACTTTCAAATTTTAGTTTCAAACGTCAATCGTTATGACAATAAAGCTGGCTTACAGTGACATTTTTTGAACTGACATAAATTTGATGTCCGCAATTGTACAACCTATAAATTCAGGAGAAATTAATTATTCTCAAAGTCAATTGTGAATGCACCAAAATAAACTTTTAACATTCAGTAAAATCGGCGATAAAACTATAAAACAGCAATTTATTTATTAACTTAACCTTGCACAAATGCATCTTCGATCCCATTTCCCTCATTTTTAACTTTAAATAATTGATCACCTGAACTAAAATCAATCACAAGTTGGTGACTCCAACTTGCTTCTCAGTTCTTACTAACTCGTTATAAAGTGATCGCGTGGGTTGTCCTAATTGTCGACTAATTTTCCAATCTTTTCCAGATCATTGGCACATCGTCGTTGCGCTAGTACAGTGTGYGGACTGTCGACAATGTTCCGTGTGATAATTTTGACTTTGTTCGTCCTCGGAGTGTCTGCCGAGGACGACACTTCCGGTCCCGTGTTCGTCCGTGAGTCTCCGAATCGCATCGACTTCTCCAACACCACCGGAGCGGTGGTCGAGTGCAGCGCCCATGGCAACCCCACGCCGGATATCATCTGGGTCAGGTCGGATGGAACCGCCGTCGGCGACGTCCCCGGATTGAGACAAGTGCTCGCCAATGGAAATTTGGTATTTCCGCCGTTCAGAGCAGAGGATTACCGTCAGGAAGTACACGCGCAGGTCTATGTCTGTCTGGCGAAGAATAGCGTGGGGTCGGTGCATTCGAGGGATGTCAACGTGAGGGCAGGTTGGTGCAATGTGTGAGGAAAAGCGGTGGTCAATAATGGAAATTGTGGTTGCGGACACGAAAGCAGAAACTACATATTTATGCATTATTTGACGAGAAAAGAAAACAGAGGGATRATATATAGTGAATTTCGGTTTGTATTTCCTAATACAAGGAAAATTTTATCTGTAGAATTTCACTTAACGAATAAGAAAAAAATAGTTAAAAGTGATAAGACAAACAATTTTGTCTCAGACATGATTCAATTAAAAAAGTATAAAATACAAAAATCAATTACTTATTCATGGTAAATAATTCTTTTCGAATTTTTCAATATTTCAATCCGTGTAGGAACAAATAAAAGTAACTATTTAAAATGCAAGTATTTATATAAAATTCATGCATAAAAAGCTATACTATAAATTAAAAACCACAATCTCTCTATCTGTGATTTTGAAATTATAGTGCCTTCGTGGCTACTTTCTTTTGTTACATTCTGTACTTTGGAATAACAAAGTGAATTGATATTTTAGAAAAAAAAGTTTTGATTCAAAAATGCAGATCAAAATTTATCAACAGATATTTATATAACTACACTGCATTTGTTATTTTGGAAAACAATAAATATTTTCGTATTTCCTGCGACATGTTTGTAAAACTTACTTTCAATACCTATTTTTATTCAGAAAAAACTTTGAGTAGTTGTAAAATTACAAATTAAAACAAAGTGTTTTCTACAAATTAAAGTTTGGGGACATGCTACTGGCAGTGGTTTGAAAAATACTTTTTTATATTTCTCTAATTTAATTTCAGGAAGTGAGACTAAATTTTGTTTATTCTGTTTTACTAAAATTAGGTAAGATTGAAGCTAAGAACAACATCTGGTTCGCATTGTGAATGTCGGTTTTGACAAGTCTTAGGTAATGAAGGAGCGATTGCTTCAAAGTCGTAGTGTGAAACTATTTAGTGAAAGGATGTACAGGTACATCCTAAAACTAAAACAATTTTATTTGAAGTTTTCAAAATTATAAAATACATAATAAAGATAAGGATTTTGACTGATTATTAAATTAAATAATTGTAACGATTTTAAAAATTATAAAAATCTAGCGTCACTATACAGATCTTCCACCTCGATACTTAATGAATTATTATTAATTAACTTATTATTTTTGATGTTATTAAAATGAATTTTGTTAGTATTGAACATTTCCTAACAATAACTATTACAAGTTTTTAAAAAGGCTGCTTTTTGAATCTTAATCATTTTAAACTGTTTGGTAGCAGCCTTACTTCTAAAAATTTTGAAAGAGAATTTAAGAAATTATACATTTTATCTAAAACACAATTAATTTCTATTTACAATTAATAAATACTTACTGTTACATTTAAAAATCACACTTCACTTTGCGATAAACAACAAAATAAAAAATTAAAATGCACTAACCTTATATAGATGGCATCTTCTTCTGCTACCCTTTCTAGCAATTCGCCTCTGCTTCTTAAACGGACCTACTGAAAATAAAGAAACACAAAATTAGTTGAAAATATTAGTGCAATTAGTAGTGCAAAATGTCGAATACTGATGACCTACAATGTATCTCTCCAGAAATTCCTGAAGCAGCGAAAAAGACAAGAAAAACACAACATTGGTAAATGTTCGCTTAAGTGAAAAAACAGAATTTTTACTCTCTGCCTGAAAGGTAAAACTTTTACTTGTGACATTTAATCATAAAAGGATCACTTTTGTGACATTTGCGTATAAAATTGTTTTAATTATTTCTACATTTACTATTGTTGAATTTTTCACAAAACATCAAATTTTAAAAAAAAAATTAGTAGATACGAGTAACACAACAAACTAAAAAAAATAATAATGAAATTACTTTGTTTCTGTTTAAACAATAGTACTCTGATTGAAAAATACGTATATGAATAACAAACAAGGAAGCATTTTTATGACACTAGTTTTACTTTTAAATTTTAGAAAATGTTTTGCTTTTAATCACTAACCACCATAAATGTGGTATAAATAAACAAAATAATAAATAAAACAGTTTGAGTGTAACATAAAATATTTATGATTTTGAATAAGTTGTATGTATTTTCACACACATGAAGTTTTTTAACTCAGTACGTTATAAATTCCGGATCAGCAGCCTCTCTTATGGAACCGTTTAATAATAATTATTACAAAATTACAACGTATACATTACATAGAATAGAGACTTCCGACGCCAACATTTTTATGGTTGCATGTCTGATATGAATAAAGGAGTGATTTATAATGTGAATGTTATTTGAAATTAAAGTCAAGTAAATAATAACTGTATGTACAGATGTTGAAATGTATTATTTACCAACCGTGCCCGAATAATTTTCACTTTTTTCACATATTTGTATTTTTTTAATGGAATACAATTTTAAAACTAGACCATTGATCCATTATTGACCATTGCGGAATACTTTATTTTCAGGTCGATTTTCGCTCATTAATTTCTAACTAGGTTGAAATTAGGAGCAGCCTTGGGAGTAGGCTTCCAGCATCGCCGCCGCCACCATGATTACTTTTTAATCATGCAATTTTCGCGATTTTATTTCACTTAGGTAATTTTCGCAGTGGTGGCTCAGTTCTACGACACCGACGTCAATAAGGAGTATGCGATTCGTGGGAATGCCGCCATCCTCAAGTGTCAAATACCTTCGTTCGTGGCGGATTTTGTCAGTGTTGTTTCTTGGCATACCGATCAGAATGAGAATTTTTATCCGGGCGCGCCTGACGGTAATGACGACCGAAAGTCGCACTTTCTTCCCTTGTGTCTCTCTTGCAGTTGTCCAGCAATTTTACCAGACCGAAGTCAATAACGAGTACGTCATCCGTGGAAATGCCGCCGTTTTAAAATGCTCGATACCGTCATTTGTCGCCGATTTTGTCACGGTTGTGTCGTGGCACGATACGGAAGGGCACAGCTATGGGGTCGAGCAGGCCAATTATGGTACTTTAGGTGTTGGGGGCTAAAGTGCTCGAAAAGGGGACTGTGGAAGGGTTTACAACCGCGAACTTTATACAAATTTAGCAATGCTCTTTGGCGTAGCCAAAAATTTTACACCATAGAAGAAAATGAACGGAAATATTTAAACAGACACACAGGTTCTTCACATTTGTTTCAAAATGAAAATATGGTTGAACAATAAACAGTAACAAAAAATAAAAACTTGGAAAGACTGCTACAAGTTGTCAAAAAGGTTTCGAAAATGTTTTCGTATCGAGATTATGAGGAGAAAAAGGCAAACATTTTTTTGCCTTTTAGCAATTTTAGAATTTACAACATTTTACTGCTACATTCTTATCCTTTTTATGTCTCAAGGGCTGTTCTGATTCTTAACAACTACTCCTATTTTAATACAATATTATGTTAATATTATACAGATACGAGTAAAGAGAAAAAAAAACAAGAGAAATAAAAAATGCATTTACGTATAATAACAAGAAATTATCAGTCGGTCTTACTTTTTTATTTTTTCAAAGGGTGTTATTGTTCTTTTCTTCTACCCTCGAGTTTTACAGACAAAAATAGTGAACACTATGTCATCAATAAAGAGAACTTTTATTTTTCATATTTAGTTAAAAAATTGTATAGTATAGCTATGGAGAGGAAAATTAATATCTATATGTATAGGATGTTTCATAATTTGCGCTCCAGAAAAATAAGATACCAGGAAAAAATGTTAAACAAATTTTGTCTATGAAAATTTCGAAATTATAGGGGTTTACATTTTGCACTTTGACCCTATTTATTTCGTTATTTAGTTCTGTTGAATTTTTTGAACATTTTTTTCACGTTCCTGGTATCTTATCCTATTTGGCATATTTCAGAGGGCGCGAATTCTGAACACCCTGTATAGCGAATCCATATTTTATCCACTCAATAGGCATCTAATAAAAAATTCTGTTTGATATGCTTTCAGATCTTCCGTTTTTAAATAAATTAATTTAATATCGAAAATGAATTACTTTTGCTATTTTTCTTCTTTAGTTTGGTTTTCTAAGAATCGTCATGTGTTTCCGGTTTGGTAAAAAAATAAGAAATGTAATTTGAATTGTCATTTTTTTATAAATATTTATTTTAAAGTTGTTTTTGTTTTTTAAATAATGTTTACTAAATGTCATTTTTTTTCCTTGAACAAATTGATTTTATTTTTGTTTGTTTTATGTTTATTTTGATACATTTTCATTATACTATTCTTTATAACGTTAATAATTTTAAATAACGACGTTATCAGTATTTTTTTAAATAGCAACCAACATTTTTGTTCACTATTTTTGGTAATATTTTCTTTTAAAAAGATAGAAGATTGTACCTATTACCAAAAACAGTCAACAAAATAGTTGCTTGCCATTAAAAAAAAATAATGATGATGTTATTACTCAAAATTCTATGACGCCATAAATGTTGCAATACTCTTAAGATGTAGCATTTATAAAAATTAAATCGACTTGAAGTTTTTTTTGAAAAATGACCCATCATAAAAATATGAATTTTGTGCTTTATTTTTGGTTAACGCTGTTGTTAGTTTAACATTAAAATAATTTAGGTAATCTAGGTAATGCCCGTTTCAAAAAGCTGTGACTTTAATTTTTTAATTTTGAAACTAGATTAGTGTACTGGAGTAAAACAAAGTGAGTAAGAAAGAAGAAAGAAGCAGTAACAGTATTTAATATTGAAGGAATAAGGCTTAATTTTTGTGGTTTCGAAAAATTCGTCAATAATTTTGTAGAATTTCGAAAAAAACTTTTATGTGTTTTTTTGGAAGGTTTGAAACAAATGTGAAGGCTCACAAAGTGTCAAAATTTCGTATTTTTGTATTTGGACTTCCGGTTTTGCTCTTTTCCACAGTGCCCTGCTCTCAGTTTCCTGTTCCTTTTCCACGGATGGTTTATTCATTTCCGGCCTTTCAGTCCGCCCTTTTTTCCAGTGGTCAATCAGTACTACGAGGCCGAGGTGGTTTCCGAATACGTAATCCGCGGCAATACGGCCGTCCTCAAATGCAACATCCCTTCTTTCGTTGCCGATTTTGTCCGTGTGGAGGCCTGGGTCGGCTCCGACGGCTCTCTTTACAATCACAGCGCCAATTACGGTATTAATCGATCGGCCGATATTTTTATCGTACCTGTTGCACCAATTTCCTAGCATTTAATCGCATCCTCTGCTCTTTTCCAGTGGTGAATCAGTTTTACAAAGCGGAAATTTTGACCGAGTATGTGATTCGGGGGAACACGGCGGTACTGAAATGCAGTATCCCGTCTTTCGTCGCCGATTTCGTTTACGTAGAATCTTGGATTGATGATAGCGGAAGTGTTATGAAAGCGTCGAGCGATTATGGTAATTAATAAGGGGTGTTTTTGGTACAGTTGTCGCCCAGTACTATGTGACCGAGGCCGAAAACGAGTACGTCATTAGGGGCAATGCGGCCGTTATGAAATGCAAGATTCCGAGTTTTGTTGCCGATTTTGTGCAAATCGATGCCTGGATCGCAGACGATGGCCAAGTTCATAAGTACAACGACAACAGTAGTTACGGTATTCAAAGTTTGCGAGTCGGACGCACATCCTTTGACCTTTTCGTTCCCATTGTTTTTATCCTTATTCAGGATATGCCAGGAGCCGAAACTCTCAGGCTGCAGTGGGAATTGGGGAGAAGCTATCTTTTTGAACAGTGTCCAAGTTGCCTGGTTTTGTTGTCTTCATGTCCATCTTCGATTACGTTATCTTTCTAAATTCTGGTTCTAAAAATATCTGAACTGGAGATGAGTTCACGGAGTATTTGAAATATTGGCTTGCTGGACAGTTTACGTTACGAATTTTATACTGAGAAAATTTAGATCAATATTTTCGTCTACACTTTTACCTAGTTTTTAAACTTTCTTTAGGACATAGTCGAAATTTGCAGTTTGCTACCACGATATCTGTAATAAAGAATTGTTTTATTTTGAAGATTACTCACTTACTTAAAATTACTCGTATTTTATTTTACGGAAGAGAGTTACAAAGTGATATTTTGTTTAAATTTGTGAGTTATTGATGATCCTGAATACAATTTAGAAATTAAATTTTGCTATTAGGGAGAGGAAATTGCCTTAGGGATATTGATTTTCTGAAGTTACGAGTGAAACCTTTGAAATTGTGTTTGTAATATGTTTTGAAAAATAATGCACGTTTATGTTCTGGTTAGTTTCTGATTTCACTTTCCTACATTGTTGTAAATTTTAACAAATTGGGTTAAATAAGAAAGAAAGGAAAAATTTTTTTAATAATCTTAATGATTAGTAATATAAAAACATTGAAAACAACGAAAATAAAAGGAAACTTCTTAAATTAAAAAATACTACACTACAAAGTAAGATAACGATTTGTTTGGTATTTAACAATAAAAATTAGCAAATGTAAACAAGTTCAGATAATATGAAATTGGCAAGACTTGTTTGATTTCAGCACTGCTTTATGTTTTTTTATTTCTGTTTTTTTTTTTTTTTTAATTAAAATATTGAACTTTATAGAAAACATAAAACTTGCGCTAATTAATAAGATGAAAACACTACTAACTCAACAAAGACAAACAAAATTGTTATTGTATTTTGGATAAATTGGATAATTTTTAAATAACAAGAAACAGTATGACAAATAAAATATATAAAGTCTGAAAAAAGAATACTTTTTTAAACAAGTTTTATACAATTTGATGATTTGGATATTGTAAGAAAGAAAAAATAAAATATATAATTTACCGTGACACTGATTAATGCATAAGATGTATTCCAGTTATTTTTCAAATTTTCAAAATATAAACAGAGAATTAAGTTGATTTTATTTCCGATTGAATTTTTGTGACAGAAAATGACTAAATAATCGGTGAAAAGTAAATGCTATTTTCTAAAACTTTACCCCACATTTTGAAAATCTTAAATTCTTACGGGTTTTTACATTTCTTAATTATTTTTAAATATCGGCATGTAACGAAAAGACTTAAAACCTCCGAAAAAATTAATGGTGGTAAATATTCTATATTTTCTTCTCTTCTATTACATGTTTTTTATTCACTGTCGGAAAAACTTTTGTTTCGGTTGTTTTCATTTGAGCTTTTTCTAATTATTTCATTATAATTCAAGCTTTTGCACTTTGGTCATCAGTAATTTTTTCAATTATGTATGTAAAATCTGCTTAGAGTAATAGAGTTGTTTTTTTAAATATGATTTAGGAACAATTATGTCCTTAAATGTAAATTAATTTTTCTGAAACCTTTTTTATATTGGAAATATTTTTTATGAGCATACATTAAATTGGTAACAATTCTTTTTGGCAAATAAACAGAAATGTTTTAAATAAGTATGTGAAGTCTGAAAAAAAAAGGATATTCTCTTAAAAAAGTTTTATACAATTTGAAGATTTGGATATTGTAAAAAAGAAAAAAGAAAATTTGTAATTTATTGTGACACTGATTAATCCATAAGATGCACAATTTTATGCTTGAAAAAGTTTTTTTTTTTTGTTTGGTTTGGAATTTATTGTATTTCCCGTTATTTTTCAACTTCACACACAGAGTTTCTTTTAGGAACAACGTTTATTAAAACAACAGATACATTACTTCATACTTTTATAAGCGAATTGTCTTGTCTACAAAAATATTTACTCGTGGAGATTTTTATAGCAAAGCTTTTATGCTTTTATCTTAACAAGACGGGAGACGGGTAAAACACTACAATAATCTTTTATACTGCGGCTTCTGTCGACGAAAACTATCCGTTTCTCAAGTCTTGGAAATAAGAATCTCACACTTTTAAAAAACGTAATATCTCATCACTCTCAACGATAACAATCTTCCACGCCGTGAATCTATTTGTGAAACGTGTCCACCACATGTGTGAACTCCGGGCGACGTTTTCCCCTTGTTTTGATTCAAATTTTTTGGTGCAGTCGTCGCCCAATCCTATGAAGTGGAAGCCGACAACGAGTACGTCATCCGCGGAAACTCAGCCGTGATGAAATGCGAAGTCCCTTCGTTCGTTTCAGATTTCGTCCAGGTGGAAAACTGGCAGGATTCCAACGGCAACATGTATTTACCGGGAGACAACTACGGTAACGGCACCGGCACTCCCGTTTCCGTCCTTGCTTATTCACCCCAACATCCCGTGTTTTTTTCTCAAAGTCGAATTGTTTTCCAGTCGTGAAGCAATTCTATCAGAGTCGCGTCATCGACGAGTTTGTCCTTAACGGCAACACTGGCATTCTCAAGTGTTTGGTTCCGAGTTTCGTCACTGATTTCGTCCAAGTGGAGGCTTGGGTGGCCGACGATGGGACTGTGTTCGCTTACGATCCGAATTTGACCAAAATGCAGGGTAAAAACCCGGGAAAAACCTCGCTCCTGTTTCTCTTCCCGAACTGAGTCCTGTGCTTGTTCCAGTGGTTAATCAGTATTACGAGGCGCAAGTCTACGACGTGTTTGTAATCAAGGGGAATACCGCGGTGTTCAAGTGCCAAATCCCGTCGTTTGTGTCCGATCACGTGGAGATCGTCTCGTGGCAAGACACCGCCAACAACAAATTTCTGCCTCCTGGTGACGATTACGGTAGCACTACTACTTTTTACGCGAATCCACCTGTTGATCCTCAGTCCAATGCACTCTCCATATCCAAAACTGATTCGATTAAACAGAGGGGTGGATTTATTTTGGTTGGATGGATGGGGTTTAGGCTCATCTTGCGATACAYTCCTGTCCATAAATTTATCAATATTCATTCATAACATAAGCAGTATTTAYAGAAATGGCGAAAATGATAACCAGGCTAGTGACCTCAGAAATCTTGCTCTGGCTTTCCAAACAATGTGGGTTTACAAATGAAATGCATGAAACATAAATGAGTTACATAAAGTGCAGCCGACCTGAATTTGTGTTAAAATAAATGGGCGGTTGGATATTTTTGACGTTTTTGATCTTATCGTGCACAGCTGTAGTGCATTTTTGTTTTTGAATTTCAGGTTTTCAAGATTTAAAAAATTATATATAGTCTTGTAAAGAGTGACAATAAATGTTATCCGAAAGCAGGGAACAAAATATAAACAGAGAATTAAAAAGAGTTTATTTCCGGTTGAATTTTTTTGACTGAAAACGATTAAATAATCAGTGAAAAGTAAATTCTATTTTCTAAAACTTTACCCTTCAATTTGAAAATATTAAGTGCTTTTGAATTTTTTTATTTCTTAAATATTTTTAAATGTCTACAGGGTGTCAGAACACACGCCCCAGATAAAAATTTCAAGTAATTTTAAGTAAGATAAGATACCACGAACATGGAAAAATGTCAAAAAATTTTAACATTTTTTTTGACATTTCACATTTTTAATGATACTGATGATCTTGTACTATGTTTATTTATAATTATTTAGCAAAGGTACAAAAATTTTGCCAACAAAAGTCTTAAATAACATTAAGCAAAGTTACAATTTAGAATACAGTTTCTTTGTTACCTCTTCTAATTGCCTGTAGCAAAAATAAATAGAGTCAAAGTGAAAATTTAAACTCTCATAACCTCGAAATTTTTATAGATAGAATTTTTCAACATTTTTTACGTGTTTTTGGTATTTTACCTTACATGGTATTTTAATACCTGTTTTTTATTCAATGCCGGAAAAACTTTTTGTTTCATTGGAGTTTTTGTTTAATTATTTCACGATAATTCAAAATTTTGCACTTTGGTTGGCAGTAATTTTTTCAATTATGTATTTAAAATCTGCTTATGTTTTTTTTTTAATTTGATTCAGGAATATTTTTTTAAGAGGCTAGTATGAATTAAAATGACTACCAAGAGTGTGATTGAGTTGTTTCTGCATCGTAGTATCAAAAACAATAAACGATTTTATTTATACCTACTAAGTATTTTATTTCTCTTAGCTTTGCACAAATGTTATACACGACAAAGGCTTCTTTCTCTCAGAGAATCTTTACAATATTCCATTTTCATTAAGACTTTACTAAATATGACAATATAGAAGACTAAGGAAAAAAACGAGTAAAAGAATAGAATCTTTCACTTGAACGAGAATACTAGAAAAATATCAAAATATAGCGTTTGACGTAAATTTTGTTTTTATACTTTTGTACAGCAATTCAAAATTACAGAAAAAGAGGCCAGTAGAAACGCTTTTGAAATAAACAATATTGAGTAATTAAATTAGTACTTGTGACAATTGCTTCCGAATGAATGTAAAATTTAAGCATGTACTTAATTGAAATTGTATAGTATAGGTTTTTGGGAGAAGTACTAACAAGAACATAAAGTAAAAAAAAAATAAAATAAAGCAAATCCACATTATTAAGTAAAAAGTTGATGTCTTTCTTCTCCACTGCTACATTCTTAATTTAATTTGGCGATTGTTATCAACTTCATATAGCTCTCGTAGAGAATTAAAAAAAAATAGTAGGTATTATTTATATCGCAAGAATTTTTTTGTTTTTTTCTATTCCACTTTTTTAACCCCAATCAAGTAATCTATATTTATAGGAGGACTTTTTAAAACCTCGAATTGTTTTCCTTTAGGCACCGAACAGTATTTATGGCACGGGAAACCACCGATGCATTCCGAAAGAGACATTTCCCTCGATCCACTTAGACAGGTGTCCATCGTCCCGGAAATGAATTTTTCATTGTTGATTTTCATCAGCATTGCGTGTCTCATTAAATAATCACAACACTTCTGCCTTGTTTACATTTTCCTCAAACGGTGAATTTCTTTTCCAGTTGTTTCTCAATCTTACAACGCGAATGTGATGGACGAAAGTGTCCTTAAAGGAAACACGGCCATCTTCAAGTGCCACATTCCCAGTTTTGTCAGCGACTACGTTTCGGTTGTTTCCTGGCTGCAGGACGACAATGACGAAATTGTCAACAAGGACGATCGTTACGGTGCGTTTTGAGTCTTTTGATTGACTTCTCTTGAGGTGTTTATTGATTTTTTCAAGGGTCGTTTGAGATTCTTTCAATTTTGGGCTACTGGAATTCCCATCCGATTATCCATGATCCTTCCACTCTCAACCCTCCCACTCTACCCGCTTTTGCCCAATTTAATAAAGAGACCAGTTTTTAATTAACACAATTGGGCAAATTTTATTCAATAAAGATACCAAGTGGAATTAATAATTAAAAGTTGGTCTTTAAAATGTGGATTCGAGGAAACTTCAATACTTCAATCGATACAACATGTTGTCAACGTCTTAATTAATTTATTAATTAGTTTATTTAACGTAGAACGTGCACCGTTGCCAACAAACTCTTCAATTATTTTATCATTTATTGATTGACACCTTGAATTCGCATCAATTTTACACGCTATGAGAAATTTAACGTTTCAATTCTCCCAACTTCACTCTTGAATTTGAGTCATGTTCAAGGCTGAAAATTGAGAGCTTTGAAACAGACGATATCAAATGACTGATTTTTTTTTCTAATTAACAGACAGTAAATATCTTGTTCTACCATCTGGAGAATTACACATCAGAGATGTTGGACCTGAAGATGGTTATAAATCTTATCAGTGTCGTACCAAACATAGGCTTACTGGAGAAACAAGATTAAGTGCAACCAAGGGTAGACTGGTCATCACGGGTAAGTGATTTTTAATTGTGAAAATTTTCAAGTGAGGATGTCATTAATTTAGAATTTTATGCTCCAAATAGCGAGATTTACATTTGAGCTTGTTGGTAATTTATTTCGCGGAAAACACAAAAGCGTAAATAAATAACTTAATTTATTTATTACCCAATTGATTAAAGTGTTCCAATTTATTTTGGAAATTCGTCCTTTATTTTCTGGTGTAGGATTTTGACAAGATTCGTAAAAAATAAAATATTTTATTAAAAAATTTCAAGGAATTGATTTACTTTGGGACATTCTCATGTTTTTTTGTCAAATTATTATCTACTTCCATAATATTTTTTAAAAATAATGCATTCACTTTGTTCACTTTTGTGTAAAAATTTATAATAATATTTATAATTTGACGAAATATGTCAAAAAAATCTGTAATGGAAATTGTTTTGAGTTTAATTTTTAATAAACCACCAACTCTGTTTTAACGAATTGTTTGAACTTGAAAACAGAGTTAAAGCTTCTGTAATGATTGGGAGAGCAAAATTTGATTCAATTTCATCATTCTCATTGCATAGTTAATAAGAATTGAATAGAGAAATAATTTTTGTTTGAAAATGCTCTTTTGGTAAAATTCACACCCAAATATTGACATTCTGATGAAAAGCTCTCAAATTGCTTTTGTGACATTCCTAAAAAATTCATGCCACCCACAGACCGAATGCGTGAATCCGAATATTCGATTTCTTTCATGAGGTAATACATATTTATATTTAGTCATTCAAGTGATAATTTGTTGTAAATAAATTGGTGACATCCTCACAAAATGATAAAAAGTCAACGCAATTCATTTTATTATTCTTGGGCCATCATTCATTCTAACGATCGTTCACATGTTGACTTTTTATTATTCTTATCGTGTTTCGATGGCCACTTGAATTCATACAATATGCGTTTACAAATTTCTGATGCAACAAAGTTCCGTCTTCCTATTGTAAATGTAAATAAACGACCTTCCGAAATATAAATATGGACAACCGCACGATAAATATTAATACGCGTTCTAATTATAAAAAGTGAGGCATCTCGTCTATCTTCAAAGAGAAAATTATGATAAGACCCGCTGTTTGTCTTGGAAAATGTTCGGTGTAGTAAATTCCTGACATAACTGAATTTCCTGTTTGAACAGCCGTGTAAATATGTAGTAGCTTAATACGGAAAGTGTTTATAGTACTAATTAAAATTGTTTATATTGTTTAATTATTTTAATTGTTTGTAATTCTTCTGCGACAGGATGTCGCACGATAAGCCAAAAATCGCGTCAAGTGGCCATTGAATCGAGTTTCTTGACACAATCACTCTCTGCTGTCTCAATCCCGCCTGAATTTTTAATGGATTAAGGCGCACCTTCGACCATAAATTATTGAAATTAATTCACTAAAAGCAGCAGACAGTGAAACATGTCTAATTTCCAATTTTTGAAGGAAAATCTTCCTTCAAAAGTCGCAACTCTGGTCAAGCATTTCGTATGCTTGACCACAGTTCTTGTTAAATTTACCTGAATGTTGGGATAGGGTACCCTTGCTTCTCAAACGGGCACTTTCAAAATTTTGGAAATTAAGTACCTGTCCTTTTTTCCAAACTCCTACCACCAAATTCCTTAAAAAATTCTTGTGGCTCTTACAGGTTTGTAGTTTTTCGGTAATTTTTGGGTACCCTGGCCCCTGATCGTCTTTTAGATTTTTTTAAGGTAAGTTGGGTTTATTGTAGAACCTGTCGGAAGCGTTCTTCCGAAATTTCCACTGGAAACGAGGAAGGAGTACATTTTTTCGCAAAATGATAGTCTTAATTTGTTGTGCCCGGCCCAAGGCTACCCAGTACCACTCACAAGGTATATAAATATTTTTGGAAAAATTTGGGTACCCCTTTGAGAATTTTAATTATTATTTATTGGTGTGTTAGAACCAATCGGGAGCGTCTTACCCAAATTCCCAACCACTGACATTTCGAGAACCTTCAAAGGCCATTTGAGGGAAAGTTTGACTCTTCTGTGTCCAGCCCAAGCCTTCCCTGTCCCAAAATACAGGTAATTTCGTTATCGTCCTCCTCAAAAACTTTCTTTTTAATAGAACCCATCGGGACTGTTTTACCCAAATTCCCAGCAACTGACAATTTGCGAGGTTTTGTGTCGAAAAGTAATTCCACAGTTACGCTACTATGCCCTGCGCAAGCCTTCCCTGTCCCTCTATACAGGTAACTAATTTTTTTCTCCCCTTTAGAACCCGTAGGGAGTGTCAGACCAAACATCCCTAAATTCCCAACTGTCGATAAGTACACTAAGGGTACCACTTTTGCGATCCTATGCCCGGGACAAGCCTTTCCGCCACCACTTTACAGGTAATGAAGCAATGGTACCCATTTTGCACAATTTTCGCAGAACCTGTCGGAAGTGTTCCTCCCAAATTAACCTCCGGAGACCAATCTCGAACAGTTAGGGATAAATTCGTGTCTAATGTCACTCTACAGTGCCCGTTTCAAGCATTCCCTGTCCCCAGATTCAGGTAATTAGGGTACTTTTTTTATTACTAGAACCTGTGGGAAGTGTGGCACCACGACTCACAGCCGGTACTTCCAAAATCCAGACTTTGGATGCTTTTCTCGGTGGTAGTTCGACATTGTTGTGCCCAGCACAGTCGTTTCCTGTCCCAAATTACAGGTACTTATTTTATTTTTTCTAGAACCTGTGGGTTTTGTCAAACCCAAATTCCCAACAATGGATAAAAGTCACGCTTTTGAGAGTTTGGAAGGGAACAGTGTGACCCTTATGTGCCCAGCGCAAGCTTACCCAGTCCCGTCTCTAAGGTAGTTTTTTTGTCTGTAGAACCCATCAGTAGTACTTTGCCCAAAGTCTCGTCTCACTCTAAGTACGAGGTCATTAATTACAAAGAGAATTCATCTTTGGCTCTCCTTTGCCCTGCCCAAGGGTACCCGGTACCATTATTTAGGTTAGTATTTTGTAGAACCTGTTGGTACGCGAGCTCCCAAATTCACCTCAAACGTCAAATTGACTTCATTTGAGGATCGGGAAAAGACTGATATTGCCTTGCTTTGTCAAGCTCAGGGTTACCCATCACCCACATTTAGGTAATTGAAAAAAAATCTTGTTTCTGGTCTTTAGAACCGATTGGTCTGCGAGCCCCCAATTTAATTTCCGATGTCAGAAGTATAACAATTGAGAAAATTTCCTGTTTTGGTTTGACGCTTTTATGCCAGGCACAGGGTTTCCCTACACCCACATTCAGGTATTTTTACTTTTCTAATTGTTATAATAATTAATTTAGAGCCGGTCGGGACGCGAGCTCCTAAATTATTAGCCGATTCTAAATTCAAATACGTGGAGAGAGAAGCAGGTTTGGAAATACCCGTTTTTTGCCAAGCTCAAGGATTTCCCGTCCCTTCATTCAGGTGATTTTTTACTAAATCTTTCGTTTAGAACCGGTGGGGACCAAAACTCCGGCTTTTTCCACCGATATAAAAGTCCTGGGTTATCAGAGAGACTCAAAACAAAACGTTGCTTTGTTGTGCCCGGCTCAAGGTTTCCCTTCCCCTTCATTCAGGTACTTGAGTTCAGATTTTTTTATTTGGTTTTCTTGTCTAGAACCTGTGGGATATAAGGCACCAACTTTTTCGTCACTTTCCAAAACCTTTTCTTATGAAATACAACAAGGACACGGTTTTGTGTTGTTTTGTCCAGCTCAAGCTCTTCCAGTCCCAATGTTCAGGTACTACAATTTCCAAAATTGTAATTGTTGCTCTCTTGGTAGAACCAATCGGGTTTAAAGCACCTACTTTTCAAAATGATGCGACCAGTATTTCATACACTCGTACGATTGATCAGAGTTTTGGACTTTTGTGTCAAGCTCAAGCCTATCCTATACCGATTTTCAGGTAAGTTTGATTCTAATTAGGTTTTTTTTCTACTTAGAACCTGTGGGCCTTAAAGCACCTTCTTTTTCCTCGGATTCAAAAAGTTTCACTTTTGAACGTCGCCAAAATCAAAGTTTTGCTCTACTTTGCCCGGCCCAAGCCCAACCTTCCCCTCTATTCAGGTACGTCTAAAAATTACTAATTTTGTTTTGATTGAACTTTAGAACCAATCGGGTCGAAAGCACCGGCATTTTCCAACGATGCCGTCAGTTCGACTTACATTCGAACAGTTGGTATGGGTTTTGGCCTACTTTGTCAAGCACAGGGATACCCTGCCCCTTTGTTCAGGTACTTCTATACCATTTTTTAAATAGAACCTCAAACTAGTGTTGCCCCCACTGCCAAAGACAAGACAATTTCTGGTCTTAAAAGTTTTTCACCAAGGGACAAAACGGTCCCACTTTTGTGCGCAGCTCAAGGTTTTCCTGCACCTATCTACAGGTAATTGCAAGGGTACCATCTATCCCCCACATTTTTTTTCCAGAACCTACTGGCAAAATTTCCCCAAAAATTCCCGGTCAAAAGTACGAAGGTGGCAAAATTTTGATCAGGCCCCAAAATCGAACCACTTTTCTTACTTGTGATGTAGTGGGGTACCCCGTACCTCTATACAGGTAATTGTTTTTACAGAACCGACCAATAATATTGCGCCTAAAGCCGTCGATAAGAAAATTGGATTTACGGCTATTTCTAATAATGTGAAAGAAAGTGTTTTTCTGATGTGTCCAGTTGTGGCGTTTCCGGTGCCCCTTTTTAGGTACTTATTTCTTTGGTTGCATGGGTACCCTTTTTTCACCACTTTTCTGATCCTTCTAAAACTTCCAGAACCCACGGGAAAAATTTCTCCTAAAGTCCCTGGTCGAAAGTATGACGGAGGTGTGATTTTGATTCACCCTCGAAACCAAACAGCTTTTGTTACTTGTGACGTGGTTGGCTACCCTGTCCCTCTATACAGGTAAATTGATTGGGCAAATTTTTGCAGAACCGACCAATAATATAGCCCCAAAGGCTTTAGACAAGAAATTTGGCTTCACTTTGGTATCGGAAAACGTAAATGAGACGATTTTTCTCATGTGTCCAGTCGTGGCGTTCCCTGTCCCATTATTCAGGTACTTACCAGTACTTACTTTTTTGCATGGTTACAGAACCCACAAATAATGTCTCTCCCAAAAAAGTGGGAGCAGAATTTGGAGGTTGGAGGGTTTTAAATGTTGCAAATGGTACTATTGCATGGCTGACCTGTCAAGTGAGCGGGTTTCCGGTACCACGTTTTAAGTAAGTGCATTATTTTGGCCACCATTTTGAAAGTGCTCGTTAGAATCGTCTTTGGACCTTCCATCATCTTTGAATTTTCTTCCAGAACCTACAAATAACGTTCCTCCTAAAAAAGACCTCGAGCGTTTCGAAGGTCATCAGTTAGTCAAAATCCCTAAACTTGGTACTGCTTGGTTAACCTGTCAGGTTACTGGTTACCCTGTTCCTAGATATATGTAAGTAATAAAGTTTGAAAGGCCCGTTTGAGTTACTATTTCGATTGTTATCTCTCGGTTCAATTCCTTTCTAGAACCAACCAATAACGTAGCACCAAAAAAAGATGGTGAAAAGTTCGAAGGCTGGAAAGTACTTCTAGTGGTACAAAATAGCACGGCTTGGTTAACTTGCCAGGTTACCGGATATCCGGTCCCGCGATACATGTAAGTAATCCTCTTGGAAAGTACTCCTAGTGCTGCTTGATCAACTAAAACAGGTAAGTGCATGCATGAACCAGCATAGGGATTCTGCATTGTTTCGTTTTGCTTTTTCTCCTCTCACAGTTAGCTTGTTATCACGCCTGTTGAGTACCTCCAGAATCCTAATTGCTGGTTCTTTTCAGAACCTACTAATAATTTACCACCAAAACTCGTGGGGGAAAAAACTCCATGGAAGATAACATCTTTTCCCGAAAAAAGCGATGGCGTAATTATGTGTCCAGTCGTTGGTTTTCCTTATCCGGTATTTAAGTAAGTTTGATGTTGCTAGTGTAGTACTGTGTCACCCTTTCCTTGTCACATTCTTACATAAAATTTGTCTTAGAACCGACCAACAACGTTCCCCCGAAATCGTCCGGTCGCAAAATCGATGGTAGCATTGTCATTGAAGTACCTCTCAGTCAAGATATCGTAATAACTTGCGAAGTTTCCGCTTACCCTATCCCTAAATTCAGGTACTTACAGTCTTACAATTCCGTTTTGTCTAGAACCGACTGGTCTGACAGCCCCTAAAATTTCCGGAGACGGTTTAAATAAAAAACTCGCTCATAATTTCCAACACGTTGCTCTTCTATGCGACGCTCAGTCATTCCCAACACCTGTCAAAAGGTACTTCTTCTCTTACTTGTGATTTTTCAGAACCGACTGGATTTGTTCGGCCTCAAGTAATTTCCCGTACGATTGATATAAGGGTATCAAAATTAAATGAAACAGCTGTGGCCTTCTGCCCCGCTCAATCTTTTCCCGTTCCATTATTTAGGTAAAACAATACTCCAAGCCCGTATTTTTGCAATTATCGAGTAGTTCTTAAATGTGGTTCTCCCTTGTTCCAGGTGGTACAAATTCGTCGAAGGAACCACGCGGAAACAAGCTGTGACCCTCAACGACCGAGTCAAGCAAGTCGCTGGGACTCTCATCATCCGCGAAGCCAAAGTCGAAGACTCGGGGAAATACCTCTGCGTTGTAAACAACTCAGTTGGAGGAGAAAGCGTTGAAACGGTTCTAACTGTGACAGCGCCCTTAAAAGCCAAGATCGAACCGCAAGTCCAGACTATCGATTTCGGAAGACCCGCCACTTTCACTTGCAATTTCGAAGGTTCGTTGCTTATAATCATAATCAATCATAATTTTATTTAATTTCTGTGGCAGGAAATCCCATCAAGACTATAAGTTGGTTAAAAGACGGACATCCGATTGATCACAATGAAGCTGTTTTACGGATTGAATCAGTCCGGAAGGAGGACAAAGGCATGTACCAGTGTTTTATCCGCAATGACCAGGAAAGTGCCGAGGCGACAGCCGAGTTGAAGTTAGGAGGAAGGTTCGAGCCACCGCAAATCAGACACGCCTTCAATGAAGAGACAGTCCAGCCTGGCAATTCAGTTTTTTTGAAATGCATCGCTTCAGGAAACCCGACACCGGAAATCACGTGGGAGTTGTACGGACGGAGGTTGTCCAACAGCGAGAGAAACCAAATCGGGCAGTATGTCACGGTGAATGGTGATGTTGTTTCGCATTTAAACATCACTGCAATCCATACGAATGATGGCGGGTTGTACCGATGTGTCGCTAGTAGTAAAGTCGGGTCAGCGGATCACTCAGCAAGGATAAATGTTTATGGTTTACCCTTTGTGAGGTCCATGGAGAAGCAAGCGATTGTGGCTGGGGGTACTCTCATCGTCCATTGCCCCTTTGCGGGTCATCCGGTGGATAGTGTTGTATGGGAGCGAGGTTAGTTGTTCTCCTAGAATTTTTGTGTTTATCTCACCGATTTATTGATTGTAGATGGTAGACAATTGCCGATCAACAGGAAACAGAAAGTTTTCATCAATGGTACTCTCATTATCGAAAACGTCGAACGAGCGTCCGACCAAGCGACCTACGACTGCGTCGCCAAAAACTCTCAGGGATACAGTGCCAGAGGCTCTCTCGAAGTCCAAGTCATGGGTGAGTACAAATTTTTACTGTTTTGTACCCACTGCCACATCACTTGATCGGGTTGTAAAGATTCACACATTGCCCGACCATACAAACTGGTGATGTGGCGGTGCAATTTTCCAGCTTTGTGATAGGATTCAACGACGGCAGGACTACCAGATATCGCGTGTGTACTTATAATTAAGTTGTGATTTTCTTTCAGAGTGTGTTGCAGCGTAAGGTAAGCCGTGAGTGTATCATGTATATCACCGTAAATTCATTATTTTCGTATTTGTATACATTTCACAGAAGAGGCCCATGTGTTATTTTGTCCCGTTGAATTTTTTTACAGTGGCACCTATCATAAGTCCTTTTCAGTTCGATGGTCCGTTGAATGCCGGCGATACGGCTGTTTTAACATGTTACGTTCCTAAAGGCGATCGTCCCCTTAAGATCAAGTGGTTTTTTAACGGCAGACACATAACACATCACACGAGAGGAATCTCGATTTCTTCATTCGGTAGTCAAGCCAGTATTCTTAATATTAATTCGGTGGAGTCGCATCATAAAGGGGAATATGCGTGTGTCGTCACGAACGCGGCGGGGAAGTCCAAATATGTTGCTTTTTTAGACGTTAATGGTACTAGACTATTTGTTCTTTAGTTCAGTTTTTTGTTTCTACCTTACCTCAAACCATGTGCAGTTTCACCTCAAGGGCTCTTTACTTTCGAAATCTTCTAGTGGCTCCTCAAATTTTGCCATTTGATTTCGGGGAAGACTCAGTCAATGAAGGGGACACAGTTTCCTTGCAATGTACCGTAGTTAAAGGCGACAACCCATTAAATATCACATGGATTTTAAACAATAAAACTGTCGACGAATCTCATGGAATTATCATCAGCCAATTAAAACGAGTTAGTATAATGACAATTGACTCGGCACAAGCTAATCACGCGGGACGATATACCTGCTTTGCTTCAAATCCCGCCGGAAGTACCACTTTTTCAGCAGATTTAAACATCAACGGTGCGTCCACTTTCTAACACTTTTTCTTATCCAGTACCTCCCCAAATCATTCCTTTCGATTTTGGTGAAGATTCAATCAACGAAGGAGATGGTGTTTCTGTCCAGTGTACTGTGTCAAAAGGGGATTATCCTCTAAACATTTCTTGGACTTTAAACGGCCACTTCATCGACCAAACTAACGGCATTGTCATCAATAGGGCTTCAAAAAGAGTCAGTACTTTGAGTATTGACAATGTCCAAAGCACCCACGTAGGAAATTACACATGTCTGGCCAGCAATTCAGCTTCAGTGACCACTTATACCACTTCATTATTTATTAATGGTACTTTTGTGTTTTGCTTTTAACACTTTTTTCCCTTCACTACCCTAGTACCACCCCAAATTGTTCCTTTTGAATTCGGCGAAGACCCGACAAATTCAGGCGACTTGGCAACTGTGAACTGTGCTATAACTAAAGGAGACCTCCCTATTAACATAACGTGGAGCTTGAACGGTCATCCAGTTCAAACCATTGGAGGAATAACCGTGGGTCAGATGGGTAAACGAATAAGTACCTTGAGTATTGACTCAGTCGATGCGAAACACGCCGGAACCTATATGTGTACTGCCCAAAACAAAGCGGGGACGATCACTCATTCATCCACACTATACGTAAACGGTACTACACGTAAAAATTACTTTTTGTGTCCCAGTTTCCCCCCAAATCCACCCTTTCGAATTTGGCGACGAATCTGTCAACTCGGGCGAGATGGCAATCGTGAATTGTGCCGTAATTAAGGGCGACTTGCCCTTAACAATCACGTGGACACTTAATGGTCGCCCTTTTGAAACGATAGAAGGTGTGAATGTCATGCAGACGAAAAAAAGGGTCAGTCAGTTGACCATTGACGACGTCCAGGCCCACCACGCCGGGAAATACACCTGTTGGGCGGCCAACAACGCCGGAAATGCGAGTTTTTCATCATATTTGCGCGTCAATGGTGATTGTTGTTAGCTTAGATTATTTATTTTAGTACCACCCCAAATTGTCCCTTTTGATTTTGGCGAAGAGTCAGTTGATTCGGGTGATATGGCCACGACGCAGTGTGCTGTAACTAAGGGTGATTTTCCCATTACTATCACTTGGAATTTGAATAATCGTTCTATCAGTGATGTCTCAGGTGTTATTGTTTCCAAAATTAATAAAAGAATCAGTACTTTAAGTATAGATTCGGTTGAGGCGATGCATTCAGGCACCTATACTTGTCTCGCCGTAAATAAAGCTGGGACTTCGAGTTTTTCGGCCGTTTTGAACGTGAATGGTACTTTCTAGTGTTAAAATCAGTTTTGTTGCTTGATTTTGTTGAATAGTTTTTTTCTTTGGTTTGTAGTCCCTCCCCAAATACATCCATTTAATTTCGGAGACGAATCGATTAATTCTGGTGATGCCGTGATTGCCACTTGTGCAGTAACCAAAGGTGATTTTCCACTTAAGATACGGTGGACTTTAAATAATCAGCCACTTAGCGACTTTGATGGTATAACAATCATGAATAATAAAAGAGCAAGTCAACTTACGATCGAATCGGTCCAGGAGCGTCATGCAGGGGAGTTTAGGTGTATTGCGGAGAATAAGGCTGGAGTTGCAGAGTATTCTACTTATCTGAATGTTAATGGTATATTTTTTTCGTTAGGTGTCATAGTAGTAGTTTTCGTTTGAATAAATTTTCATTTCTTCCTCCAGTTCCCCCTCAAATAAATCCTTTCGAGTTTGGCGAAGATGCGGTCAATTCCGGTGATCTTCTCATGACGACTTGTTTTGTAACAAAGGGTGATTTACCAATTCAAATTTCATGGACTTTGAATAATAGACCCATCGACGAATTCGATGGTGTTAGTGTTATGAATACTAATAAAAGAGCAAGTCAGCTCACAATAGATGCTGTGGAAGGTCATCACAGAGGAGAGTACAAATGTATCGCAGAAAATAGGGCCGGGATGTCTGAATTTTCGACATTTTTGAACGTTAATGGTACTTGCACGCTGTATTTTTTTTATTTTAATTTATTCTTTTTGCACTATTCCACATGGGCCTTCTGTCGTTTCGTTTCAGATTCAGGTGTTTTTACCATTTTTAGTTCCTCCTCAAATAAATCCTTTCGAATTTGGCCAAGACTCGGTTAATTCTGGTGATCTTCTCATGACCATTTGCTTCGTAACGAAGGGTGATTTACCGATTAAAATTTCTTGGACTTTGAATAGTAAGCCAATTAGTGAGATTGATGGTATTACTGTCATGAATACTAATAAGAGAGCGAGTCAATTGACGATTGAATCGCTAGAAGCTTATCACAGAGGAGAGTACAAATGTATCGCAGAAAATATGGCTGGAGTATCAGAATTTTCAACTTTTTTGAATGTTAATGGTACTTTTGTTATTTTCATTGATATCTTTTTTTTTGTGTTTTCCCCTTTCTGATTCACTTGCTTTTTACAGTTCCACCCCAAATTCACCCTTTCGATTTTGGGGATAGTGCGACTAATTCTGGTGATATTATTATTGCCACTTGTTTGGTAATAAAGGGTGATTTACCCATAAAAATTTACTGGAGTTTAAATAATAAACCAATTAGTGAGTTTGATGGTATTGCTTCAATGAATACCAACAAAAGAGCCAGCCAACTTACTATAGAGTCTGTCCAAGCCCATCACAGAGGCGAATACAAGTGTGTAGCAGAGAACAAGGCTGGGGTATCAGAATTTTCAACATTTTTAAACGTTAATGGTATTTTTCCATTTTTACACCGTCTTTACTATTACCTATATTACCCTTTTATCTATTTTCCTCTAAAAGTAGGTATTTTAAGATCAACGTTGGTGGATTTTTTGTATATTGATTTTGTACTTATTTCTTCTTGATATTAAGCAATTTTCGTTGTGCTTCGCAGTTCCTCCACAAATACATCCTTTTGATTTTGGGGAAGACGCTATTAATTCTGGAGATATAGTTATGGCAAATTGTTTGGTATCAAAAGGAGACTTACCGATTAGGTTTTACTGGCAATTAAATAATAGAGAAATCGCAGAATTTGACGGTATTTCTGCTACTAATGCCAACAAAAGAGCTAGTCAACTCACAATAGAGTCTGCACAAGCTCATCATAGAGGAGAATACAAGTGTGTGGCAGAAAATAAGGCCGGAGTTTCGGAATTTTCAGCGTTTTTAAATGTTAACGGTATTTTTGAAATGTTTCAATATTGTTTCAACTTTATTTCCTAAATTCATCCTATTTCACCATTCTTTAGAACTTTTTGATTAACCACATGGGCTTTTACTTTTGATTTTTCCATTATTTCCCAGCAAATTTATCGTACCTTTAGTACCTCCTCAGATACACCCATTCGACTTTGGCGAGGACCCCATCAACACAGGAGACGTGGTTATTGTCAATTGTTTTGTGACAAAGGGTGATTTGCCCATCAGAATTTACTGGACTTTACATAACAAACCCATTGTTGACTTCGATGGAATTAGTTCCACAAATACGAATAAAAGAGTCAACCAACTTACCATAGAATCTGTACAAGATCATCACAGGGGAGAATACAAGTGTGTAGCAGAAAATAAGGCTGGTGCCTCGGAATTTTCAGCATTGTTGAATGTTAACGGTATTTTTGAACTGTTTATTTTTTTGACCTTATTTTCCCAAGATTTATTCTGTTTTTCCATCCCTTAGAAAATTTGCATTAGATCAACATTCAGTCTGGTTATTGTTCTTCAGCAAATATTTTTACTCGTTTTTTTATTCACCACATGGGCCTTTATTTTTGACTTCACCATTTTGTTTTTAAGCAAATTTATTGTACCTTTTAGTACCTCCCCAGATACACCCTTTCGATTTTGGCGAAGACCCCATTAATTCGGGCGATATGGTTATGGTCAATTGTTTCGTAACAAAAGGTGATCTACCCATCAAAATCTTCTGGACACTGAATAATAAACTCGTAAATGAATTGGACGGAATTTCTGTTATCAAAGCCAATAAAAGGGCAAGTCAGCTCACTATAGAGTCAGTGCAAGACCACCACAGTGGAGAATACAAGTGCTTAGCTGAAAACAAAGCTGGACTTTCTGAATTTTCAGCAATTTTGAACATTAATGGTACTTTAGTTTTAGTTTCATTGTTTGCATTTTTTTCCCTACCTAGTGGCCCCCCAAATCATGCCTTTTGACTTTGGCCACCAACCTGTAAATTCCGGTGAGATGACAACAACCCAATGTGCTGCTATCAAAGGCGATTTTCCCATAACCATTACATGGAGTCTCAATAATCAAACCATTAGCACCATTCCTGGAATTACGGTGTCACAAACCAATAAAAGAATCAGTAGTTTGAGTATAGAATCAGTCGAAGCAATCCATTCTGGTATTTTCACGTGTACTGCTGTAAATAAAGCGGGGTCTGCAAGCTACTCGTCGGTTTTGAACGTCAACGGTACTAGTCTATTTTGCTTTACTTCTTCTTCTTCTTAAGTGATTTTTATTTGTAAGTACTTTTGACACCATTCTTTATTGTTTTTGACCAACCATGGGCCTCAAACCTTCTGTGAACCTACCTTTCCACGTCAAATCATCCTTTTACAGTGGCACCCCAAATTTTACCTTTTGATTTCGGCGAGGAGTCTGTCAATTCTGAAGATGTAGCTTCGATCCAATGTACCGTATTTAAGGGTGATTTACCCATCAAAATTACATGGTTGCACAACAATAAGACCATTGAACCTAATCATGGCATTGCAATTTCAAAAGTTAGCAAAAAAGTCACATCTTTGACCATTGACTCAGTGCAAGAGGAGCACGCAGGATCATATACTTGTCTAGCCAAAAACAAGGCCGGAAGTACCAGTTACACAGCGATTTTGAACGTCAACGGTACTTGTTTGTGTTGACGTTTTGATTAGTAGTTTTCTCCTCAAACCACACAATTTTTGTGTATTTCCAGTCCCTCCTCAAATTTTACCTTTCAATTTTGGCGAAGAATCGGTCAATTCTGGGGACGTTGCCTCTCTGCAATGTACAGTACATAAAGGGGATCTACCAATAAACATCACGTGGCTCCATAATAACATGACTATTGGTTACAATGATGGGATTTTAATAACCAAAGCTGGGAAAAAAGTTAGTACTGTGACTATAGATTCGGTCCAAGCCCAACACGTAGGAACCTATACTTGTTTTGCTGAAAACAGAGCCGGAATTGATAGTTTTTCGGCTTATTTGCGCGTCAACGGTAAAAATAATAATTTTAGTGTATTTCTGTCCACTTTTGCCCCACCTTATATACCCTTCTGATGGTTTATAGTTGCCCCCCAAATTCTTCATTTTGATTTCGGAGGAGAACCGGTCAATTCTGGTGATTTAGCTTCTTTGACTTGTTCAGTCTTCAAGGGTGACCTACCAGTGAACATCTCGTGGTATCATGATAACAAAATGGTGCGCGATAGCGATGGTATTCTTGTTAGTACCGCCGGGCGCAAAATTAGTACTCTTAGCATCGACTTAGTGCAAGCACAGCATGCAGGGACATACACTTGCCTTGCCCAAAACCGGGCTGGTACCACTTCATACTCCGCAGATTTACTCGTGAATGGTACTTTTATTTATTGTTTAGTAGTTTTTGTTGGTTACTTTGTTTTATTTAAATTCTGAACCGACCTTCCAGTGACCCCCCAAATCCTACCTTTTAATTTCGGCGAAGAAACTATGAACACAGGGGATTCGACTTCTTTGACTTGTACTATAAGTAAAGGCGACCTCCCAGTTCAAATAACATGGTCTCACAACAATAAGACTATAACTAGCAACGAAAATATAGTAATTTTAAAAATGAGCAAAAAAATCAGTACTCTTAGCTTTGACTCGGTCCAAGCTGAGCACATCGGAGAGTATCGATGTACCGCCAAAAACACAGCAGGATCTACAAGTGCTTCAGCTTTCTTGAACGTTAATGGTACTTCGATTTTTTTTTGTTTTACTTTAGTCTGCTTCTATCCAAAGTACCATCCTGTTTCAGTCGCTCCCCAGATCCTCCATTTTGACTTTGGTGACGATCCCATCAACACTGGTGATTCAACTTCTTTGACATGTTCCATAAATAAAGGAGATCTACCGATTGATATTTTGTGGTCTCATAATAATAATACTGTGAACACCGATAGTACCATCTCAGTGATTCGAGTCAACAAGAAAATCAGTACTTTGAGCATAGAATCGGTTCAAGCGGAGCACATTGGGGAATACACCTGTATCGCCAAAAACCTGGCTGGAGTTACAAGCTACTCGACTTTTCTCCACGTCAATGGTACCTAATTGTCACTTTTGTTTTAGTACCACCCCAAATCCTCCCTTTTAATTTTGGTGACGATCCTGTAAATTCTGGTGATGTTGTTTCTCTGACTTGTTCGGTAAATAAGGGTGATTTGCCTTTACACATCTTTTGGAGTTTCAACAATGACACTAATGTTGAAAAGTTTGGTATCGTGGTCAGTTTGGTTAACAAACGGTTGAGTACTTTGAGTATCGATTCCGTGGACGCCCATCATAGAGGAGACTACAAATGTATCGCCAAAAATGCTGCCGGTATTGGCATACATTCCACCCAATTGAACGTTAATGGTAATAATTAATAAATCAAAGTTTTGTTTCCCTAGTACCACCCCAAATTGTACCTTTCGAGTTTGGTGACCAACAAGTCTATTCTGGTGATAGCGTCTCAGTTGCTTGTTCCATAAGTAAGGGGGATCTTCCTTTGAATATTACGTGGTTGTTCAACGGAGTTATTATCAACTCACCTGGCATTTTAATTAACCACGTGACCAAAAAACTGAGTACTTTAAGCATCGAGAGTGCCACTGCGGATCATACAGGGGAATATACATGTCGGGCGGCGAATCCAGCCGGATTTGCGACTTTTTCGTCCCATTTATACGTCAATGGTACTTAGTAGACTAAGAGTTCTTTTATTTTTTGTACCCAGTACTACCCCACATCACTCCTTTCGAATTTGAGGGCGAGTCAAACACTGGCGATAACGTCCAAATCACATGTCACGTCGGTAAAGGTGACGTTCCTTTGAACATCACATGGACTCTCAATAAGGCACCCATTAACCCATTATCTGGGATCACAACTCTTCCAATCGGGGCTCGCACCAACCTACTAAATATTAATTCAGTTGATCGGGAACACGCCGGAAATTACACTTGTGAAGCATCAAATCGTGGCGGTACCGCCTCACATACTGCCACCCTTCTTATTAACGGTACCCAGTTTTTGTAATATATGCACTTTTAACCCACAGTACTACCCTATATTCTCCCATTTGATTTTGATGGTGAAGCCAATACTGGAGATAGTACCCAACTGAATTGTTATGTGAGTAAAGGTGATACTCCTCTTAATATCACGTGGACTTTGAACGAGAAAGAAATTGATTTGGAGTCGGGGATTACGACAACATTGATTGGAAGTCGTACCAACTTACTTACGATTAATGCGGTGCAACCACAACACAGTGGTGTCTATACTTGTATCGCTGCTAACAAGGGTGGGACGGCAGTACACAGTGCCGAACTTTTTATCAACGGTACTTTTTGTTTCTMGTTTTTTAGTTTCTTAACTATTAGTTAGTTTCATTAGTTTGAAATCTTTCACAGTACCACCCCAAATAGTCCATTTCGATTTTGGCGACGAACCTGTCAATTCTGCCGACATGGCCTCTGTTACATGCATTGTTACTAAAGGAGATTTTCCAATCGATATCACTTGGACTTTAAATAACCAATCCGTCGAGACAATTCAAGGAATCACAGTCATGCGTACCAACAAACGGATCAGTCAACTCAGCATCGACTCAGTTCAAGCTGACCATTCCGGAGAATTCACTTGTTTGGCTAGCAATCCGGCCGGCAATGCATCATACTCTTCAACCTTGCATGTCAATGGTACCAAAAATGATTTTTGTTGTAGTACCACCTCAGATCACTCCTTTTGAATTTACCGACAATCCTGTCAATTCCGAGGATATGTGTTCCCTGTTTTGTACCGTCAGTAAAGGAGATTTTCCCATTGAAATCTCTTGGATGCTTAATAACCGGTCCATAGAGTCATACCAAGGAATCTCAGTTATGCGTACTAACAAAAGAATCAGCCAACTCAGTATCGACTCAGTTCAGGCTGAGCACGCCGGCGAGTATACCTGTCTTGCCAAAAATCCGGCTGGAATAACTCACCAATCGGCGATATTGCACGTCAATGGTACATTTAGGTTTTTTTCTTTTAGTACCACCCCAAATTATCCCATTTGATTTTACCGACGATCCGGTCAATTCCGAAGACATGTCTTCACTCACTTGTACAGTAAACAAAGGCGATTTTCCTATTACGATATCGTGGAGTTTGAATAATCGTTCAGTTGAAACAATTCAAGGAATCACAGTAATGCGTACCAATAAACGGATCAGCCAACTCAGTATTGACTCAGTCCAGGCTGAGCACGCCGGTGAATACACATGTATTGCCAAAAACTCGGCTGGAATCACACATCAATCAGCAGTTTTGCACGTGAATGGTATTTCTGATTCGAGTTATGTTGTTTTTTCCCAGTTTTACCCCACATTACACCTTTTAATTTCGATGGAGAGGCCAATAGAGGAGATAGTGTGCAAGTTTCGTGTTATGCTAGTAAGGGGGATATTCCGGTTAGTTTTTCGTGGCTTTTGAACGGAAAACCTACTTTTGATTTGGACGGAATTGGAGTCTCCTCGTTTGGGAAAAAAACTTCAGTTTTGAGTATTGATTCAGTAGATGACCAACATGCCGGGAACTACACGTGTTTAGCTTCAAATCGAGCAGGAGTTTCGGCATTTACGGCAACTCTAGCTGTCAAGGGTACTCGGACACGCTTTTTGCTTTTTTAACCAAAAACCCTGACCAAAACCAAATCCAAATTTTTGTTTTTGATTTTCCTAGTTTTGCCAAARATCCAGCCTTTCAATTTCGGAGATGAGCCAAAATTTATCAAAGATTCGGCTAACGTGCAGTGTGGTCTTTCATCTGGTGATACTCCAGTGGTCTTCTCATGGATGCTAAATGGCAAACCCGTTGAAAAGATTGATGGAATAACTATTGGAACCTTTGGGAAAAAAATGTCGGTTTTAAGTATTGACTCACTCTCGGAAATACATGCCGGAAATGTGACTTGTCTAGCATCCAACAAAGCCGGAATTTCAAGCTACACAACAGAACTAATAATTAAGGCTACTTCCAAACTTTTCTTATTTTTCCTTTTTTCCCAGTGTTGCCACGAATTACCCCTTTTTATTTCGAAGACAATCCCGTCCATTCCGGTCAGTACGTCCAAGTCACGTGTCTCGCATCTGAAGGTGACTTACCCATCAAAATTGAATGGACTCTAAACAGCAAAAAAATTGAGGATTTTCCCGAAATTTCCACCTCGAAAATGGGAAAACGCAGCTCTATTTTGGCCATAGAAGCAGTGTCATACATCCATGCTGGAAATTATACTTGTCTGGCCAAAAACAGGGCAGGAAGTGCCAAATTCGTGACTCAACTACAAGTTAATGGTTGATTGTGTTACAAATTTTCCTCCATTCTGTTGCTTTATTTTTTTGCATTGCTTCCTTCCAGTTCCTCCCCAAATCACGCATTTCGATTTTGGAAGCGATCCCATCAATTCCGGTGACATGGTTTCCGTGTTTTGTATCGTGAACAAAGGGGATTTCCCTTTGGAAATACAATGGACCCTAAATGGGAAAAATGTTGGACAAATTGATGGTATTACAGTATTGAGGACCAGCAAAAGAATCACACAGTTGAACATTGATTCCGTCCAAGCCGAACACTCAGGGAAATATGTTTGCTTGGCGGAAAATCCGGCTGGGAAAATTGAACATTCGGCTTATTTGCGAGTAAATGGTACTTTTGATTTTCCTTCATTTTAGTTTTACCAAAACTTCTCCCTTTCACTTTTGGTGACGAACCTTCCTATTTGGGTGAATCTACAACTGTTCAATGTAGTCTTTCTTTGGGTGATATGCCGGTGAAATTTTCATGGACCTTAAATGGGAAACCTTTAACTGATATTCAAGGCGTAAATATTGCTTCTTTCGGCAAAAAAACTTCCGTTATCAGCATAGAATCGGTAGATGAACACCATGCAGGGAATTACTCCTGTGTGGCAGAAAACAAAGCAGGAGTTGCTAGTCACTCTTCTGTCTTAACAGTGAAGGGTAATTTCTCATTTGTGTTCTTGTATTTATTTCTTAGTTTCACCCCGAATCATCCCTTTCTATTTCGAAGAAAATCCCCTTCATTCCGGTCAGTACGCTCAAGTCAACTGTTTAGTAGCAGAAGGAGACCTACCTATCGTAATAGAATGGACTTTAAACGGGAAAACCTTTGACAATTTTGCCGAAATTTCTATCGCAAAAGTGGGAAAACGAAGCTCAATATTGACAATTGAATCTGTCTCATACACCAGCGCTGGGAATTACACTTGCCGGGCCAAAAACGCAGCAGGAGAGGCCGAATACGTGACCCAACTTTTAGTCAACGGTTAACACATTTTTTGATTTGTTTTCTCTTCTTTTTTCTTCTTTTTGAGTAGTTTTTCTTTTCAGTTTTACCCCACATTTCACCGTTCAGTTTTGGCGATACTCCTRTCCATTCCGGTCAAACCGCTCAGGTGACTTGTTTGGTGTCAGAAGGTGATCTTCCTTTGACCATAACTTGGAGTTTTCAAGGGGGTCTTCTCGATTCAAATAGTGGGGTTATAACTACAATGATYGGCAAAAAGGCGAGTTCGCTTCTAATTGATTCCGTGTCGGAACTYCAAAGTGGGAATTACACTTGCACTGCTCGGAATCCTGCCGGATCTAGTGATTATACAGCGTCGTTAGATGTTTATGGTACTTTTGCAAGTTTTATGTCTGTTGCGTGTTCGACGGATGATGGGCTTCTGTTTAAAGCTTCCACGTGGCTAATTCTTGTTGCACCATCTCGAGACTTTGGCAATGATGCGATCTCAGCTGCACCTTTTCCTTTCTCCTACACCACTCCTGAGCTGAGATGTAGGGATTTTCCCGTTTTCCATGTCCTGTGCACTTTTTCTTCTTCTTCTTTAAGTTAACTCTTTGCATGAAGTTTGTTTCTGTTGTCCTTTCACTTCTTTCAGTTACTAACTGATAAGGAGGGACTGAAATAATATTGACAATTTATATTTACTGTAAACATATTATTATTTAAGAAGGAACGAAAATGTTCATTTGCGTCACCTTTGAATTTTTCCAACACGGTCATAAAAACATTTTTTATTGGAAAACATTCAAGTACGAAAAATACATATTTGATTATTATTTTGCGTATGTTCAATTACAAAAAAAGAGTTCTTTTTTCATGTTGTTTTTTTAAGTGTTCAGTTTTTGCTTTTATTTATTGGAATTTTGGAAGTTTATTTTAGTTTAAACAAAAAATGTCTAAACTGTGTTGGAAAAACTTTATTTAATTTCTCAAAATCCGAGTACAATATTATTAGTTCCTTCCTGCCGAAGATAAAAAGTACAGATTTTCTCGAAAAAATTTTACGCTTTCACATTTGAAAGCGATTGTCTTTTGGAAAAATGTGACAAAATCAGTCCTTTTTATCAAATTGAGAATATTTTTGGCCAACAAAATTATTAATGCATGCAAGAAGCTCGATTTCGGCTTTCAAAATTACTTTGCATGACATTTGCAAGTTCAAAAAAACATTTTTACTGACCGAATTTAATTTTTAGTGCCACCAAGGTGGATATTAGAACCAACAGACAAAGCATTTGCTCAAGGCTCTGATGCCGCTGTTGAATGTAAAGCCGATGGGTTCCCCAAGCCTGTAGTGACATGGAAAAGGGCTACTGGTTAGTCCCTCCACTCAATAACAATTCTCAAACTATAAATTCTGAATTTTAGGGGTTTCACCCGGCGATTACAAAGATTTCAAACCAAACAATCCCGATATTAAAGTCGAAGATGGCACTTTAACAATTAATAATATACAAAAAACAAACGAGGGTTATTATCTATGTGAGGCTGTCAATGGGATTGGGTCTGGGTTATCTGCAGTTATCCAAATCAGCGTTCAAGGTATTGGCCACAACTGTGATGAAAAAAATTAATTGTTGTTTTTAGCCCCGCCACAATTCGATATTAAACTGAGAAACCAAACCTCCCGTCGTGGAGACCCTGCCGTCCTCCAATGCGAGGCCAAAGGCGAAAAACCGATTGGTATTTTGTGGAATATCAATAATAAACGTTTGGAACCAAAAGGCGACAATAGATACACAATCCGGGAGGAAATTCTAGCCAATGGTGTCCTTTCTGGTCTCAGTATCAAACGTACCGAACGCTCAGATTCTGCTCTCTTCACTTGTGTGGCCACTAATGCCTTCGGGAGTGACGACACTAGTATCAACATGATTGTACAAGAAGTACCAGAAGTACCATATGGGTTGAAAGTCTTAGACAAGTCGGGACGAAGTGTCCAATTATCGTGGGTTGCTCCATTTGATGGCAATTCACCCATCACTCGCTACATGATCGAATACAAACAAAGCAAAGTCAGTTGGGAGGGCAACACCGAACGGGTGCTAGTCCCAGGTGACCAAACCGAAGCTGGGGTTTTCACTCTCCGACCTGCCACCACGTACCACATCCGCATAGTCGCAGAAAACGAGATTGGGTCAAGTGAACCTTCTGATACTGTCACTATTATCACAGCAGAAGAAGTACCAGGAGGACCACCAACCAGTATCCGAGTTGAAACAAGCGACCAACATTCATTGGTCGTGTATTGGAAACCTCCAGCACGAGAGGAGTGGAATGGCGAYATTTTGGGCTATTATGTTGGTTACCGGTTGGCCAATTCAGACAAGCCATATCTTTTTGAAACTGTTGAATTCGGACGTGAGGAGGGGAAGGAACACCATTTGAAAATCTCGAATTTGAAGACTTACACCCAGTACTCTGTGGTGGTACAAGCGTTTAATAAGGTCGGAGCTGGCCCCTTGTCTGATGATATTAAGGCTTACACGGCTGAGGGAGTACCAGAACAACCTCCAGATAAGGCCACTTGTACCACTTTGACGGCTCAAACGATTCGGGTTTCGTGGGTCTCGCCGCCTCTTAACGCCGCCAATGGGGTCATTAAAGGCTACAAAGTCATTTATGGACCATCAGACACTTGGTTTGGTAAGTCAACATGTAATAAAAAATTATGGTGCTCATAGATATATGCTTCTAGATGAAAATACCAAAGACACTAAAATCACCGCTGCGAGTGAGACTATCCTCCACGGCCTTAAAAAATACACAAACTACAGCATGGAAGTCCTGGCTTACACTTCAGGGGGTGATGGTGTTCGTACAACCCCTATTCACTGTCAGACTGAACAAGACGGTACTTTGATCAAATTTTGGTAAAAATTTGTCTAATTTTGACTTTGTAGTACCGGAAGCTCCAATCGCAGTTAAAGCTCTAGTGATGTCAACTGATTCGATTTTGGCCAGTTGGAAGCCCCCAGTTGAACCAAATGGAATCGTCGAATACTACACCGTCTACTACAAACCAGTCTCAGCTGATGACAAAACTGAGGTTAAACCAACGTCTCAAAAAATCGTACCAAACTTGCGTAATCAGAATTTGAGTCACCAAGCCAAAAACCTAGACAGTAACTTGAAATACGAGTTTTGGGTTACCGCGGCTACCACTATTGGGGAAGGGCAACCGTCGAAGAAAGTTACAGTGTCACCAAGCGCGAGCGGTAATTTTATTCTCTTAGTTTAAGCATCAGAGAGAATTTTTTCCTTAGTTCCAGCCAAAATCGCCTCGTTTGACGACACGTTTACCACRACCTACAARGAAGACGTGACTCTCCCTTGCCTTGCTGTTGGGTTACCTCCACCAGTCATCACATGGAAAATAAAGGGAGTCCAGTTCACCACAAACGATAAAATAAGGCAACAACCAGACGGGTCTCTTTTCATCCGTGATGTCAGTCGGAATAACGCAGGGGAGTACTCGTGTCACGTTGAAAATGAYTAYGGACAAGACACGGTGACTCACCAGTTGATTGTCAATGCTCCTCCACATGCTCCACAAATTGCTCTCACTTCAACTACTACGAATTCGCTCACTTTTAAGTTGAAACCACACGAGTCGGATGTTGAGCCGATTCATGGATATACTATTCACTACAAGCCCGAGTTCGGGGACTGGGAGACGGTGCAGATTGGTCCTACTGTTGAGAAGTACACTTTAGAGAAGTTGCTGTGTGGCACGCGCTACCAGGTGTATGCCAAGGCTTATAACAGGTCAGTGATTTTAGCGCAAATTCTAATGGTATTTTTCTTTTGCTTGAATGACTTATGACTAGAGACCGGATTTAGGACCTTAAAAAAATGGAAAAAAAGATTCTAAAAAAGGACAGTAAAAACATAAAATAAGACATTGTAATAGAAAAATATGTCCTAAAATCCTAAGAGAATAAATGTCTTTTTATTTTATAATATCTCTTAATGTTAACTTGCGTAAACCATTTTGCTTTGTCCAAAATCAAGAGAAAAATGAACTTTCACTGAGTCACAATAATAATAAAGATTTAACTACAGATTTGCGCGTTTCAGATTAAGCAAAAATGTTATTCCTGCAGTTTTGGCGCAAAATCAAAAAAAAATCCTCTTATTAAACTCAGTCTGAGGATATGCACCTTGTGTTATAGCTATCGTCACACTGATAACATCCCAACTGCATTTTTTAAGCAGAAATTGATCAGAAACTTTTGATTTTGTGTAAAAGAAAAATTTGAAGGTTTCATTATTTCATACAGATAAAACATTGTGAAAAGTGACAGAAGTGGCGATAACTATACAGGGTGTAACAAAAAGATGAGGAGAAAGAGTTACTTGAAATTTCTCAAGTCAAAATAAAGTCATTTACACCACACCTCTACCACACCTCTACACCAAATTGCACCGTTTAAAAGTTAGAAGGCGCCAAAGTTTAAAAAATATTTCCGTTTTTCTTTAATAACTTTTAATGGAGTACTCGATTTTTATGACATTTGGTACTAACAATTTGATATCAAAACCCATGTTTTAGTGCTATTTCTTTTGTGTTATTATTATTGTAAAGTACTTACCAATTAACACATTTTAAGCCCTATTATTGTTATACGTAATCCGAAGGGCGTAATTCTTTTTATATTTGAAAGGTACATTATTTTTAAACAATTTTTGTATCTTTGTATCGGCCTTGGTTTTAGAGTAAAAAAATTATTTAAGTAGATGTGTTAAAACTTTGGACGTTGGCCATTTATTGTTATTGTTTTTAAAATTGTTTTTAAAAAAAAATAGGTTTTGCTTTCTTTGGGTTCTTGTTTGGGTTAGTTAACAATAATGGAATTATTAATAATTATTTTAAACAAAAAAACAATTTTATTAGCGTTTTCTAACTTTCAAACAGTGCAACTTGAGATAGAGGTAAATCGAATTAAATCGCTTTATTTTGACCTGGGAAATCTTAGGTTACTCTTTGTCCCCGTCTTTTTGTTTCACCCTGTATAGCACGAGATATATTGCATAACTAAAAAAAACAATAAACAAAATAATGTTTTTTTTATTAGATGGGTGAAATGATTTTTGAAAAGTCAATTTGCATTGTACAAGACAAATAACAAAATATTACATTCTTATTTCTGTAGCTTGAGACTTTTCTATGGCTACACTGGCAACGAAATTGTAGTTTTGCATTTAAGATAAATTTTAACTTGTCCAGGGCACAGAAGTATTACCACTTCCGTAGCTAACAAGAACCTCGTAAATTTCTCTATCGATTGCGGCTGTAAAATCAAAATAGTAAACTTGACTTGCTTAAAACGAAAAAGAACAAAAATAATGAGGCAGAAAGGCCATAACAAAGTCCCGAAATAAAGTAAAAAAATAAATAAATTATTTGTGTTACAAATTGAAAACATGTCAAAATAATGGTTTTAGGAAAGAAAAGGTTTTATTTGTCGTTTTAGAACGAATATTGGCGTCTTAAGATTTTAGGACGTAAAAAAAAATTGTGTACGAACCCTATTCCATCTGAAATGTTTCTAATTTTGGGTCCCTTTCACGAGCCTTAAATAGAATAAAAAAGGCATTTTACTTAAAATCCGGTCTCTACTTATGACTTAGTGGTGTGAATCTGATCATTTTTAAATTGCAGCATCGGGACTGGGGACCCGTCTGATACTCTGAACCCGCGAACCCGTGGCGAAAAACCCATAATACCCAGCGCGGAGAAGTTCATTGAAGTTTCTTCAAACAGTATTACTCTTCATCTGAGTGCATGGTCTGATGGTGGTTGTCCCATGCTTTACTTTGTCATCGAGCACAAAAAGAAGTGAGTGGTACTTTTGCTAGTGTGTTTTTATTATTGAAATTTTTTGGTACTAGGACTAGTACGGAATGGATTCAAGTTTCCAACAACGTGAAATTGGGTCAGAATTTCGTCCTTTTGGACTTGGACCCGGCTTGTTGGTACCACCTTCGCGTCACCGCTCACAACAACGCCGGTTTTAACGTCGCCGAATACGAATTCGCAACTCTTACCGTCACTGGAGGTAAATTCAGTTGTCGTTTGTTGTTGTTTTGCTTCCAGTACGTGCAATAGTACCTGAAGATGAGTTTTCGCGTGATAACGGGCCTGTTTTTCGTTTCAGGTACTATTGCCCCGGCCCGTGAAATCCCCAAAGAGGACACATTTCAAATAATCCTGGCGAACCTAAACCTTGTAGTCCCCGTAGTGGCAGCAGTTCTGGTCATAATTGTTGCCATTATTGTGATTTGTGTATTGCGGGGCAAAGGGAATTATCATAAAGGTAAAGTTGGTGTTTTTTCTTTATTTCTAGGTACAATCGCGCCAATTAGAGAATCGCCCGGTGTTAAGATGCTCTTTCCTTGGATACCCGACTGGGTCGACTTGAATATTGCCGTGCCAGTTGCCGCTACGGTTGTTGTTGTCGTTGTCGGCATTGTCGTGATTTGCGTCGCTCTTTCTCGCAGGGCGAACGGTCCCTTACAGACCCGTCTCAGAAGCGATTGTACGTCAAAATCAACAAAAATTTTAACATTTTACAGCACAAAAAATTCTGAGCGACTTAGGGGGACACAAAAAATGCAAAAAAAAACAGATAAAAACGTAAAATTAATACCAGAATTTCATGAGCTGTAGTGACTAAAGACTGTTTTAATTTGACTTTTAAAAACCACAGTAATTACTTTGTCATTTATTTTTGTAAAAGAATAACGATTTTTTAAACGAATGTTAACATCAGTTAATTTGTTTGGGATATATCGAGTGATTGTTTTGACGTGGAATTACGTGAAATTATTTGGATTGAATTATTTGAAAAAAGTGTTTGTGGGCCCTCTATGTCCGTTTAATAAATCCCCGTAACGGCCCCTTTTGGAGACACCCTTTTATTTTGCAGACGACGTCGTTTACAACCAATCCGTAAACGCCTCCTCGACTTTAGACAAACGCCGGCCCGACTTACGCGACGAGCTTGGTTACATCGCACCCCCCAATCGGAAACTACCCCCCGTTCCAGGCTCAAACTATAATACTTGTGATCGCATCAAGCGAGGTACCGTTTTAAGTAAGAATCAGCCATCGCTTCTTATGCATGTCTTATTAATTTCGAATTTAATTTTGTGTATATTCAGTTCATTGCTGTGCGCATTCGTCAACTTCCCTTACCGGAATTTGACGAAGAATCATCCTAATCCGCGCTGTGTATTTATTTATTTTTTAACAAATTTTGCTGTGTGAGCTGACATCCATTTCATGCAACAAATGCTTGATTATTTTAAATGTGCAATAGGAGCTCATTATCGTTCTCATTCTACCTGGGATCCGAGACGACACTTGTACGAAGAGCTTAGGAGTAGAAGGGGCTCAAACGAGACTGTACATACTCACAGAGGTAAAATTTTACCACTTACAGAATGGTTTGTAAGCTTTCGTGCTTCTGGTACTAACTACAGTACTTAGATTTGTCGTCTGTCTGCGTGTTTGAGTTACTAACAGGTTTGCCACTTACACAACAACATGTTTTATTCTTTTTTTTTTTAATTATAATGAAATGAAGTAAAATGCTTGCAACATGTAGGGGAGAGTTTCCCAAAATTGACCAACATTCTAATTTATCCCTAAGAGAAAGTTGTAATTTTTTGTACTGAAATAAACCAAAAATTTTATTGGAATAAGAAATTTAATTATTATTTTTTTTTAACAAAATGTTTTGCTAAAGCACTAATTAAATATTTAATAAAAGTACCTATCAACAAGTCAGACGACGTAACTAGCTATACAGGGTGTTTCATGATTGAAGTACAAAAATCGTCTTTTATTTTATTACAAAGTTGTAAATTATTTTTAACTGTTGAAAATGTTACCCACTTTTTTATGTCCCAATTTTCTTTACCACATATGTGTGTTGTTTTTCGTTTTCACCTATGGAATTGCTAAATGTAAAAGTGGCTTTGAATTAAATTGTTCCAGAAATCTTAATACTACATACCAACAATAAAAAGTAAAAACATTGAATCTTTGATAAAAAGAGTTTTGCTTCTGTGTTTAATATAGTTTTTGTTTGAATCCACTTTACTACTCTACTAAATTTAACTAGAAGTAAGCAAAATATTCAAATGATTAAAACTGTTAATTTTTTAAATTTAATTTTTAGTTAAATGTAATTTGAGCTTTGTGTATCAGTATCAATATCAGTTTAATTTTTTTAATAGTAATACAGGGTGATTTTAATAGTTGTGTAGATTTTAATAGTTCTGAGAGATGATAGTAGAGGATAAAAGATGCAAAAATAATGTCATAATATTCGATAATTATAAAATTATAAAATTCGTTAATAGTTTCTGAAGTAAAAGGGTTTTAGCCGCAGCATCAACAAAAATATAATCACTAAGGTTTTTCAAAATTTATAATATAGAAGAAAACTTTGTTTATATTGCATTTTTTGAAGTTTACAACGCCAAAAAGAAACTTGTTACCATCTCTATGTCAGAAACTATAAACATTTGGATAAATATAAATTGAGTTATTTTGACTTCTGTAGACCTGTATCTGTAAATTTCTGTTCTATTAAAATCACCCTATATATTTTACAATTTTTTCAATTAGAAATTAAAAAATAGAAGATTGAAAACTGTTTAGGACTTTTATTTTTGTATCTTTTTGTTAAAAAAGGTATATACTTAAGGCAGGATGAAGAAAAAGTTTTCAAAATAAAATTCAAAGTTATTATATTTTCTAACACATTTTTGTTAGTATATTTTTTTTTCTTTTAAGTACTTATTTTTGGGACGTCCTGTCATTTTATCGAAACAATAAAGAATTACATATTTGGTTGTAAAGCATATTTATGATGTGTAATTTTACATAGTGACAAGTGGAAGTTTTTTATACTTATAAACACAAAACAATTCAATTAAAATTTAAAAAAAATAAATTTATTTCAATTAAATTTTTAAACAATTATGCTGTTACGAATATTATTTTTTTAACTCTAGTTTTTACGTTACATATACAGTAGATACAACAAGAAATGGGTGTAAAAATGTCTTTAAAATACCTTTTATAATGATACAAAAAACAGGTTTTTGAGAAATAATTAAAACGCTATTTTTTATCTATTTGACACAGCAAAAAATTGCGTAAGATTATTTTTATCAAATGAAAAATAAACAATACTTTGACACCCTGACCCGGCGCATCTACCATTTTTGATCAATACCAATAACGTAATTTACTTTTTTCAATCAAGTGAACCTACTTTCCCCTACACGCTTGTTTCAATTTTTTGCACACCGTGTATAAAACATGTTACACTGCGAAACAACCGACTAACGCTCTAACATGTAGGCTTATTGGTTGTCTCCTCCAAACGTAAGTTATCACTCGCTTTTGTCCGCTTGCTTGCCCATCATTCACCCAATCAGACCATCGCAAAACAAACAAATACCCATCTTCTAGGCATGGACGACGAGATCTGTCCCTACGCTACCTTCCACCTTTTGGGCTTCCGTGAAGAAATGGATCCGAGCAAAGCGATGCAATTCCAGACTTTCCCTCACCCTCACTCAGGAACAATGGGACCATCGGGAATGAACACACCCCATCAGATCCACTCGCGGTCAGGGTCACAATCGATGCCTCGACAAAACAGGCGATATGACCGAGTCGGGTCTCAAGGTAACCTTCATTTACCAATGGTACAATTTGTCACTTTTGTGGTTTAGGTAATGGCAGTATTTACTCTCCTGGCCCTGAGTATGACGACCCTGCGAATTGCGCGCCTGAAGATGAGCAATATGGCTCTCAATATGGCGGCTATGGCGCTCCGTATGACCAATATGGGAGCCGTGGGTCGATCGGTCGACGCTCTTTGGGGTCGTTGAGACTTCAACCCACGAGCAGCAGCCCCGAGCCGCCTCCACCGCCCCCACGTAACCACGACCCATCTTTCAACGACTCAAAAGACAGTAATGAGATTTCGGAAGCTGAGTGTGATCGAGATCAACTAATCAACAGTCGCACTTATGGCGGTAAGTTCTGCTTAGATCGGCCTGTTTTTAACACTAATTATGCTTCAATTAATTGAAAAAATTACAAATTGGCCGTTAATTAACACAAGTTTGTACAAATTTTTAAAATCAGATTTATTTTCAGAAAATGAACAGGGTAAGTGAGTTGTTTGACCGTAAAATCTATTAGGATTAGATGAGGTTCTTCAACTCATTCATCACTCATTGAAATCACTTCATGTTTTTTTACGTGTGCTGCATGGACTCATATTGTGTGTTAACAGCATGTGGACATTTTATCTTTGTTTTTGGCATTGCATACTTTTTTTTCGATTTGTTTTGTTTAAGCTAGTGACGTCTCGTGGTCGTGTAGTAAGTGTGGTTTGTTTTCAGTAATGAGAGGTAGTTCAAAGGATGGCATGTCTCACGAGGAAATGCGCAAACTGATTGAAAGGTCAGTACACACAGTTGATAACCCCCCTTTTAAATTGTGCAGAGACGAAATTTTTAAGCCAGTCAAAAAAACACAACAAAAATAAAAAACACGAAAAGGAAAAAAATATTAAAAACTAAGATAAAAACAAAAAAAATATAAATAACTTAAAATAAAGGTAGAAAATATTAAAACAAAACCAAATAAAAAACTAAACGACACTGAAATAGATGTATTCCCCACACGAAAAGGTGAAAAAAGTGTTTAAAAACCAAGATTTAACCTGGGAACCAGCAAAACTTTTATTTTTCGGACACAGCCATAAACAGGTCTACCTTATGCGAAATACGATTGGAAATTGGGAAAGGGTAGCATTTATTTTTATATTTAATTCTAAATACACGTAGTGTTGTAGTAAAAGATTTACATTTAATTTTGCTGAAAAGACCTTGCCTATGACATTGTTTGAATTAAAAATATTGGAGCCCCTAAAAAGACATAAGGAACTTAGTTCAAACATAATTAAATATGAAATATTTACACCGAAAAAAATGTGTGAAAAGGGAAATTTTAACAGAATTGGTGCCGTTTAAACAACGTAAACAAAATTCATCATAAATCCAATGAGTTGAAATTTTTTTACATTACTGTAATTTTATTGTCTAAAATCATGAAATAAAAGCTTCTTTATTACGAGTATAGCACAATTATGCAAACGTTTGTATTTTTTGTATGTTTTCTCATATTACACAATCCTATAAATAGGTAAAGCTTTTTATCAAAAAAAAATCAAAAATGCTGCTTTCAAAGTTTCTCACTGTTTAGTTAGTTATGATCAAGGATATTCATTTAAAATTGCACAAAAATTGATCAAATGACTTATGTCAATCTCAATATAATTTTAATGCATTGAACTGTAATTTTAAATTTAAGAAAATAATCGATATAATTAATAATAATTAAATAATTTCAATTTGGAGTAGATTTTAGGATCTTTTTTCTTCATTTCTAATTTGCTTGATTTTGTTTTATTTGACTGGCTTATATCCAAAAAATATCAAGTTTGTACTGAAGTGACTCTATAGGTATACTATCGAATTCATAAAAAAACTAGTACAGCAAAATTTTGTTGAAGTAAATTGGGCTACGTGAAAATGTCAAATATGAACGTCTGTCATTATGACAATTTGAATTTGTAAGTTTTTAAAGCATTAAATATGTTTTGAAAAAGACACTAAATTGCAGATAATAGGTAGACCAACCATCACACACGTATTTAGGATGTCTAGTTGACCTGTTAAAATTAGTAACCATTTAACATAAAGTACGTAGAAATGTTACACTACAACATTTAAAAAAAGTTGAGGTAACTACGACGTTTTGCTGTCCTAGTTTTTTATGAATTCGATAATACATAAGTTTAGTCCATTCAAAGAATAAATTGTAAATTAATTAATATGCATGGTCTGGACAGAATTTTTGACTTCAGAGAAGTATTTCGATTAGGTAGTAAATAACATACCAAAAGACTCCGGTCCTTTGAGGTTAGCGGGGCTAAGCGGGGTACTATGAAGTTATCGTTTTATACTTTTTCGCTTATATCTAGATTCTCGAAAACGGTGCGTGCAACGAAAAAAATGTTTTTTTACAAGATTAATTAAATCTTATAAAATTTTCTACAAGACTTCTCGGATTTTTGTGTCTCAAATAGTTTTCAAGGAATTCACTAGCAAATGTCGCTCTCTCCAAACAAAAACTCATAATGAATTAACGTAAAGTTTGTTGTAAAAGTTGTAAGCATTGTGATTGGGCAGTTTAAAGTCGGCCATTATAATAAAGTGAAAAACCAATCACTTTAGATTTTTGGATTCATTAAAAAATTGAATGCAATGGTATGATTGGTTTGTGTGAGGTCGGCCATTATTATAATGTGAGTTACCATGGAGAGACCAATCACTTTAGACTTTAGTTTAATTCAAAAATGTAGCGAAATTGTTTCATTCGAATTTGCATCCATTCATTAAATGATTTCAATGTCTAATGAAAATGTTATGTGTGTGCCCTTTATGCGCTCTATTATCACTATTGTAAGTATATTACGAAGGAGGATATGCACATTACTTTTTATTGCACTTGATTGGGAAAATAAAACCTTAAATCTTAAGATAGAAATGGAAATATTAGTGCTTTACCCATTTTGTGTTGTTCTAAATACAACATAAATAGGCGATGAGGATACGGAAGTTAAAATTTTCTTTAAATGTGAACATTTTCAAACAAGAACACGGTGTAAGAAGTCAAACATAACCTCACTGTCAGGAGTCTTGGGACCACATGAATATAGAAACGATACACAACTGCCACCGGCGCCCCTCCCACTTCGTGGGATCGGGGAGTTTTAATATGTTTATCTCCTAACTAGTCCAAACAAAGCCCTAAAGTCAAAAATTTTGTTCCCAACCATGTATCCACAACCTTGGGTATACAACCCCCTTTTGAGGGTTCATTGCGTGGACTACTACACATTCTATATAATTTATTATTTTGTGTTTACATTTCTATTATACAAAAAAGAGAAAATTAATTATTGTATTGGTCTAAAATTATACCTAATAAAATTATTTTATACTTACTCTGATCAATGAACAGCAAAAATGGACATAGGTACGATCAATTTTTCTTCAGTGATCAGGGTATGTGTATATTTTAAATAAATTTCCGTCACTTTAGTACAATTCCCCTTATTGTTGCACTGTGATAGCGTTGTGATAATGATATTTGTTATTTCATGAATTCCTCAAATAGGAAACTGTAAGTGTGTACTGCAATTAAACCGCTTTAAATGTTTTTTATTTTTCACTTTTGTGTTTATGTTTGTGCACACTAATTTCTACTAACTTTGTCTTTTTTCTATCTATGTCTGACGTATTGTGCTGATGGGTGTGTGAGCATTTTGTGTTTTGTTTGTTTTTAGAAACGAAACAGGCCAAGCAAACGGGGGACTCACAGCCTACGATACTGTGGCAGTGTAACTTGTAAGAAGCCAAGAGACGTTTCGATTTAACGACCACATCTCTCTCCGCTGAYTAGAGATTTGGTCTTTAAATCCCCCCAACATCCCGGTATTTGGACGAAATATTCACATCAACTTGGAGACTGAAACGTTTTTTTCGATTTCCATCACTAAGCACAAAATTGGCTTTTTTCGACAAATCCCGTGAATATTTAGTGTGGATACCTGACGTTTTTACCAAAAATTATTTATTTTCGTTGGTTTATTCGGGGCTATGGCCCAAACGAATACGTACACATTTTGCCAATGGTTTTTCTTAATTTTTCGTACGGTGGCTCAATGTGTCATGTGATATTTTGAGGTTTGTGAATACGTTTTATTTAATATTTGGAAGGTTTGAGTCTGCAGCGGTGCCAAAAATTTCATTAGGTTAATTTCCTGCTGTAGACAGTTTTAAGTAGATAGCTTTGTTTATTATTTTGCGTTTTTGAGTTGTTTGTTTTGAGTTGAATAGGTTTAGGGCGGTTGGCGATAGGTTTCGTTATTTTTACTGTGCTGTACAAGTGTTGAAGGTTGTGCATCGCCAGCTTGTAATTACATAATTGCTATAAATGTAAGAAATTAGCTTTTCTCCATTCGAGTGTTTTGTCGACAGTCTGGACCGTTTAGGCCGGAATTTTTCGTTTTCAATCTCCCAATGACCATCGAATTTTTATTTGAATAGATTGTCAATGAATCACTTCTTTTATAATAGCGAATTAGGGACAAATTATGTAATGTTTTAGTCTCTAGTTTTATGAAGATATATCAGTGTTTCTATCTTTAATGCATGCATGTCAAACATATTATAAATGTAGGTGTATAAAATTACAGTTTTCGAATTATTTAGGTAACTCAAAATATTATACAAAGCGATACATAATTTTATCCACATAATACTCAGCTTAATTCAAGTAGTGGTAAAAATATCAGTAGTGTAGATGTTTATCCAATTATGGCATTTTAGACAATGGTTCATTTCCGGAAACAGTTTCTGAGATATTTTACCAAAAATGCAATATTATTTCGACTTAATTTTTTTTCAAACTGTTCAAGTTCCTAACGTAGTAATCAGTCTTGGTAAAATATACACAGACTTACACAGGAATGTAAATTATTTGTCATTTAATATTTTTAATACTAGTCATTTTTTCTCTCTTTCTCCAGTCTTGTGTAAAATCTCATAAATGACAAGTAATCGTTTTTTTTTTATGTGATAATGGTTTGAAATGCCATTATAAGTGTATATCTTAAGTGTGCTATATATCCAGTTAATAGTTGTAGTGTAATACTCTTAACATTTAACGATAATCATTTGTATTCTGCAATATTTTCGATGATATTTTACTAACCGTGTGTTTTGTATAAATTGGTTTTCATGCATTTATATAGGTTTGTGAATTTTGCGTAATTTTACGATCATTTGACGTTTTGCCATTATATTATGATGTTCTAATTTAAGTGCTTGTATACCAAAGTACGTTTTTGGTTAAATATACAAAATAACAAAACCAACCACCGTTATTTCATTATCTCCACATTTTCCATAGCCAACGAAGTAACTAAATTTCTTTTTATTAAAAATATACAAGGTGATTATAAGTATCACCAAGCGATTTTTTTAAATCATTTGCCTCCAGAAAATAATAATTAATATAAATTAAAATAATATAAAAAATGTGATCGTATTTTGAGAACGAAATTTTATTTTGTTTTTGAGTTAAGCGATTTTTTTTGTCAAAATTGCAATTTATGTAAAAAAATTGACAAAAATTAAACAACAAATAGTAGTAATTCTTTATTTTCTACTCAATATTAAAGAAGGCTTTTATCAACTAATTTCAGTAGATAAAGTAGACTTATTTTATCGTCTAGTGAAATAAAGTAATTTTTATCTACTGTTTATATTCAAGAAATTCTGGTAAATGAGTACAAAATAAAACGATATATTATACACGACGATAARGATTGTTCATCTACTCGTGAAAAAAGTCCACTCGTGACTTCGTCACTCGTAAACTTAACCTTTTCACTCGTAGATAAAAAATTTCTTTATCGTCTTGTATACTATACATCATAAACTACATACATCGTAACTATACATCATAAACTTCATGAGAAAAATGATTTTATAGTGGGTTGCCGCCAAAAAAGAAAACTTTTATTCTTAATAAAACATCACACTTTTTTCGTAGGGACTACCAAAAAATAAATAGTTTAAGCAAAAAACGCTTGGTTCCATACTTTTTATTTTTCAAACTTCTAGCTTAAGGACGGGAAAAAGGATAATACGAATTTTTGTACTTTTTTATTTAACTTAAATATAAATATTTACAAGTTGAATCTTGCCCTTACATTGAAAATGTCTCTAAAATCACTTAAATAATGATTTCTGTGTCTCCTAATTCCTCGTCTGATGGCAGTTGTATCTTGGCGGGATCTATCAAATTGGGGTCAACCAGTGGTAGCCCCAGCTTCTCCCTTCTGCGCAGCTCCAGGAAAGCCTCTCTTTGAGACCAATCCTTTAGGTTGTAGTCTGGCGCATACATGATGAAATAGCCCCCACAGACTAGACAAAGTGTAACGGAAACAAACATAATAGAGTGCATCGCTGTTCTATCGCCTTCTTTTGAGTGTGGATCAAAGCCRTAATAAACCCAATTTTTGTGCTCGRCTTTCTTTGCATCGGTTTTGACAGCATCGGCCACGGCAGTCTCGTTCGTTTTCTTCGATGTTGACACTAACCTTCGGTTGATCGTAGGCAAGATTTTTCGGAATAAACTACGTTGGAGTATTAGCCCTGCCATTTTTTACGTAAATAAAATTCGGATGGCAAATTTGAGGTTAGGAGCACTGCTGTTATGTCATCTGTCACTTTGACGTAATACCAGCATTACCAACGGCACAAATGGAAATCAACAGATTTAAATAAAAAATAATTTATTAAAACGGCAATAAAATTMTAAAMCAATAACAAACTAAATAAACTGATGTCAGCTCTTCACAGGTTCAAGAGGGTGGACTGGTAACGATTCTTTCCCATATCGTCTTTGTGCTTCCTTWATAAACGCATCTTCCATTTGGTGGACTAGTTGGTCAAAGAAGAATATGGCTAATTTTGAATAAAGGGCTGATTTAAACTCAAAATTGATGTAGAAATCTATAATGCAACTCTGGGGGTTGCTCTGAAGGCCAGGACTGAACTTCCAAGTCGTCTCCAGGACATGAAATAATCTCCCATCCCTGCAAACAGCACTGACTAGTTCTGGTTCACGTAGTGACACAACTGAGGTATAATTTTCGATAACTGGGGGAAACCCAACTTCTAGATTCGCCCGTAAAACTGACGGTTCTTGAGATAAGATCACAGATTTTGTACAGAAAGGAACAAACTTCTTGTAATTTTTTACATCAGCCACTACCTTGTACATTTGACTGGTTGAGAAACTAAAACTACAATTAACAGAAGCAATTATACGTTATTTAACCTACCCTACGAGTTTTCTAGCGAAATATTCACGTTTTTTGTCAGGAATCTTGAAAAAGTGCAAACAACGATTGATAATACGCATTATTGACACTTGTAAAAATTTGGTCCTGATTAATTGCTAATTAGTGTCATGTTTTTTCTCGGATAAGTCAATTATCACAAATAATTCATTTTTATTAAAATTTATTTTCTGACATAACACCSAGTTAGTTGCCATTTTTAGTGAGTTTCATTTGTTAGGGTTGGTGTCCTARTTGTGAAAAAATTGGTTTATTTTGCACAATTAATCTTTTAATTTAGAGCATTTGCAAATCTATGTCTTTTTAAATTATCTTCAAATCAGGTTTTTCCCCAAAAAATGGATTTATACACTCTCCAAGACTCCTAAGTGAAGTTGAGTTTTTATGTTGGCAACAGATTAGTTGACAGCAGAATTAGATAAGTTAAGATAGAAAAAATTTCTGATAAAATTAACCACATTTTATACAAATATCGGGGAAACTCTTTGTTTTTGCATTAAAAACGTGAGAGGACACATTACGAAATCGTTCGAAATACGAATTTCGTGTTTTTTTTGTGTGCTTATCAGTTCATTGTATTTTTGCCGGTGTTGTCATATCAGTTTAGTTGAAACACGTATTGCATGGTGTCGTTTTACATAAAAAAGGCGGTTTTCCAACCAGTTGTTTAGAAAAATTCGTAGTGTAGTCTCATATTTGTCGTTTCATTTTAAAATATAAAAATGTCGGGTACTGTTGACACTTTGATCGAAATGGGCTTCAGCAAAGCACGAGCGTAAGAAAAACACGTCATAATTGCGTTACAAATTACCATAAAAATGCTTGCAGTGAGTTAGCAGTTTCCAAAACCGGGAGTGAGGATATCCAAGTTGCGATGGATTGGCTATTGTCGCATGAAGAAGAGCTTGAGAACATCAACGAGACCCCCCAAGCAACCGATGACTCGGCGAGCAGTCAAGCTCCTGAAACCCAACCAAGTCCAGAAGGCCAAGTCGTCAGATCTTTCAAATGTGACGATTGTGGCAAACTGTTCAAATCTCAAGACGAAGTCGAATTCCACGCCACTAAATCGGGCCACGAACACTTTTCGGARTCAACAGAAGAAAAAAAACCTCTCACAGAAGAGGAGAAGAAAGAACAACTAGCGAAAATCGAGGCCAAACTCAAACAAAGACGGATGGAACGTGAAGCCCGAGAAAAACAAGAAGCTTTGGAGAAAGAACGCAGTCGCATCAAATCCGGAAAAGAACTGCTAGAAGCTAAGAAAAAACACGATGAAATCGAGATGAAGAAACTAGTTGAGCAACGAAAACGGGAGAAGGAGGAGGAAAAACTGGCAAGACAACGTGTGAAGGAACAAATCGAGCAAGACAAGTTGGCCCGGAAAGCGAAATTTTCCGGACAACCGATGGAAGCCCCACAAGCACAACCGGCCGCCCCTCCTCAATCGACAGCCCCTAAACCGTCAGCCAGTTACTCGGAAGTTATGTTGCAAATCAGGCTCACGAATGGGTCATCGCTCGTGCAGAAATTCGGGGCCAAGGAGCCCCTTTCCGCCGTGAGGCTGTATGTGGAAATGAACAGGAAGGATGGGGAAGGGCCTTTTAGCCTCATGACCAATTATCCGAAAAAGGTTTTTGGGCCTGAGGATTACGATGTTCCTTTAGAAAGTCTAGGTGATTATTATAAAAATCAAATATAAATTTAAAAACGTTAAAAATGGGTTTTAGGGTTGGGTCCCAGGGCCACTCTTATCGTTTCAAAATCGTAATTAAGTGCTGCACGGGTTTCATTGGTGGCTCTACCATCATACGATATTAACATTATAACGCTGGAACATTAGTTGGGATGTTCTTAAGTAACTAAGTGTAAGTATCTACAAAAACTAGGCAAATTGATGTTAGAATATTTTTTTAAATATACATCGTTTTGTAATCGCCAGTGCTGTTGTATAATATATCTGCGGCTCTTTATATGTGAAAAATTAAGCAGCAAATAAATTTTTCATATTTCCCACTTGAAGCTCTATCCAATACCTTTTGTGGAAATAAAACAAACAGCTTTCGACCACATTTTATTTAATTTAATTATGACAATTATTTTCTTTCAGTTTTAAATCCAACTATAAATGAAACAAACCAATTTCTACAACTTAATAAAAGGTTTTTATATAAATAATATTTAAAAGTATGTACTGAAATCAAGGCATAATTATTTCTAAAATCTAGTTAAACATAAATCCCTTATTTTGTATACATCCCACATATTTCCGTGTTAAATAGTGATAAATAAGACAAATTTGGCTATTTTACAAAAATTAAATTGAATACATTAATACGTATTTGGTGAAGAAAGATAAATCGGACTTTAGCAAATCATTTTATTATGATTCTTTAAAAAGTAAATAAATAATTTACAAGAACTACACTTGACAATTAAATATTACGTAACAGTAGACTTCTTGTAATTCCACACCTTATTTAGGCGTCAATATGACGAAACTCAAATTTGTAAGGATTCTAGATGGGGTTGTGCAATTGTTTTGAATTTTTTACACACGTAAGTAATTTATTTATGTGCTGCCATTGAAAGATTGAAGTTATGTAACTGTAGACACATCAAAATAATTGGAACAGAAAATTCTCTATTTTGTGATATTTTAAGGAATGTTACAATTTATTTTTCCTACAACGTGAACCACATTAAAAATTTAATTATGCGGTAAACCTTCAATAATTCTCGTTCTAAGTAGTAGTTCTCTATACAGGTGTCTACGCTAGGTTCGTGGTCTCCAAAAAACTCATCAAACTCAAGTTCCACAGTGGCATTACTAGGAACTATTGCAAAATACATCACATCTTTTTTTCTACTACAATCAGTCAAAATGTCGCTAGGGTTCAATGGGCCAGTAACGTTACAATCTATCAAATCTAACGATTTATTGAAACAAATTTGAATTTCGCTAATTAGGGATTGTTTATTCTCGTCAACCACGCATTGAATTATAGGATTCTTACCAGTGGTGCTCTTTACGACTTGGTAAAACTCGGTAACGTTATAACCTTTAGGACTGGGGACAATCTTACTTTTAGAGAGCATGGTTGAAATTTTGTACTCCTGATTCCACTCTAACCCTTTTTTGAAATAATTAATCACACTGTTTAAAACCGGTAAAGTCGCGGCGCAAGTGCCGTGTTTGTCCCACTCGTGCTTCCAGAACGAGTTTGGCTTAGTATCAGCCTCAACATTGGGCCAAAACTCTTGCATTTCCTTCATAATTGGCTGCAACTGCTCGGGGTCGAAATGCAGCGCCGAGTTGCAAAACAATGGCCCCTTTTTYCCGATTTTCGTAGGCCAAAGTCCATGGACGACCCAGGTGGAGTTGTCTTGAGGCAAATTGCAGGTGTTTTTGGGGCTTTTCTCCTTCCATTGGGAACAACTGGTAATAGGCCAGCGTTGACTGTATACTATGTAGTCCCAATCTTGATAAGGGGTCGGTGTCGGTTTGGATCTATTCATCGAAATGTCGTCATCGGAAATGCTGCGCATTTATAATTAGCCAATTTTCAAGAAATCTGAACACTTACCAAGAGTTGACAGCTGCTAAAACCAGGGCTAGTACAATGTACAACATAATAATTTTGAATTGTAAATAAAATCACTTCAAATTTCGCGTTATTTATCTTGTTATATACATTTTCTTGGGAATGGAACGTTCATCCTTTGTTGTTTTACATGAAATGTCATTTTTGACATTTACCTTATATGTCACTTATGTCAGTCGATGCGTTATTTGTTGCCGACAGGTGGCGTCAGTTGGCTCCTTGGAGACGAATCAAGTGGGCTGATTTGTAGATTTCGCTCCTATTATTGGAAAACAAGTGACTGTGTAGATGGCAGTGTCATTATTTTCGTGGCATATTTTGTTTATTTTCAAAAGTTTGAGGTTAATTTTTGAGAAATGGCGAAAACACTCAAAAAGAAGTCATACTTGAGTAATTATCACTAATCTGGTAAGTGGAATTTGTGTTTTTCAAGTTGTCATTGCAATTTCCAAGAACTCATGACGTCACGGATTCGCAACAATTTTTGTCACCTTTTTAGAGAATGAGCAATCAATGTGTATTTTCTGTGCTTAAACAACATGAAAACCGATTTTTTATTTACTTTATTGTTTTCTTCCAATATACAGGGGGTTTGAAAAGTCCAAAGAACAACGTTTACAACGCCTTCTAGTAACAAGTTATTTACCAAAATTGAACATTGATGTTGCTCCATKGTGCAATTTTTGGTCACTCCAATTAATCACACTGATACGAATTATCTAAATCATTGTAATTCATTTAAATTTAAGTTTCATCTTTTTACATTTTTAGTTACAATCTTTATAAATAAATATATAAATCCTTGAAATAACACTCATAATATCGCCCAAATTAAGATAAACAAAACTAAAATCGCGGAATTTTAGGGAACAGGTTTTTGGAATGTTTCTTAATTCAAAAAGTTAATAGTTACCATGCTGGATACTTTAGGGAAAAATGTAAACATATTTTTTAACTACTCTGATATTGATAAATGAGATTAATCAAAGAATAAAAGCTTTTTTGATTTCATAAAAATTAGCTTTCTCTATTAAAGATTTTGTAAAAGTTGTGTTTTATTGCCATGCTCTTTTCCATTATTTTGTGATATAATAACGTATAATTGCTGCATTACTTTACCGAGTTTTGTTATTGATATAAATCACATCACTTTCTCTTTAGTTTTATCAAAATGACGGAAATGAATTTCAGTTTTACGAAAACAAACGGCGATAATGGAGATACATCGTTATCCGTTTATGCAAAAGCAACGAATGATTTGAAACATTTCTTATCATTTGGAATAACGATTCGAAATTCTAGTTTTTCATTATAAATTATAGCTCGTGATTAGTGAAAAATAAAGATAAAGTGTTAAATGTCATTCCTTTTCCTGTGGTTGGATATTTTTCCTCCACCAAAATACATCAACAATAACAAGTTAGTTGGAAACAGACGTTTTCTTATTCGGGTGTTTGCAACACTACRACCGGATATGCTTTTGTTTGACAGGTATTTGACGAAACCAGATTGTAGGCTGCTCCAATTTAAAATTCTATTAAAATTTGAAGTGTCAACACCCRAAAGTTATTGTACAGAGTGTTTACAAAAGGACGTTTATAAGGAGTGTTGTGAAAATTTCATAAACGTATGTCTTGCATAGATTCTTACATTTCATTATTTTCATTAATATAAACTATGGAACCAAGCGGTTTTTTTTTAAATCATTTGTCTTCAGAAAATAATAATTAATATAAATTAACGTAATATAAAAATGAGATCGTATTTTGAGAAAAAAATTTTGTCTTGTTTTTGAGTTCTGCGATTTTTTTTTGTCAAAATTGCAATTTATATAAAAAAATTTTTTTGAGAAAATTAAATATGAAGTAAATAGTTGTAATCCTTAGATCATAACCTTTATGAGAAAAATAGTTTTATAGTGGGTTGCTATTTAAAAAAATATTTTTTTTGTAGAACTCAAAAACAAAAGAACATTTCGAAAAATTTTATTCTTGATAAAACATCACATTTTTAAAGTACTTTATCGTTCATCAATTAGTTCTTCCAAAAAATTAATAGTTTAAGCAAAAAACGTTTAGTTCCATACTTTTTATTCACCTGGTATTTACGATATGCCATAGAAGGTAGGTGGAACATTGTAGTAATGCTTACGAAAATGTTATCAATGCTGACTTTTAGTTTGTTTTACAAAAAATTGGTTTTAATCAACATTTGACACAAGCCAGATCTTAAAAAATTGATAAATTTGAAAGATAACCAACAGATATTAATTTTACTATTCAAAACATTACGTTCATAAAATTATCACAATTTCAATCTATTATTTTAACAATTGTCAGTCTCAAAATGCATTCAAAGACCAGATTGTACCACCCTAAAACAATTTTTCGTAACATCTACGTGCCAGAACTCGCGCCCCAGAGAAAAATGCCAAATGCCGGGGGCAATAGGTCGCCAAAAAGTGCAGCCGAAGAAGTAATTTTTGCTTGCATAAGAGAGTTATTAGACTCTTAAATCCACCAATCCCAGAAGGGCACCTCAAGGTGTGATTGAAAAATTATATCCATTGCTAGGTTACGAAAATAATACCAATTTGCCCAGAATTTTCATTAAATAGCTGGTCTACTGTAATTTTGCGTTTGACATTTATTAATTTGTGGGTGACATTACCTGCTAGTTTCCAGTATTTTTCTCGCATAAGAAGTTGTACACGAGTATAATGAGACAGAATCGTTAATTATTATCAACAATTATCAAAAATTATTTTGAAACATTCTGGAAATTCCTGATGAACAGACTTCTTCACAGGTATTGTTCTTTCTCAACTTTTTCTTCGATCTGATACAGATTAACAAACCGATAAATGAATTTTAGAGCTTGAAAACTAGTGCGTTATCTTTATGAAACAAAGAAGCAAGTGAGAGTGAGACCAGAAAAACATSAAGAAGTACGCAARTTTCTTTATTTACTTTAATGCAAAATTAACAGAAAAATGTACTTTTTAGAAAGGGAGTCACGTTATGTTGAAATAAGTTGATATTATTGACAAACCACATGATTCCTCGAAAGACCAGCCCACAAATTCACCGAAAAGAGTTGCTGAAAAGCCCTCGGAATTAAAACATTTGGATTTTACTTTCCGGCAGCAAAAATGCTAATTTTTCGTACTAAATACAAACATCGCAATATTCTTCTGGATTTTTTAATGAAAAAGCAGCCAAGGGGTTATAGT